CTTCTTTTTTTCCATTTGAATGGTACACATAGAAATTCTGGGTCACATTCTACATCAATCGGTAGTGGTGTATTGTGTGTGTGTGTGCATCTAGTGTTTTTTTTTCAGTTTTGCATCCATGCTGCTTTTGCTGCTAAAACCAATATAATACGGTTGTTTGCTGCAATAACGACAACAGATCGTCGTCGTCGTCGTCCACATTGTCAATAGTTGTCATAATCAAAAAAAAAACCACGATTCTGACAGCAAGAAAAAAAAACAGTTTATTCTCTCAGCTCTCTCTCTCTCAGTCTTGTTATCAATTGATAAACAAGAAAAAATTCATTTTCGTTCCATTTGTTGATGTAATGAAAATTGGCAAAAATTTTTTTTTTTACAGCTAAAAAATAAAGTGTCATAATAGCCTAATTTCATCGCAATAACCGTAAGATGTGTGTTTTCGATCATATACAGAAAATTTATATTCGATGATGAATATATTACACACACGCAAACATAAATCGATTAACATCGGTTGTCATCGAAATTCAATTCATTCATTCATTCGATATTTACACATTTATGATGATGATGATGATCCAGATAACCATGGTGATGATTATATTACATGATGATGATGATCATGATAATTTATAATTATGTACCATATCAATATACCGCTACGTTTTTTTTTTAATTTCTTCTGAAACAAAAAAAAATTTTTCTATGTGATAAAAAAAATGTTGGTTCGTTGTTTATGATGATGATGATGATATGACCATTGACAGGCAACATTGACGAAAAAAAAAAAATTTAATGTGATGAGAGACTGCTGCTGCTACAAACACTGATGATGATGGTGAAAAAAATGAACATGAAACATTTCCAATAAACAACAACAACGACTACGACGAAGATCATCAAAAAACATTATTATCCTTTATGTGTTCATCCATCGAAATGATGAAAAAAAAAAAATTCGTTCACATTTATTGTCATCGAATCGACTAATTATTATCATCATAATCATTCATCACATTTTCGGGCGTAGTCTTTAGTTGACAAAAAAAAAATTTTTTTTGTTTTTTCAACTCGATTCATGTTTCATGTTTTTTTCTTGGTAGATTTTTGAAACAACGAAAAAAATCTCAAATTTCATTTTTTGTACTGGAATCAATTTCCGTCGTGTTATATACTTTCATGGTGTGTTTCATCTTGAAATTTTTTTTTTTCACACACACACACACATATGTGACATATGAATTCATCAGACAAAAATTATATTGCCCTATGAGTGTTGTGTGTTGTGTTTTTTTTGTCATTGTCATTCTTTCCATGAACAAACACACACACACACACACACACAGAGACAGATATCGAATTTCAAACATTTTCTTTTGATCTTCAATATATAAAATACCAACGGGAAACGATTTGGACAACAACGATTCCCAGTCTCCGGTTCTGTTTTTTTTTCAAATGGTTTAAATTTTTTTTTTTTATTTTTTCTATTTTAAAATAAATTTCAATATCATCATTATATCGTTGTGACCTTCAAAGATTTATGTCAAAGATCTGTGTGACTGTTTTATTTTCTCTTTCTCTCATCTTATATAAATCAAAGATGTTGTTGAATGTTTAATGATTTCAATATATGAAACGAAACCAAAATCCATAAATATCGTGACCGTAATTTCCGTCTCTAGTATATAGTATATTATTGCACTGCAAATGCAATGCAATCGGTTTTCTTATCAGACCGGCTGACTGTATGCCATACTTTCACCCAAATTTAATGAATTGAATCGAAAAACTAAAACTAAAACTAAAAAAAAAAATTTGGGCAAGTCCTACGCCGTAGCACTGGTGAAGCCAAATGAATTTTAATTGAAAACTTTTTTTTCTCCATTCAAATCAAGGTGAATATGAAAAAAAAACATCTCCTGATATATATCAAACACATGACTGTTCACAATGTTGAGATTTCTCGAAAAGAAAAATATGTACATAGCTAATTTGTCAATAGAAAAAAAAATCTTTTTTTTGCGGTTTTTTTTATAGTCAACTATATATATGTGTACGAACGGTAAACAAAGATTATTTCTCGATTCATCAATTTAGATTTATATCACCATCATCAACATCGTTTGATATATTTGTGGTCATTGAGCGCATTGGTTCCTATGACAATAATCAAATTATATTATTAATATTACACAAAGATCAACAAAATTGATCTTGTGATATTTTCACTTGATATAACAGGTGTGGTGATTTTTTTTCTCAAAAAAAAAAAAAAAAAAAAAAACATTCTTTATCGATTTCCAAACATACACACACACAACAACCATAGCAAACAGCAGCAGCACTAAACAAAATTCATGCAATTTTTGTGTGTTTACTATTCTCACCAGATTTTCAATATTTTTTTTTCACTAAAAATTTTTTATCTTCTGCTTTAAATTCATCCAAATATTTTGGTCATTGACTCTTTGTTTTTGTTGTTTTTTCTCTTTCATACAAAAAACATTTGTTCATCACCAAACATCATCCACATTATCGACAAAATGCAATTAACAACAACAACAACAACGATGATGATGATATATTTTAAACCTTGAAAATTTTGCTTCACGAACGAAATCAAAACATCCGGTTTTTTTTGCTTCATTTCAATTCCCGACGACGACGACAACAACGGATTGATTTTGAAACTTTTTTTTCTTTCCTGGTTCGTTTGTATTTTTTTTTTATTTTTGGTTTTTTGTTCAGCGATAACTAAATCTTTGACCCCAAACCGTATCTATTATGATAATGATGATTTTTCCCATTTCGGAAGAATCACAATAGTGATTTTTGTTTTTATTAATGTTGTTGTTGTTGTTGCTACATGTTGAAATATCGTTTCCACACACACACATATACACACGCATATAATGACGATCATGAATCACCGCTGAATGAATGAAAACTAAACAACTAAAAGCAGCAGCAGCAGTAGTAGTAGGAAAAAATCAAATTGAAACGGTCAATTTATCAAACGCTCGGTTCAATTTTATATATTAATCCCCTCAACATGAAATGAACTACAAAGAGAGAGAGAGAGAGAGAAAGAAAATTAAGCCGAAAAAAGCAAATTTGTTCGATTGATTGATTTTCACAATGAAATTGCAGTGAAAAAAAAAAAATTTTTTTTCTCCAAAATTTATAATAATGATCCAATGGATGAATGAATCATCATCATCATCGATTTCCGGAAAATTTTGCACATTTTGCAAAAAATTTCCGTTTCCTTTGCTATGTGGAATGATTGCTTTTTTTTATTTACACACAAAAAAATGATAAAAATGTTGTTTCACCCCAAGATTAATTGTGAGATTTATTTTTGGAATCATAAACTTAATCCATTTTGTTGTTGTTGTTGTTGTTGTAATCATCAATATCTGTCATCATCATCATCATCATCAGATTAATTAATTGATGATGGTGGTGTATATCATCCACTAAAATACATTCATGTCATATGGTGTTGTGGTAGCAAGAGGGAAAATAACCAGAAAAAAATGACTTAAAAAAGTCCAAATAATCGCCGGATCAATCAATCAATCAATCAATCAATAGATAGATAATAGTCTTAAGTTGATTGACTTATCAAGATGATGATCCTCTCATCCTTGGATTTAATCTATTTGATCGAATGTATTCTCTCTTTCTCTATCTATCGCTCTAAATTTTACTACTATCTAAATCATACTTGTCACAAGACATTATGATCATCATAATTAATATTAAATCGTCTTTTATGATGGTTTAATAAATGCAAACATGTCACATACACAAAACATCTTGATGTTTGTCCTCGTTCTCCATTTTTTTTGTTGTTGTTGTTGTTCTAGAATCCATCAGTTTGTAATTAATGGATGAAAAAATTATAACGGCCATTCTTTTTTTCATTCGGTGAAACATAACAGGAACATGAAAAAAATACTACCAATATCAACATCAATCACGATTGATTTAATCGAAACATTTTTTTTTTGGTAAAAAACAAAAAAATTTTGTTGTTATTGTCAATCACTAGTACTAGTAGTGTCTCTCACTTTTTTCTCTATCTCGGTGTCTGTGTGTGTGTGTCGTCGTTGTTGGAAACAAACACACACACACACACACACACACACAGACCAAAACAAATTGCAGATAATCATTTCTATGGTTTTTTTTTCGAAACAAAATGACAAATTTTTATTTTTGTTATTCATTCATTTCATGTTGGTTTGTATAACTTGGCTTTTGGTTTTTTGTTGTTGTTGTTGTTGTTGTTGATAACATATCAACAAGCAAATGAGAGTCGTGAGAAAACCACAAACATACACATATACAACGTGATAATCCCATCAGTGTATATATCCAAATCAAGTTGATGATGATGATGTTCACATGGATATAGTTTTTTTTATGTGCTGGATACCAGAGAGAGAGAGAGAGAGAGAGAGAGAGAGAGAGAGAGAGAGAGAGAGAGAGAGAGAGAATGAGATAAAATCTCCTGTGTAGTAAATTTTTTTTTTACCCGGTAACCGAGAGAGAGAGAGGAGAGAGAAAACCGAAAGAAATTTTGTTGACTATCTGATTATCAATGTGAATCATTATTATTTTACATTGGAAATCTACACCAGAAACCAAATGAGAAAAAAAGAACAAAAACAATGAAAAATCATGATTAACGGAAATGTTATTTTTCGAAACAATTGCCTGAATTAAGTAAATAAATGTTTGAGTGTTTGTGTGTGTGTGTGTGTAATTCAATTCATTTCCGTTAAATTTTGATTGACTAACTAAATTGGTTGATTGTTGTTCAAGTGTCATCATCATTTTTGGTTGTTCATCTTCAATTTCCTTTTCAATTTATAAAATGAATGAATAAAAAAAACACGATATTTTTGTTTTTCTATATTTCTTTTTTCCTGTCAATTTTAATTTGTAGCCGCCGCCAATGATTTAAATCAATCAATCAATCAAATAAACAAAAACAAATAAAATTGAACAAAACAAAACAGAAACGGATATTTGACAAAATTAAAAACAAAAATAACAATGGAAAACGATCGAACATGGCCCCTAAAAATTAGGGTTTATTATGGAAATATCGAACATAAAAATGATGATGATGATGTTCTCATTCGTGTACGTGGTGATTATTCTATCGGTAATTTGATGGCTTTGATTGGACAACAAATTGGTAAGTGTAAAATTTTTTTTTTAAAAACTTTTTTAAGTTTTTAAATTTTCTAGGTGCACAACATGATTGGTCAGATTATGCACTGTGGTGGCCAACAAAAAAACGATGGCTAAAAAATTGCCGTATGACAATGGACCAAGTGGACGTGTGTGCCAATACGATCCTGGAATTTCGACAAATGCATCAAACACTAAGGATACAATTTCCTGATCTGAATATTCAAGAATTAAAAATTGATTTCTCCGTCAATGTATTGCAAGCTGTGGCAAAATTATGTCAAATAATCAACATTAGTCATCCAGAAGAATGGTCATTTGCAAGACCATTGACAAATCATGAATTAAAACGTAATGATCATCATAACCATCATAATCGATATTTACAAGCAAGTCCATTGCAAAGGTTTCCATCAACAACAACAACATTATCTCGATATAAAACAACAACAACGAATAACAACAACAACAACAACAATATCTACAGTAATACAATGATGATGATGAATCATTCATCAAATGGTAGTCTTTTATCACAAAAATCATCGACAACAATTTCATCAAATGGTTCATCATCAATGAATGATTCAAATCATAGTCTGACGAAATCATTTTCGATCACCATCAACAACAATAGCAACAATTCACGTGATACAGTTCCGCTATTGTTACCGCATCCAAAATCATCAATACAAAAAGCCCGATTGAATTCTGCGTGGCTCAATGCATCCATTTCGTTGTTCGAACAAGATGTCTGTGAAAATGATTTGCTATTATTGAAAGTTAAATATTTTACATTTTATGATCTAAAATCATCAGAATTAACACGTATAAATTATCTTTATGAAAATTTAAAATGGAACATTCTCCAGGAACAAATATCCTGTACAGAAGATGAAATGTATACATTGGCTGGTATTATGTTACAGGTTAGTTATTGTAGCGGTGAAAATGGTCGTGGTAAACAAATTGATAATAGATTATTATCAACACCACCACCACCGTCAATGCATAACAATAATTCTAATGGCCATCATCATCATCATCATAATCATCACCATCAATCCAAAATGAATGGTAATGGTTACCATAATCACAATAATAATAATAATAATAATAATAATGGTAATGGATTGAATGGTTCAATATCATCATCAACATCAACATCGAATGATATTGATGAAGTAGATTGTGCATTAGAAACATTGGAAAAAGAATTACAAACATTTAGTATTGTGGAAAAATCCAATAGTGGTGGTGGTGGCGGTGGAATCGTCACCAGGATGGTTGGTTCAAAAATTCAAATACCAATATTGGAAGATAAATTGAAAATATCATGCCAAAAAATGAAAAATTCCACATCAACATTGGCAAGAATCAAGTCAACAATTTCTGGAAATGATCGTACATACTATACAATATTTCGTGATACAACATTATATGCATATAGGCCACAAGATTTTGATCACGATTCAATGAATCCAACAAAAGAACCGGAAATCGTATTGAACATGAATATATGCGAAGTGAATCCAGATGTATTGGCCAGTCAACAACGATATTGTTTCCAGATAATTGATTCATCAAAGTCACGTTGTTATTATTATGTTAAATGTCAAAGTGAATTACAGTACGCAAAATGGTTTGCTGCATGTAAACAAGCTAGCCAAGGTCATACAATGGCACATTCATCATATGATGAACAAGTCCATAATACATTGAAGCTATTACAGATTCAATCGAAATTTTCGAAAACAAAAAATGTCAATAAACAAGAGCTAAAAAGTTTGGATGTCGATCCAAGTCAATTTATTGCACCAAGATTTTTGAAACGTAAATCAAAAGAACAGGTAAACAATTTATTTGATTATAGTGAATTGAATTGAATTGAATGATTGATTAATTGATTGGGGTTCTACTTACAGATTTTGGCACGAATCAAATTGGCGCATGAAATATCCAACACAAACACATTGATTGAAGCACAAATGAATTTCATAAAAACATGTCAAACATTGAAAGATTATGGAATCACAATGTTTGTTGTTCGATTTCACAAATCAAAAAAAGAGGTTTGTTTTTCATCAATCTTGATTGGTTGATTGTCAATTTTTATTTGTTTGATTATCGATCAGGATCTCCTTGGTGCTATGCCCGATAAACTCGTATTGATCGATGTAAATAATGGAACATTGAGAAAAACATGGAGATATAAAACAATGATCAATTGGAATATTAATTGGGAAGTGAAACGAATGTCGATTAATTTTCGTGATGAAACATTAGAATTCGAATGTATTAGTGCCGATTGTAAAGTGATACATGAATTTATCGGTGGCTATATCTACATGTCAATGCGTGGCAATCAAATTGATTCATTTGATGAGGAACAATTTCTTAAATTAACCGGTGGCTGGAATGAAGATGATCTTGTCAATGGTGATGATGATGAAGATGAACACATTGCAATGTGTCGTCGAGAAGCATGGGCTAATCTACATCCAGGCTTAATGGTCAAATAAAATAAAAAATTCGATTCGATTCAATATGAACAAAAAAAAACAAAAACGAACGCCATCTGGTGTTCATCTGTGAATCTTTTATTTTTTAAATTTTATTTTTTCCCGCACAAAAAAAGAAAATTGTAAAAATTTAAAACGAAAAAAAAATCACGAAAACAAACCATCAAAAATTGACAGTCTCATTCGATTATATATTGTTGATTATTATTAATCTATATTATTTAGTCATTCATCATTTTATTTTGTATATTACAAAAAATAAATGCTACTACTACTACTACTACTCAATGTTTTTGGTTTGTCAAGAAAATAAAAATGAAAAATAAAAGACAAGAAAAAATCGATGACTATATATTCTACACAAATGTGTGAGTGAGCAAGATAGAGATTGTTGAGTGAAAAAAAAATGTGTGAGAAAAAATGAATGAAATTGCTACACAAATGCGGCGAAAAAAAAATTAAATAAATCGGTTGATGATTGATTGATTGATCAATTGAATCAAAACAGGTGACAAACTTTTTTTTCCAAACAAAGTTTTGGCACATATATGAATCGTTTTTTTGCTTTGTTGTTCAAGTTTTCATCATTATGGTGTTGTGTAAAAAAAATGGAATAATAAATAAAAAAAAATAAAATCAAAATTCATTGATTGATTGATCGCGATTGAGTGAAATGATGGAAATATCGAATGGATTCATCACAGAATATGGTCGCCGCTGCCCAAGTGTTCCTCATCATCATCCTCAGCATCATCATCATCGTGATCATCAGCTTGAATTCATATTATTATCATTACGATTAATATTTGTCCAAAAATTTTCCATTGGATCCATTGGATTATATGTACCATTCATTTGTTTATAATAGATATCCAATTCCGGTGGATACGGATCACCCGAATGAAGACGTAATTTTGGTAACATTCTTTTTAGATTATCTTTGAATGACATGAAAATGTTCTAGAAAACGAAAAAATCAAAAGGATTTAGGGATTTAGGATTATTGGAACAGAAAAAATTATTCTACTCTACTTTTGGTTTTGAATCAGGATTGGTTGGCGGATACATTTGTGGATACATCGGCATCATTGGCTGTTGTGGTTGTGGCGGTGGTGGTGGTGAACTTGGAGCCGAATGGGTCGCGACAGGAGGATGTGGTTGTGGATATTTTGGATATGATGGATATGATGGATATTTTGGTTTAACAACATCCAGGCTAATATCAAATTTTGGTGCATTATCAAATTCATGATTCTTTTTGGTATATGACGAATCTTGTCGTTTGTAATATGGTGGATAACCACTACCATGGTCAGGAGCATTGATTACAATGTTTTTATTTATCTCAACCGGCATATTTGGTTTTGGATATGAATTCATCATCTGCGGCTGTGGGGCATATGGTTGACGAGCAGCTGCTGTTGGATATTGGTGGGCAATTGGTTTGGCATTTTGCATCGGTGGGACTTGTTGATGATGATGATTGGAACCGGGATAATTTCTCATCGGTGCCGCTGCTGAATGATACATATGTGGTGTTGGTGAAGGATATGAATGTACGGGTTTCGGTTGTGCATAAGCAATTGGTGGTTGTTGTGTGGGCGGATATTGCATCGGTGGCAATGATGTAGATGGATATGCTCGTTGTGGTTGTTGTTTGGGAGATGTGGGTGGTGGTGGATATGTATATTGCATTGGCCTATATGATGTCTGTGGTGGATGTTGATATTGCATTTGTGGTTGTTGATATTGTTGTTGTTGCGACTGGGGCGTTGCTGGTGAGGATGGTGTTTGGTATGGTGGACCAGGTCTTTGTGAAACATTTGGTTGTGCTTGTTGTTTTGCCGTATAATGGTTTGGTGTTGGTTGCCGATATGTCATTTGTGAGGAATATGGTGATGATGGTGGCAAAAACATTGGCATCGAAAATGGTCCATAAGGCATTTGAGGAAGTGGTGGCGGTGGTGGGTAAGGCATTCCCGGTGGAAACATAAACGGTGGCATCATTGGTGGTAAAGGATAGGGTGGGTAAGGCGGTATCATCATCGTTGGCTTGTTTGTAGTGGATGGTGAAGGTGTAGTAGTGGTCGTAGTTGATGATGATTCCGTTTCGATATCATCATCGTCATTTTCTTCAAAACTTGTTGGCGTATCATCTTCATTGCTTTCAGTTTCAGGCGTTTCAGTTGTCGAAGTTGTTGCTTCTTCATTTTCATTTTCTTTTTCTGTAGTATTTTCCATTTCTCGTTCTTCCTCTTCTCGTTCATCATCACCGTTGGTATTCTCTTCACTTTCATCTATTGGTGATGATGAATCTTCATCTACATCATCCGGTGACACGGTCGTACTAGTGGTCGATACGTCCTGTAATCGACGTGATTTACTACGCTCTTTTTTCGTCTTTTTCATATTTCTATTATTCTTATTATTCGTATTTTTATTTTTATTTTTATTTTTATTCTTGATTCTTTCTTGTAATTTTTGTGGTGATTTTGATTTCTGATTTTTCGGTGGAGGTCTACGAAGTTGTGATGTTGATTTTGCTGTTGTTGTTACACTTGTAGGTGTTTTCATTACATTTTCATCATCATTATCATTATCATTACTGACCATAACATCAGCTGTTCCGGCAATGTTATTACGTAAATCATCTAGATTTGTTAGCGATATTTTTTCCACTTTAACAATATAATCTTGATTTTGTTTAGGAATCTCTGGCACATCATATTCACTTATCGGTGGTAATGGAATATTTTCAACACTTGCTTTCGGCAATATACGTACAACATTCAATGGTGATGGTGTATAGCTATTGATCAGGCTGTCTGTTATATTCTGTTGTCGATCTGTCAATCAATCAAATCAATCAAAATGTAAATGAATAAATTAATATAATTGAAAAACAAAAATGTAAATGGTTGTCTACTTACAATTATTGTTGAAAAAATTTCTTGATGGAGTCTGTCTTTGTTTTCCAAATGATTGTCGATGATTCCATTGTTGATTAGGTACATAACTTTGATTTTGTCTTAGTCTCGGTGTCCATTTCCCATCATCACCATTATTGTTGTTGTCGTTGTTTGAAAAAGCAGAACTCCAATGAAAAGCATCGAAAGTGATTGGTTGTGAAATTTGTTTTGTCGTCGTTTTGATTTGATTATCATCAATATTCGATGACGATATGATGGAAATCGGTCTAATACCTAGTGTAACTTCATCAATATTTTGTAGACTACTACTAGTGCTAGTAATGGTCGGTGGTGCTTGAATTATAGACACTTGATCATCATAATTCAATTTTGTCTTTGGTGTAATATTGAAATTAAAATCTTTTCTAGTCGGTGTAATCATTGTCAATATAGATTGTGCATTTTGTTGTGTTGGTGTAGAAGTTGGTAAATTGTAATCAGTGGTTGTTGTTGTTGTTGTTGTCGGTGGTAAAATCTGAACATTTTGTTGTTGTTGAATATAATGGTCATCATTATTATATGGTCGAAGGATTTTTGCTTTTGTTACACCACCATTATTGTTGTCATTCCAATTGATTGAATCTTAAAAAAAATAATCAAAATCCAGATTTGAAAACAAAACAAAACCAGTTGTTACTTACCAATTATGTTGTTGATTTTATTTCTATTATTATTATTATCGATTACAACATTCTCGACAAACTGATGAATCGATGATTGTGGTTGCGATAAAGCAATTGGTTTATTGGTGGTTGTTGTTTGAATATCCGTACTAGTAATTGGCTGCTGTTGTTGATTCAGATCATTTTGTCGATAATATTCCAACAATTGTGCCAATTGATTTTGATCAATTTCTGTAATTTGATTATTACTACTACCACCACCACCACCACCACTATTAGCAATATATGACGATTTTAATGTTGACTTTTGTTGTTGTTGTTCTGGATTTTTTTGATTAATCAAGCTACCTTTTGGATATAGTACATAATCTTCAGTCGTTATTTCAGGCTGCTGCTGCTGCTGATTATTACTAATCGTTGTTGTTGTTGTTGTTGTCGTAAAAGGTGTTGAATAATAATAAAACTTTTCGTCACCATTTAATAATGCTACAACGTTGTTGTTGTTGTTGTGAAATGATGAAAAAAAAATTTATAATTAGTTTTCAATCAACCAATCGATAATTTCAGTCAAGTAAAATAAGGTGTGTGTGAATAAAAATAATTATCACTTGATTTGATTCGATAAATGGCTTAAGGATAAAAAAAATTTTTCTCATCGCCATTATAAATCTATGACATGTTGTTGTTGTTGTCGTTGTATCGATTAATACAAACAATCTCATAAATTATTGGCCAAGTGCAAGGTCAAGATCACACACACGCAAAAAAATATTTGACCTAATCTTCTTAATGACAATCTACTTAAAAATGTCACTTGACGGTGATTGTTGAATAAGTAACAAAAAAAATCAATAAATAAATCAGCCGGTATTTTATGATATGGGTATAAATGTCTCGCAATCATATTTGATGACCAGCAACATTTATGTTAATTAATTGATGACTTTTTTTTGTTTTGACCATTAAAAAAAATGATCATTAAACTTCATCATCATATATAATGGGGGCCAATAGTTCATTATATTTGGACAATTAATTATTAGAGCAATTGTCCATTGCCAGACAAAAAAAAATATTTGAGGTCATCAACTTACCTGAGGTTTGTTTTTGTTTATCATCAGCATCATCATTATTATTAAATTTGATATTTTGATTTTGTTTAAAATCAATCGTTCGATCTATCGATGGTGATGAATCAACAATATTTGTTGATGTGGAGGAGGTAACAGCAGTAGCAGTAGTTTTAATTGGTATGGCTGTTGTAAATGGAAAAATTGGTTCATTTTTGGCAACAAATTTATTTGTCAATTGTTGTTGATTCAATGATGATGATGATGATGGTTTTCGTATACGATATATATCATTGTCAATTTTTCGATGATTCGTTGTCGTTTGTTGTTGCGATGTTCGTGTTCGTGACCGTTGATGACCAGATATCGACGCCGATGACGGTGATTTTGTGGTAGTCGATTTCGATGTTTCAAGTATATCTATGGAGTGGAACAAAGAAACAGACAAAATTATATATAAAAAATGGTTTTATCAATTGACAACAACAACTTTTTGGCTTATTTTTGGTTTTGTTTTGATTATTATCCACAAAACCAATGTGGTCATAGACACTCATGTATGGTGTATTATCATCATAATAATCCAACATAACATCTGGGCTTTTATCATCATCATATTGAACAAATCTATAAACAACATCATCATTATTATTGATGTTTCCGATGGCTGCATTCACAAACAATGTAACATTATTATGATTCAAGGTAAATAAAAAAATCATCAAAATGAATTTCAATCGAATCATTGTAGCCATTTTCCGGTGGTTCATCATCAATATTTAAATGGCCACACAAAAGAAAAAGAAAATGCACGTGGTCGGCGTTTTTTTTTTGTCTTTAATTTATGAAAAACTTTCACATATGAATCAATCAATGGATGGATTTTGACTGACTGAATGAAACTTGAAATGAGCAAAACACACATACATACACACACATACACACAAGTTCGATTGATTGATTCAAAACGAAATGAAACGAAAAACAAAAAACAAAAAAAAACTAGAAATCATAAAAGAGCATCAAGATAAAAGACAATCATCATCATCATCATCATCTGATGGTCTTTGGAAATTTATTCATTGAAAGAAAAAAAAAATAAAAGAGTCAAACTGTTTGTGAAAGTACCGAACAAACAAACAAACAAACGAACGAAAAAAAAACTTGGAGAGAAAGCGAAAATTCAGGAGAATGGAAATAAAGGAAATAAACGGCTGTTGTTTTTTTTTCGATGTCCTGAATGAAAATAAAAAAAAAAGATAAACTAGCGATAATGGATAAATTAGCCACACACACATACATTTATCATAGAAGAAAAACGTGCAATTTTGCTTGTAGCATCCAGTTGTTGTTTTTTTGGATTCAGGATTTGTATTTTTTTTTCTTAAAACCACTACTTCTATATGGATAATAGATAATGGGATTGAGAAATGAACTGTCCAAAAAAAAACAGTTGTGTTTCCTTTTCATTTAAAATTTACATTATTTGATCATCATGTTGTTTGTTTCACGGAAATACCTGGAAATGATGACCTAATCTAAACTAAATATCAACAACAACACATCTAAAGTGTTATTTTTTTTTACTAATCAAAAATAACCATCACAATAACAACAACAACAACAACAACACCGGATAATCGTTATGTTTGTATTTTATATCGAACTAAATTAATAAATTATATTATAAATGATGATGATAATCTATGTGCATCAGCATTTAGTAGAAAAAAATAATATCAAGGATGATGATGATGAGGCACCCTTGGAAATATCGTGGATGGTAATAACAACAACAAAAAAAATCAAGAGTTAAACAACAACATGTCATAAGAAGTTCAATACTCTCGAATGGTGGTAGAGAGAGAGAGAGAGAATAAAATTCGGTCACTAAAAAAAAAAATTTCATGGCTATGGTGATGATGATGTTAATTAGATAACTTGTTTCTCGTGTTTTTTTTTCACTCGCTCTTGTGCTTCAAGGAAAAAAAAATAAATATCACTCACACTTGTATTTCAATATTTTCGCAAAAAAATAAAGGCAAAAAAAAATTATTTTTCCCTATTGATTCAATCTAAAAATAAAAGATAAGATCACCAGATGATATGATTTACCTTTAAATGATGATTGATTCGGTGGTCGCCTTTGTCGATCATCATCGGCATCATTCATCATTGTAAATAGATATTCATATGCTTTGTTACGATCATAATAATTGCCATGAATATTTGAATCGAATAAATTTTTCAATTCAATTTCACGTTCATTATCATTTGTTGCAATTTTTATTACTGGTGATTTCAATCTATGTTGATGTATTGTTGTTGATGGTGAATTGTTGTTTTTGACCACCGTTTTCAAACCAATCGATGTTGATGATGATGATGAACTAGTTTGCTGATGCGATATCGATTTATTATTATTATTATTATTATTGCCACCATCCAATTTTCCAAGGAAATGTTCCAATTTTAAATTATTAGTATGGTTTGACGATGATGATGGTGGTTTCATATCGAAAAATGTTGTTTTATGAAAATCATCATTTTTGGACTTGTTGTTGTTACGATGTTTGTCTAGGGTATTTTTCTTATGATTTTGATTTCGATCACCACCACCACCCAAATCAAAATCGAAAAAATTATCGACCATTAAATTTCCATCCCTGAATGATGATGATGATTTTTTCTGATTATTATTGCCACCACCAATATCATTGTTGTTGCGCTGGTTGTTTGGTTCATTATTAATGTTTATGTTCAAATTTTCTTTATCAAAAAAATTGAAAAAATCTGGTTTCAATTCAAATTCATTTGATGGCTTTTGTTGTTGTTTATGATTATGATCAAACTTTGATGATCCACCATGATGATCATCATCCCAGATAACGGCCATTATTTTATTATTTGGATCAAAATTTTGAACCATATTGTTTTGGTTGTTGTTTTTATTTGTGTTTGTTTTGATTCGGAATAAATCCCCATCATTATTACCATTACCATTATCGTTATGGTTATGGTTATGATGATGATGACGATGATGATGATGATGATTACCAGGATTATTATGTAAAGGATAGATTGGATTCAATGCTTCATCATGATGATCAATTGATTCAAAATTATTATGGCTATTATCATCATCATCATCATTTGTTGAATAATAAAATGACAATGGATTATTATTCTTCAATTTTTTCTTTTTATATCTTCTTGTATTCACAACGGGATTATTTTTCGGATCGATAATCGTTGTTGTGGTGGCTATGATCGTCCTGTGATTGTCATATGATGATGTAAATGGTGAATTTTTTCCAGATTTATCCTTGTTGTTATTGTTGACACCCGATGCATATATAACCTGAAAATTATCCAAATCTAAATGAAGAATAAAAACAGAAAAATTAAAAAAAAAAAAAAAGAAAACAGAAGGACAAGGACATGGTCATCGTTTCCAATTAAAGAAACACAAAATCCTAGTGGGCTATATTTGAATCAACAGCAGCAGCAACTACAACAACAACAGAGAAAAAAAGCTGATTATCAATCATCTAATCAATCAATCGGATAGAAAAAATGGGCAAAATTTCTATTCTTGGACAATATTTTTAACATCAAAATGTTTATAGTGAAAAGATGTAAAGAAAAAAAAAATCTCTATGCAAATTTTGCTGGACAAACAACAAACAAACACAAAATCCGATCGTCAAATCAATCGTATTACTTTTTTTTTCTCAAAATATCCACATGCACTAGGCTAACTGAACATTTCTTCACATGAATTAAGTTTATTTGTGTGTAAAGATGATTTCAAATCACCATCATCATCATCATCATCATCGTTGTTTTTTGTCCATGAATAAAAGAAGGTGAGAGGTCAGAAATAGAAAACAGAAATGATCGAAGACCAATTGTCATGAATGATGATGATGATGATGATGATGGTTTTTTTTTGTTGAAATCCAAAAAAAGGTGTGAGAAACAACAAAATGTGTGTGTGTGTGTGTGTGTGAACAATGACATTCAAAAAGGAAAAAAAATTTAAAAATAAAATTCAAAATTCACAATTCGTTCAGCTTCTGATTTAAGTAGCCAGCCCTTAGTTCAATTCATATAAATTAAATTTATAACCAAAAATACATCTGACATACCCTTGACAGATGATGATGATGATGATGGCAATGACGATGAAACTGGTCGCCGTTCAACAATGACACGATCCACACCATCTTTATCGTCGAATATTTGATTTACAATCTTTGAATATTTACTACGTTCATCTGCCGTTGTTGTTACATCGATTGCTGTGATGTTTTTTTTGTTGTTGATGGTTGTTTGAATGGAAAATGAAAATAAAAATAAAAAAAGTCATTTTGTTGTCAACATGTTTCGGTCACGATTTTTGTTTTGTTTACCTCCATTATTCTTTGCATCAGCTTTACTTGCATCTTCATATAATTTGAATGGATCAATTGTTAATTCAGGACTTTTATAATTGCCAAATATTGATTTAATATCTATGTTTTGTGGTGAATACGATGTTGTTGCATCACTAATCATTTTGGATCGTTCAGGTTTAGCCACTATAATAGAATAGGAAAGAAAATGTTTTTTTTTCAATTTGATCAATAAGGCTATTAGCTCATAACAATTACCTGTTTCAATACGTTGACTTTCAGCTGACAACATCATTAGATAATCATTATCATCAACAAGACTAGAAACATAGTGATTATTGTTCCTGTTACTATGATTGTTTCGCATCATTAAATTATCATCAACATCTGTATTATCCATATAATCAATATCAATTGATGATTCTGGATCTTTTGGTTTTATCATTGTTATTGTTTGATTGTTTTTAGCTTTACGAATATTTGTATGATGATGATTCAAAATCATTGCAGATGACAAAGGCAATGTATCCATAGACGGTATATAATTGTTTTCAACGATTGGATTTTTGATTGATTGATTTTTATAATCAGATAATGTTGATGGAAAACTTTGATGGCCAACAAAATTATCTAATGATAATGTTGATGATAGTTGTAACACCGATGTTGTTGGTGGTGGTGGTGGCGGTTTAGTTGTTCGTCGTCGTCCATGTTTATGTTTTGATGACGATGATGATAATGTACCATTGTTGTTATTAGATATTTTTTGTTGACGTTTCTTTTTCTTTTTACGTCGTGGTTTCATTGCTACGGATACTGATGGTGATGGTGATGTAGTTGATTTGAAATCTATTTTTTTTTTCATTCACCAGAAAATAAAAATTATCAATTATGAATATTATGGTTATCATCATCAAATCAACACACTTACCATTCAATTTTGTTGTTGTTGTCGATGTTGGTATGAAAACCGGTGCCGGTTGTACTATATCATCACCATCATCATCTTCGTCACCGTTTTCGGTCAATGATACTGGTACATATGTACGACTATTATTCAAACTAACAATCTTTGATTCTTTATCGATTATATTCGATTTTGATAAAAAATTTGTCTCTGTGTGTGTGGTTGAAATAAACAAACAAAAAAAAAATTCACGTCAAAATTTAATTCATCATGGTCATCAAACTTACTTGGAGCTAATGCTGCCGTATATGGAACGGATGATTCTTCTTTTATATTATCATCATATAAAAATTGTGATTGCTGCTGCTGCTGCTGAGGCTGCTGTTGACGTTGTTTTTTAAGTTGATTTTTTTCAAATGTAATGGAAAAATCTTGAAAATTTTCATTCAAATTTGTTGGTATCATCGAATCATTATTATTATTATGGAACAATTTTCGATTCGAACTATCTTTACTTAGATAAAGGACATCCAGATTATCATCATTGAATAGTGATACATTTTTTGTCACTAGTGTTGACAATTCACAATCATTAAAATTGATGATGATGATGATGATTGTCAGAATCATTGAAACTATACAAATTATATGAAAAGAGAATATTTGGACATCAGAAAAAATTTTTTTTTTGTTGGAAAAAATTTCTACTTACATTTCAATGATGATGATGATGATTTTTGGAAAGCCATCATTTATCGATGAATTTGAATTGATTTTTCATTCAAATTTTTTTTTTGTATTAATGATTTTGATGAATTCGAAAAGTGTGTCTATGTGGGTCGAAATAGAATGAAACTGTTTTTTTTCTGTTTGATGATCGAACAATTTCAATCAATTTTTGACATTCTGAAATTTAAACAGAATCTTGGCAATGTTTTTAGTAATGTGTGTGGCTATTTTTGTCATGACAATGAATAATGATGATGATGATGACGATGAAGCAAGCCACTGGCAAACAAATATAATAAATAAAATTCAATTTATTGCTCGGTCGATAAAGTCAAAGTTTAACTATTTTTACAATCACATAAAACACACACACACACACACACATCGACATCGACGATGACAATGAAAGGTGGACACAATCGATTTTGATAACCAAAACTAAACAACCAAATCGACCCTTACACACAAACACACGCACACATCATTTATGACAGTGGTCATTTGGCCAATGAAAGAAGAAAAAATTTTTTTCTTGGCTCTGATAATCGATGGTCATTTTTGAATGAAAAAAAAAAATAAATTTTTTCAAAAGGGCGTCAAACAACAACAACATCGTCAACATTGAATAAAATGGTTGATTGTCAAAACAACAACAAAAATTGAATAAAAATTTCACTTTGAATTTCTTCGTTGGTTTTTGTGCGAGAAACAACAAAAAAAAAAAAAACATAAACAGAAAATTCAATTCATGATGGGCAGGCATGCAGGTATGTGACAATTGTCAGATGATGATGATCATCATCATTGTCAAGAAAAGAATTTTTTTGAAAATCAGATGAATCACCAGAAAAGAGAGAGAGAATAGAGAAAAAAAATCGTTGGCTTAATGGTATTTACTTGATGGTAGTGAGATCATCATCATTGTCACATATTTTGAAACATGGTTCTTTTACATTTGTTTATGAGAAGAAGCAACAAGCAAATATGGATGAGAGCCACTGATGATGATGATGATGATGAGTGGATAATGAATAAATGAATGATGTGGAAACAACAAAGAACCACCAACATGGAAAAATAAATCACAAACTAATTTAAAGTTAAAATTTTTTTTTTATTACATTCACTCACACAATATTCGAATGAAAAACGAAAATTTTTTTTTTTTGTTTCTTTCCGTTGAACAACAACGATATCATCTGAATGATAATAGTCTTGTAGGCAAATTATCGTTTGTGGTGAAGCCGATTTTTGTTTTTTGTTTTTTAGTTGATGATGATCATTTTTTTTTAGTAATTCGGTTCCAAAACAGTGATTTTCATGTGTTTTAACATTTTTTTTTATCACCGAAAAAAAATCAACACACACACATATGACATATCAATCGAATTGAATTCGAATGACTAAAAACATTCGAATTTTTTTTTTCGGTGGTAGCCAAAAAAAAAATCCGATCATTCGTCAAAGTTGATACAAAAAAAAAGAGATGAGATAAGATATTTTTTTCTGGTTTTTTTTTCGGTCAATTTTATTTCGATGTGGACAAATATATCGAAAATTATGATGAAGAGACGATCATCATCATCATCATCATCATCGACAATGTTTAGATAACAGATAACTAGGGATGATGATGGTTCAGACGAAGATTATAAACTCGAAGTCGAAAAAAAAATAATAATAATAAGGATAACCGGAAATTTCAAATGAAAACTTTCAGAGAGACTAAATTAGTGATTGATTGAACGGAGAGAGAGTATAATTCATGTGGATGGGGGATATTGAGATATGGTTAAAAGATGAAATTTTCGTTGATTGAATTGAGATACGAGCAATTTTTTTTTTTTTTTTTTTGGTTGAATTTTGTTGATTTTCTGCTGCTTCGTGATTACTTTTCGTTTCGAAAACATGTGTTTCGTTTTTTTTTCGTCAATCAATTTTTTTTTGTTGTTGTTGTTGTTGTCACAAAAAAATGAATGAATGAATGAAAAATCGCTTTTTTTTCAGTTCTCGTTGCTTATGTTTTGTCCATCATCGTTTCGGAATCGAACAGTATAAGTAAAGAAAAGTATGTCGGTGGCACGCAAATCTTATTGGATGATGATGAAGATGATGGTGATGGTGGCCAAAAATAGTGAAATTTTTTTTTCTGCCCCCAAATAGTAGCTTCGTGATATAGACAAAAAAAATAAACAAAACACTTGCTTTCGATCTCTCTCTCTCTCTCTCTCTCAATCACTCTCTATTTCTACATAATCATCATCATCAAGAAAAAAAAATTTTTATTCAAATCAAAAATAAAACAAAAAAAAATTACCGCTAATCAGGTCCATTTGGAATTTGTACGCTGTTTTTTGGAGTTATTCATAAAATTCGTTATGAAACCAAAGAAAAAAAAACTGGTACACACCCACTCAACCAGGTTGAATTTGAATTTTTTTTTCGCATGCGAAAAAAATCCAACATTAACAATGTCAACCATTCATCCAAATGATCATTTCGAATCATCATTAGCCAATATCAACCAACACCACCATCAAAAAAATGGGTAAATTAAATTGAAAAAATCTTACTACTAATGCTGCGAAATGTGCAAGAAATCATAATATAATCCATCTCCATTTATAATCGATCAAACAAACAAACGAAAAATGAAAGAATGAACCCAAATTTAGATTCGGGTGTCATTCAGAAAGAGAGAAAAAAATGCATCATTATCATTATCATTGGCCATTGTGTGTCTTTGTCGTTTTTTTCAAGAAAAAAAATAAACAATAAAAATCATCATCATCATCATTGATTGTTTTTGCCAGAGAAGAAAAAAAAATGTTTGAAATTCCAGTGTCAAAAAAAAAAAATTCCAAAAACTCACGCACACACACATACACACATTCTGATCGATAATGATCATGGTGATAATTAGATTTTAGCAGATCCACACACACACACTGATCAATGTGAAATGGTGGAAAAAAAATGAAAATTTTTATTTGTTTTATCATTCAATTCAATATATAATCACTGGCATCGTTTTTTGTTTCTGTCTTCACTCTTCTTGTCGATGTCGATCAAGTGGTGAATGTGTTCACCATGGTAAAATGCGGTCACCACTAAATATATTATGATGATGATGATGATAAACAGACACAGCCATAGAAGAAAAAAAATATATATATTTGACATCGTTTTTGATTTTTTTGGATTTTTACCATTCGTAAATGTGTGCGACATAACCGTAAGTTTCTATTTTAGATATATTCGAACCAGTTATTTTTCATTCATCCAACATCATCCAACATCAAGCGTGACATACAAAAATGACGTATGACTCTGCTACTTTATTTATTTTTTTTTTCATTTCAAAATTTTCAAAACAAATAGAAAACAAAAGTTCACTTTTCATCATCATCATCATCAAATGACAATCATTCATTTTGTAAAGAATCGTTGAACAATAAAAGTTCGTGTGTACGAATTGCAAAAGAATTCATTTTTCAAATGAATTCAACGTTCGATTTTACTGGTTGATGATTGTTGAAAAATGTGATAACATCGTTATCGTTTTCGTTTTACATACAAAAATTATAATTTTAGAAAGAGTAATATATTTTTATTTTAAAAAATGAAAATGAAAAAAAATCAGTTAAAAATGCGGTGTGTGTGTGTGTGTAAATATAGTTGGAAATAATACGGTCATCAGATTTTTTTTTAGTTTATCGTTCTCTCTCTCTTCGTGTACGATGGCGATAAGATCATCAATCAATTGATGATCACAGACACACACACACATCAACATTGTCCACGTCTTTTAGGTTTTATATAACAAGGTCCAGGTGGTGCATCAACAATACGACAATTTTTTGATCGTTTCATTACTGGATAATATTGTCCATTACTTGATACATATTGTATAGGTGCAGGTGCAAATGGTGAATGATAACAATATGGAATACGAGAATAATATGGATAATAATAATAAGCCGAATATATAGGATAATATGATGATGTAATCATTGGGCCCCAAATAAGCATTTTTGTTTAGGTTTTATGTTTCAAAGATTCTATATCAAAAAAAAAAAAAATAAAACAAAACGATGTTATTATCATTGAAAGTTAATGAATGAATGAATGAATGAAAGTGAATGTGAAATTATTACGCAGTAGTAATCACAAGAAATTCTATTATTATTATTATAAACACCTACGCTTTTCTTCTTTTTATGTGTTTTTGGGTGCAAGTAGCTTTGATGTTGATTGCATTTTTTGATATTAATTTCGTAACTGAGTAGTAGATATTGACGATAGGCTGGCGATTTATATATAGACGTTTTTTTTCCAAACTTTGGAAGTGGCATAGAAATAACATTGATGATGATGACTTGCCCATTTCCGATAAGTATATGTGAATGTAGAATAAATTTACGATTATCGTCGTTTTGAACAAACGGATGATCTTCGATATGATGATGAACAAGGACGTTGTGCAGCAACAACAGGTGCCGGTGGTACACATACTCTACTGCTCATAATGGAAATCGATGTTGCCGTTGGAATTATAGCCGGCATAACCGCCGGAACAGGAACAATTGCTGGTGCTGGAACAACGGCCAAATTCATTTGATAACAATGACGACAACAACGTTGTTGAAGTGGATAACCAAAACAGCTACACATTGTCATATAGGCATTGCTTACAACCGGTACGCTTAAACCAACGTTGAAAAACATTTTGAAGAAATCAAAAAAATCATTGAATCTAAAAAAACAAAATAAAAAAATGAAATGAAAAAATTTCCAATGAAACGTTTTATATTTATACCATTTTTTTGAAATGGACGTCAAATAATTCTACCAAATCATCATCGTCATCATTCGATCTATTCATTTGAACATTATTGAATGGAATTAATCAATGAAAAAACAAAACAAAAAACAAAAAATCATACCTTTTGATCAATCAATCAATCAATCGAACACTGCAAAAAAAAAGAATTCACACTACACATACAATATTGCTGTGGCGCCACCTTTTGGTTTGTTTTTCGAATAAAACACTTTTATTTTTATTTTTTTTCATCAAATATCATTTTAAAAATAATAATAAAATTGATTGATAAACAAATGAAAAGAAAAATTGATTTAAATAATTTTGAATGAAAGATAGAGGAAAAATCTGTTCTTTGTTTTGTTTTTTTTTGCTGTGTTTCTTCATACTTGTGGGATAAACTTTGCATTCAAATCGAATGGTGATAAGATAGAAAGTGGTGAGAGAGAAAAAAAAACTAAAATGGAAAAAAGATGAACAAAAAGCATTCTGAATGATTAATGATTTTCAAACGAAGCATACATTTGATGACATTCTGCGGTTTGTTGTTGCTGTTAATTAAGAACTAATGATTTAATGATCGGCACACACACACACACATTAAAGTGAAACAATTTCACCTGGAACTTCGGGCTGTGGTGATTCAGCTGTGGCATGTCCATTCTCTTGATGACTTATTACATCATTGGCCACCGGATCACCATTACAGGGAATATTTTTTAAAACATTCTCATTATTATCATTCGATTGTTGTTGTTCATTTAATTTAGTGGTGGCTATTGGATCAGCAACAATTTTTTCGCCAACATTATCAATATTGACTTGTTGCTGTGATTCATTTTCTTTATTTTCACCAATCATTTCGGCTGGTTTTTCACTCTCAGTTGCCACTTGTTCCGGCTGTTGTTGTTCTATTGGTTTATTGTCAGCAGAAATTGCTTCTTGACTTGATGGAACAACTTCTGGTTGTGGCTGTTGTTGTTGTTCGGGTTGAGATTCAATTTCTTCGGTTGTTTTTACTGGTGTTGGTGTTGGTTGACTAGCGAGTTCTTCGGTTACAACTTTTTCTTCCGATTTTTCAACATTTGAAATTTCGGATGGTTGTTGTTCAGCCGATTGTTCAGCTTGTTGTTCCTCAACTTTTTCAACAATTTCTGGCGTTTGTTGTTCCTCATTTTTAACTACTTCTGGTTCTGCAGTTGTGGGCGGATTTTCTGGAACAACTGAAGCGGCAGCGGCAACAACAGGTTCTGGTTCTTGTTGATTGACTGGTGGGGCAATCGATTCTGATTCTTTCACAGATTCAACGGGTTCTGGTGTTTTTGCAGCTTCAACAACTACTGGTTCTTTAGCTGGTTCATCACCAACAACAGCAGCAGCAGGAGCCGTTTCAGTTACTGATTGAGCTTCTTTTTCCGGTTCTGCAACAGGTGCAGCTACTGGTGAAACTTCAACAACTGGTTCAGGCTCTTTAACCGGTTCGACGACTGATTCTGGTTCTTTCACAGGTTCACTTGGTGCAGCAGCAGCAGTTTCTGGTTCTGAAACTGTTGTTGGTTGTGGTTCCGGTTCTTTAACTGGTTCAGCATTGGCTAGCTCAGGAATTTCGGTAGATTTTGTTTCCGATTCTTTAGCCGATTCGGTACTGGCTGGTTGAGCCGCTGGTTCAACAGTTTCTTTGGCTATTTCTGGTTGTGAAGGAGCAGCTGCTGAATCATTTGGTTGTGGTGGTTGTTGTTGTTGTTCGGGTTGAGATTCTTTAGCAACATCCGAAGATGCTTGTGCCGTAATAGCCGCAACAGCTGCATTTGCCGCAGCTGTAACTTCTTCGGTCAAACTTGGTTCTTCAATTTTCGTTGCTGTTTCTGTAGCAGTAGCTGTATCAGCAGCGGCTATTATATTTCCATTCGACGACGGTGGTTGTGTATCCGAATTCTGGTCATTATTATGATTAGAATGAAAACCAAACATAAGAAATGTGAACAAACAATTATAATAATGGTATAAAGTCTGAAAAATTTCTTTTACCATATTTCAACTTGTGTGTTATGTGTGCTTGTGTTTGAATCAATGAAACGCACAAAAAAATGAGTGAAACAAACAAAAAATAACCGAATAAATAAATCCTAAACAACACACTCTGATCAAGAATATGAAAAACAAAAAAAGATTTCCGAATCTAAATTTCATTCGCTTTATAAAGTACGCGAGAATGAATTGTGTTTACGACGTATCACATTTATAGCAACAAAAATATTTCATATTTAACCATACTCTGGATGCAATGAATAAATTCTACAGAATTTAAAGAAGAAAAAAAAACTATAGAACATTCATATGTCAAAACATATTTATATGTCAACTACGTTTTTGTTTTTGCTTTTCACATGACTAAAAAACATTTCTACATACATAGTTCTATTCTATTCCGCTATAAAGAATTTCGTTTGTTTGTATTTGTTTCATCACACGCATACATGCACACACACAGAATCATTGAATCTAATATTTCAGACTTTATAACGACAACAAAACAAAACAAAAACAAGAATAGCAAACCTTGGGAACATAAGTTTCACGTGCTGTACTTGAAAATTTTGCCGCAGATGATACGGAACGTTTAGATTTTTTGGATCCTTTACCACCACCACCACCATTTGTTGTTACAGTTGAATCATTGGCCACTTCTGAAGTCGGTTTATCTTTCTCGGTAAAACTATATGAACGTCCACGTCGTCGTTTTGTAGATAATTTTAGACCCATTTTTTTCCAACTTTTGAGGCAGATTGAAAATCTATTTAAATCAATTAAAAATCACATGATTAATGAGGAAATTATTTTTCAACTTTCAAATTCTTCAACACACACTGCTGCTACTGCTGCCACTTTTCACTCTTGCTTACAGAGCAAACACACAACATTTGCCTGCCCCTTTTTTTGCATCATCATTATCATCAACATCTGAGAAATTCCAGTCTTCCGTAAAATGGGAAAAAAATCGAATATATGAAATGTTGACATATGCAAGACAAACAACACATTTGAACACACAAACAAGCGAAAAAAATTTATTTAAATCGCAAAAAAAAACAGAAAAAAATCATTCATGCAAAAGTCATCATCATCATCATTTCATCATTTTTCAAGGTTAAGAAAAAAATTTTTTTTCCTCATTCTCAACAACAACCAAAAAAACAACTTTAATACAGTGAAAAAAAAATGAAAAACAAAAATCAACATTGACACACACACATACACACAAACACAAACAGAGAGACACTTTATAATTTACGCTTCAAGAATTGGAATTTAGAGCAAGACAAAATGATGATGATCAAAGATGTCAATGTTGACAACAACAAGCAACATCAACAAATTATAAACATTCAACAACAACAACAAAAAAAAACTTTAAATCTAGGCGATCATCATCATTATCATCGTCATTGCTATTTTTTTGGATCATTACCCATTCAATTCAAGAGAGAGAGAATGACAAAAAACAAAAACATCATTGTGTGGGTGTGTGTACAATGCCATCTAATGTCATAAAAAAAGTTTTTTTTCTGGGACAAGCAAAAAAAATTTTTTTTTATAATCATCATTAATCTAATTAAATTATAACGATAATTGCAACGACAACAACAACGATACCTGTGATTCAAATTTCAATGCCAAGAAAAAAAAACACAAATGATGACAGCAGACATTTTTTTATATTTATTACACACATAATAGTAAGAAACAATAACAAAATGTTTGTCAACCAAAATTAAACACACACGCACACACACACACACAATAGATTCCAACCTGAAAGAATTTATCAAAAAGTAAGAAATAAAAAAAAAACTAACTTGATTCGTTTGACTTATCAACAACAACAACAACGAAAAGCGATAAAAGGAAAAAGATTTTGCCTAAGCAAAAGGTCATCATCATCATTACCATATTATATCACACACACACACACACACACACACACACAGAAACAGACCAGACACATTTTTTGATTTCTTAGTCTGTTTTTCTCAGTCTAGTTTTTTTCGTTTGATGTTGTAGGATGTAAGGCAACAAGTTTTCATTTTATTTTTTTTTTTTTTTTTTTTTGATTCGTTTGGTTCATTGAACCTGAATAATAAAAATAATGATTATGATTATGATGATGATTAGCCAGTTGTGTAATATTATGTTGTGTTGTCCATCAACTTTACGCATATTTTACACAAATCACCACAAGTGTACCACCACCATCACCACCACTACCACCATTATCATCAGCAAAAAAAATAACTTCAAACATAGATGATAATGGATAAATAATAGAATCATTATTATGAAAAAAAACTTACATTTTTTTTTCTCAAAAAATTGTTGGCGATAAAGAGGAAAAAATCTGGTTCAATCCCCACAATAAAATATAAGAAATGAATGCAAACAAGATTAGCTCAAATTTCATAAAGAAAAAGAAGAAAAAAAATTCTCTTACAAAACACAATGCTTCCAGGTTTTTTTTTTATGATGATTATATATCTTTATTATTCACAATAGCTATTACTATGTAACATTATTGTACAATGATCAAAACTCAAATCTCATAGCCATGTAATGTAACATTCAACAGGTAGATATATCTATCTGTTCGTTGACAATCAACAGTTCACATATACCATATATACTGTTATTAAATTATTATTATGCTGATGATGCTTGTAAGAAGAGAAAGAAACATGAGTCATTCAAATGAAATAAAAAAAATTGCAAACGAATAGAGTAACTTATGATTTACATAGATTGCCATCAATTAGATTTTCAAAAAAAAAATTTGGAATTTACCATGGTAATCCAAATCTCATATTGAATATGAATATTTTTTTTTTGCTCAATTCAATTTCCGTTTGAAATGTACAGGGTGTGTGTGTGTGTATGTGTAATAAAAACATGTATGTATCGGTATCATCAAATGTTGGAAAAATTTATTTATGACAAAAATTTTGATTGCCATTTTTTTTTTTTGATCATCATCACCATGACATGATGATAATCATAATCATCATTTTTTTTCATTGATTTACAGAAAAAAAACGACGGCAATGATGATTATTGTATATATACATAAACAACCGATTTTGATTCATCGATGATGATAAAACAGAAAATTCGAAAAAAAAATCAAAGCCGTTTCTCACCAGAATGAATGAATCAATCAATCGAATGGATGAATTTATTGAAAAGAAAAAAAAAGTGTCAATAAACGTTTAAAGGAAATGAAAAAGAAAAACTTGTTCAATTCATATATACAACAACAACAAAACCAATTTCAAGATGGATGAATTTTGACGCCAAATTGATACAAGGCAATGAATCGGCAAAATGCAATCATCTGCTGTTATTGTCATTGTTGTTTCTGATGACAAAAGTTGTTATCAATTGAGCTAGCAGGATTCTATTATTTATTATTGGCACAATCGAACCGAAACCAAAATGTGAAAAGATTTTTCTTTTTTGGTTTCACAAACGATGACAATGATTTTTATTTTTCAAACTTGTTGCTGCTGCTGATGTTGCAAATCAAATCGTGACCAATCGATTTTCTATTTTGTTTTTTTTTGTCATTCCATCCTACTATTTGATGATGATCGAACTTGATCATCAGCGAAATAAAAAAAAAAAAATTTTTGTGGACAAAATGTACGAATCACAAACAAAGATGTTGTTATTATATAATACGAGATAGATCTGTCTAATCGAATAATGAATTTCGGTTTTTTTCCTCTTTTCTTTTGTTTTGTTTTCCAGTGTTTCAAATACCAGAAAATCGATATGTGATCGATGAATGATTTCAAATGATTGGAAAAAAAATCGAAAATCTGATTGACAGCTACATACACACACACAGCAAACTTATTAGCATTAATCATCAAAAAAAAATCATTCATTTCATTTCATTTAAACAAAACAAAACAAAAAAAATCAAACCATTCATCAAACATCGAATCATAAAGGTCATTGTTCTCTTTTTTCAATTCGACAAAACACGAATTTGTGAATAACACATTGAATTCCATTCATTCTGTCGTCAACATATATTACAATCATCATTATCAAATAATTTGCAACAGGTGGGCGAGACTTGATTTTTTATGAGAATTTTTTTCATCGGAAAACAATTCAAAAATATAAAAAAAAAACCGATTACATAAATAATAAATACAAACACACGCACACACAGGTGGCAATAATTATCAAGCAAACAAACAAACAAAAAAATCAATCAATCAATCGATTGATGATTGGCGAAAACAAAAAATATAAAAAAAACAGGACATATAACATACTTCATGATCATGATCATCATCATCATCATTAAAGCATCGAGTTTAAAAATCATAAACATTCATTTTTTGAAAAAAAAGGAAATTCATCATCATCAAATGAATCAATAAATCAATCACACACACACGGTTGTTATTGTTTTTTTTTTTGACAAAAAAAATCGAACGTAATGAAAAGTTTTGTTGTAAAAATTTTCAAAACTCATCTTTTCATCATCATCATCATGATGATGACATAATCATCATCCTGTGTGTTAAGCCATTTGTATAAAAATAAAAAGTTATTTATGAAACAAAAAAAAAATTCGGAAATATGAAATTATTGGCAACAGCAACAATAATAACAATATATTACACTCAATTCATATTGATTGATTGACCGGATATCGATAATGACACACACACAGGATGGATATACATTCGTTGCTGTTGTCGATATTTTTTTTTTAATGCATTCGTAGAAACATACGCAAGAAAAGAAAAAAATTTTTAAATCATCGATGAATGATTCTTGCGGGATTGATTTACTCATGTTACAAAACAAAATGAATACATACCAAATTTAAATCTAAATTTTCACGATGAAAACTGGTGAATTAGTTGTTGATTGAATTGAAAAACGGAGAACAAATGTGAAAATTAAATTCGTTAAAACAACAAAAAAAAAAATCCAAACGAATTACAGGCATGCACAAACACAAACACAAACACTAAACACACACACACAAAGCAGCAGCTATTGACAATGACGGTTTTTTTTCGCTTTGCTGCTTTCTCTATTCGAATCAAATCAAATCGAGTGAAAAAAAATTCAATAAAAAAAACACATTGGACTTGGACTTGTGGATTTCGATGATGATGATGATGATGATGATGCCAATCACATATATATCAGAAAAAAAATTGGTATTTCAATGTGAAAATGGAAATGAAATTTTTTCTCGTTCTCTCTCTCTCTCTATTTTGGCTGGATTGCTGGCCGGTCGTTGATGATCGTGTGTTTGGCTTGATTTTTTTTTTTGGTTGCTGTTTGGTAGATAATGTCTATATGATGATGGTCTGCCTTTTGGTTTTTTGCCTTGCAACAACAACAACAACAACGACGATGATGATGATAATGGCTGCTCTATTGAAGCTATATATTGCTGATGGCTTAATGCTGGTGGTTGGTTGGTTGTTGGTGCTCGCTTTTTTTCTGGTGGAATGGTCGAACTTTCGATAAAAGGCGTGCTTTTGACTTTGAAAAAAACTGAATTTATTTTTTTTGCTGAACTGTTGCTGAGTTTTTGTATGGTGATTGTGGACGTTCGTGTGACTGTGTTGTGAGTTGTGTTTTGTTTGTCGACGATGACTTTCTCTCCTCTCCCTCTTTTTATCATCTTGCACTAGGAAAAAAAAGAGAGTATGTGATGATGGTGATGATGATGATCTCAGATCTTGTCTTGCTCAACTTTATGGCTGGCCATTTGATCACATAAAACAAACAACATTGTGGTGGCCACAACACAAACAATTGAAATTTTGAATGGAAAAAAAAAATTTTTTTCCAGCGGCAAATACAACTGTGTCTGGATTAGTGGGGATCAAACAAAGAATATCGCCATCGTTCAATGGCCTGTTTCAGGCCTGTAGTATTTATATTCGGGCGTGTATATATGTGTGATGATTCATTCAATTTTTGATTCAAATTTCAACCATGATGAATGTTGTTGGAAATTGAATATTTATACAAAAATAAAAAAATCGAATTCGAATTAAATCAAAGAAAAAAAATGGCAATTCTTTGATGGATGGGTGGGTGGATGGATGCCAAAAATGAAAGGTTCAAATTACTGCACACAATTTTAATTTGTTTGTAAAATCATAGACAGATCCAGTTTCGAATAAATTCGAATCATCATCATTCATTCACAAATGTCGTAAATCATTATGATTCGATTCTGATTTTTTTTTTTTTTTTGGTTCGACAAAATGAATGAATGAATTACGTCTGTTTGTTGGTTTTTTTTTATTGCTGCTGAATGAATTTTCGCGGAAAAATGATGATGATGATGATGATGACAATTTACAGTACAGTAGCCGGTTGACGATGAAATTAATTAATTAACATCTGGCCTTGGAATTTGCAATATAGACAATTCACAGACCGAGAGACATTGATTGGCCTTGACATTTTCAAATGAGCAACAGCGACATTTTTTTTTTTTGATTGGATCCAGAGATATCCAGATTTTTTTTTTGTAAACATGCGGTTGGTTGCGAATGAAGAAAATTTATTGTGAAAAAAAATAAATAAATGTTTCCTTTGCGTGTGTGGCAATTGATTTATGAATGAATTTTTTCTTTCTTTCTTTCAAAATATAACATCAATGCATGGATTTTATTTCTGTTTTTCTCAGAATTCTAAAGAAGAAAAAATCGTGGTTTTTTTATTTTTGTATTCAGAAATTTGAAATTTCATTTCATTCTGATGCCTTGTTCATATCGTGCAAGTTGTTTTCAAGTTGTTGTTTATTGATTCAATGCTGAGTTTATACGATGATTTTTATTTTTATTTGTAAATTTTTGGCCGGTTTTTTTCTTTAAAAATCTTAATGTCCCGATTTTTATTACCAACATTATTATTGTCATCATCATTTTGGACATCTATTTGTCATCATTGTTCATCAACGACAAACGGCAGCATCAGCTGTAGTGTGAATAAAATGTCAAACGAATCATCAAAATATTCCATTGGCTATGTGACCATTTCGAATGCCGAAATGGCTAAAGAATTGGCAAAGTAAGTGAGTCAGTATTGATTTGTATTTATTCATCATCATTCAATTAAATTTTAAACAGGAAATTGGTCAATGAAAATAAAGTTGCCTGTGTTAATATATTGCCAACAATAACATCAATTTATCGATGGGAAAATGAATTACAAATTGATGAAAATGAATCATTAATGATAATAAAAACAAGAACCGCTGCCATTGATGAATTGATTGAATTTATTCGCCATAATCATCCATATTCAGTGCCGGAAATTATATTTACAGCGGCAAGTTTTATATTGATTTTTGTTATTATTGGAAATCATTATTGTTTATTATTATTATAGATTACGGACGGAAATCCTGATTATTTGAAATGGATTTCATCATCAGTAAAACTGTCGAATGAATCGAATCCATGAAAACCAGACAGATTTAGTGTGGCATGAGTCAAACTGCTGAAAATCGAAAACACAAATCTGAAAAATGAAATTTTTTAATCGATTGGAAATAACACACAAACCTTTTATTTCGGCGGTGGTTTATAGAATTTGAATCGATATTTTTTATTCTTGATTATACCACGATTTACATCTTCATAACGTGTTCCATAACCACCTTTATAGCCTTGTTCATACATTAATTGTACTAGTGGATGAATTGGATAATAAAGTGTAACGAATTCTACATCACCATTGAAAAATTTATTATCCGATGATGATTTCTCTTTTTTACATTGACCATTGTCCAGCAATAGTGATAACAACAACAACAACAACGATAATGTGATGATGATTGATCGTCTCATCATCATTGTGTACGACGAACGATGGCAGCAAATAAAAATGAAAATTTTTCGTCTCAATTTTCATTTTTACGAAATTTTTTTTTGTCTGTTTCATTGTTTATTCGCATCAATGGCCATCTATGTCATCGATGACTCTTTTTTTTGGTGTGTGTGTGTGTATGTCTGTACGGACATTACCGGATTTTTGTTTGTTTGTTTGGTTGGCAGGTTCCTGGAACTTGTTTTTTTTTCATTTATTTATTCATTTGTTGCTTAAATTGCTTAATTTGTCTGAAAAAAGCCTTCAATTTGAAATTTTAACAAATAGAAGCGCAAAAAAAAATTTTATCGATTTGTTTATCGATTTTTTTTTGTTTTTTTGTTTTATTTCCTTTCCCATTTAACTCTTGTTTTTAGCAAAAAAAAAAAACAAACGGAAAAATGCTGCTGCTGGTGGTGGTGGTCAATGTTGTTAATTTATGATTGTTTTAAAAGTGTGTGTGTTTAAAAATATTCAAAAAATCAATAAATCATCATCACCACATGCAGCAACCACAGTTGCAACCAAGAATCAATCAATCGATTGGATTCGATTCGCACAATTTTTTTTTTAGTTTGTTTGGTTAGAGATATTTAGCTGGAGAGACAAATTTTTCATCATTGTCGATGATTCAATGAAAAGTTTTTGGTGAAGAAAAAAATTAAAAAAAGTTTTTCCTCATAACATTTCTCTCTGTGTTTTTTTCAATTTTTTTTTTACTGGGTACAAATATTTCGTTGTGATTCAAATGTCATCCTTCTACGTTTTTTTTTTCACTTTTCTCCACAGCTATAGCGTGTGTTGAAATGATCGGGTTATTTTTCCACTTCTTCTTCTTCTTGCATATCGAATCATTTCATTTCTCTAATTTCGCTGTTGTTGTTGTCGATGTAAATATCGAATGATCGTCGTCGTCGTCGTCTTGGTGTTGTTTGATTGAAAAACAATCCAAATTATCGTTTCATATAGACAAGAAAAAATGGAAATTTGAAACTTGAACTCACACACACAAACACAAAGATTTTATGCAATTTGAGTTGTATAGAAAAAATTTTTTTATTTAATCAAAATTTTGCAGAGAAAAAAAACATCATCATCATCATCGATTCGAATACAAAATTTTCAATAACCCAAAATAGAAGGGTAATAAACTAAGAAAATGTGGATTGATTGATTGGCATGGCACAACATGAGACGAATTTTTCTTCTTCATTTTTTTTTGTTTTAGATTCGTTTATATGTTCGAACGGAAGTGACACCATCACAGGATGCAGTCTAAGAATAGAAATATAAATTTGATTTTGGGTTCCATTTCACTTGAAAACAATAAAAAAACTTACCACAACAACTTCATCGCCATTGAATTCACGAATAATTTTCACTTCTTTATCACCGAATTGTGTTTGAACAAATTTATTGTCACCTTCTTTTTGGATGACCGTTTTCACTCGTTTACCATCGGCACGATCTTCTTCGAATTCTTCGCCCAATTTGAATTTAGCTTCAGTATTTTTGAACGTACTTAATGAACGGAAAATGTATTGGTCATTTTCTATTGCCACTTCAAACGTTGGTTTCAATGTTTTAGCTGCCGTTTTTACCATAAAACCGACGCCCAATTTGTCGAGAAATTCATCGAATTTTTCCGATTTTTCTAATTTATATTTACCTTCAATGCTTGCCATTGTTTTTGATTGATTGATTGATTGATTGATGAACACAATATTAAAACAAAAAACAAAGTGGAAATGAAGTTTTCAATTTGATTTATCGTCGTCGAATGTGTGTGTGTGTGAAATGTGAATTGTTTGGTGGTTTATAATAATAATGTAACGATGGTAATGATGATTTTATCGAAATAAAAAAAACTGATGACTATGAGACTTTTATACACGCATTCACAAGCGAAACAAACAAAAAAAAAATGATGCCTGCTAGTAGCTCGACGACGACTACGAAAAAAAGATAGCGGTTTTTTTTTGTCAACCAATGAAACTACTCATGTATAACTCATATCATGCTGTTTCCTCCCAACCATCACCACCACCACCAACACCACCACCGAAACCATCCGGCGTCATTGTCATTCAGCATCATCATCATCATCGTGTATGTCATAAATGTGCACACGTATATTTAACATTTATTTATCGCAAGTTTGTAAACGCAACGTATATCGTGAATCGACCGCGCGAGTACATTGTTTTGTTTGTTTGTTTGTAATAATAATTGGTGAATGTGATAAAATTTGTGGCCCCACCACATATATCAGTTATTGAGGAGAAAAAATTTTTTTTTGTTTTTCTTGCTGATATGAAACCATTTTTTTTATCTAAAAATTTTGTTGATCGAATGTTTGAGTGTGTGTGTGCGTTTACACAATTGTAACAATCGCAGTGTGTTGGTTATATTCATTGTGGTTTCTCAAATTTTATTATCATCGTTGATAAGTACAACTGTAAAAAAGCTCTATATAATGAATTTCGATATGAATATGGCTGGATGAATGTGATTCGAATGATGATGATGACGATGATGATAAAATATATGCCACTGATGTATATATGTTGATTTTAATGATTATGATGATGATGTGGAAGAGGATGGAGAGTTTTTTTTTCGATGTAAAGAAAAAATGTATCTGTGTGTTTGTAGTAATATAATAATAATGTGTGTGTACAAAGGTCAATAACCAAAAAAAAAAAAAAAAAAATATTGAATTTCGTAGTTCGTGCATGTAAAACATTTTTTTTTTTGTTTGTTTGTCGGTACATTCATTCACAAATATTGTTCAAAACGATTTTTACAGTTGTCGCTGTTGTTGTTGTTGTTTTTTTCTGCTCAGATTTATCAAATCGAATAGAATGTCATCGAATTCGTCAATCAATCAATCTGAAAAAAAAACAGAAATTGATGACATTCAATCAGTCAGTCAATCAATCAATCAATCAATGCATTGGCTTGAAATACATGATGTCTGGCATGTTTGGGTGTTTTTTTTCATTGATTTGTGATAATCATCAATTATCACCAGGCAGATATGGACTTTGTGCACTTTTTTTTTGATGAATGTGACAAACAACAACGAATCCAATCGGACATTGTTGTTGCGTATACCCGAAAGATATCACATAAAGTATAATACTGTGGTGATATTTATAGCTTCTAGATATATGTAAAAAAAACGAATTTTCTAGAATCAAAAAATTTTTTTTTTTTATTGATCAATTGAAAAGTTTATTTTATCAAAAATTTGAAAATTTTAGACAGATTCAGACGTTTTTCAGATTGTCTACCATCACAAACCACCACCACTACTACAAACGTTTATAGAAACGAACGGAAGTAACACCATTCACTGTGGCTATTACATTCAATCCATCATCGGTAAATTCTCGAACAATTTTCACTTCTTTATCGCCTTTCTGTATCTGTATCATTCGATTATCACCTTCCATTGTGATGATGGTCTGATTGGATTGGAAAAAATTCAAATCATGTGATTAATTAAAGGATTTTTTTAGGAACAAAAAAAAAAACCAAACCTTGACCAAAACATCATCGGCACGCATTTCTTCAAATTCTTCATTCAATTTGAATTTAATCTCTGTATTTTTCACTGTTGTTTCCGTTTTGAATACATAATAATCACCATCTTTGGTTATGGTTACAACCGGTGTTACTCTTTTGGCCAGATTACGTTTAACAAAATTGACACCTGTTGTTGTTTTGATATTCAATGACATGAAAATTTTTTTTTTTTTTTTTTGGAAATTCAACAGTTACCACACTTACCCAATTCGCTGAGAAATTCATCAAATTTTTCGGATTTTTCCAATTTATATTTGCCTTCAATTTGAACCATTTTGTTTTTTTTTTGTTCGTTTAAACAACACAACACAAGTGGTGAAAAATGAAAAATAAAAAAAAATTCAAAATAGAAAAAAATTTTCCAAAAGTTATCCACTATTTATACACCACACACACAGCAACCTGACTGTATTTGAAAAGAAAAAAAAATCGAATGTTTGAGATTATGATCATCATCATGGTTACCTTGGTGAGCACAACAAGATATTGTCTTGAAATTTTCAAATGTACTACTTGCATTTCTAGTGATTGAAATCTTTTTCATCATCATCCATGTAACAATTATTTTTTTTTATCTCTGAATAAACAACAACGGCAATGATAATGATGTGAATGAAAGGGGAAAAAAGATAACTGATGATCAAGAGAGAGAGAGAGAAAGATGGCGTGAGATCCAATGAGGCATAAATAAATAATTACCATCATCATCATCATCAAACGAATGTGATTGTCATGGCCATTTTATTATTATTATTATGATGGTGATGGTTACCTTGGATTCCAACGTTCTCATCTAATGTCTGTAATCGGTTTTTTTTTCTATTGATAGAATTCCATCATTAATGTTTGTTTGTTTGTTTTTTTTAGACATAATGCCAATTTTTGCACTAATCAAATAATCCGATTAAATATTCTTTATTTTATTTATAGATATTTATTACAAAACCAGTCAAATCGATGATGATAATCACCGTTATATTAACCACCAATCTGTTGGTGATAATAAATAATGGTAAATTTCCATAATCATTGCAAGCCACCATTTTTATTTGCAGGTACAATAGTACCGCCAACCATTATCAATTGACAAGAATGAATGGTTGTGTGTGTTGTGTTGTGTTTGTGTAGACAATTCATCATCAATTTCTGATCAATTTATTTATTCATTCAATTCAGATATCGATTAACAATATTGATATTGTGCCATAAATTACAATTTGTATGTGGGAAAAATAAGAAGAAAAAAAACAACATAAACCAAACATTTAGCTGTAGCTGTAGTTCAATGATTATCATGATAATAAATGTTGATCAAGAAATTCTTCAATCGTATCGGTATCCCATTTCTGTATATTCAGCTCATCAACAACATCATGATGTTCATTCAATAGTTTCAATATTGGTAATATACCACGTACAAATTTAATTTTAAGATTGGAATATTTTTTTGATTTATCACCACGTATGAATGCTATTGTGAATGATAAAGGATAAAAATCACAATGGTGGAATGTTTTTTTTCAAAAAAAAAAAATTCAAAACACAAACCTTTTATTTGGGGAAAATTTGCAATATTACACTCACAATATTCTAATCGTGCAAAGGAATACTAATGGATGGAGGAAAAAACATCATGTTAATAAAATTCGAATGTTTTGTCTGTATTTGATTCATACTTTTTCGAATTTGAATCATCATCTTGACGACAACATTTCATACACGAATCTTTCAGATTATCTAGCTCAAATTTTGTCAATTCTAAACACCGAGAACAAAATAGTTCCGCTGGATTATAACCAAGTTGATTACATTCATTATCGGTTAATTTTTCGCCCACAATCGATGTGATAATCACAGACATGAAACAGCCGAATAGATACATCTGCATGGCGAGAAAAAAAAGATTTGAAAGTTTTCAATCGTTGCTCAATATCATAAGATGAAACTTACTGGATTCATTTTTTTTGTTGCAAATTTTGAGACCAAAAATTGAGAAATTGAAATTGAAATTTTTTTTTGTTTTCAAAAAAAACACGTCAAATATATTTGAGAAAATTTCAAATTCTACTCGAATGGTCCATTGGTTGGAAATAGTCACAATTGTTTTTTCAATGTTGTCACAAAAATTGATTGATTTATTGATGAGAAAGAACAAAAAAAAAATGGATTGGAAACAAAATCTTATCGATTCAATAAATCAAGATGAACAGATAATTTTCATCAAATTTTGTACATTACTCAATCATAATGCTCAACAGATTGAAGATGAATTAATCAAAGCTATCGGGTCCAAAGCCTATTCATTGGCCGCGATTCAACGTTTTCAGAATGAATTAAAAGAACGACAAAATCGAAAAACCAATGAAAAGATTATCAAAAATATTCTGCTGAAATCCGAATCGAATAACAACATCAAACCTAAAAAAGTAAGTCAATTGAGTGATTGATCATTGACTCTGACTCGAATCATTTGTTGAACAGGAAAAATATCTCAACAACTTACTGTACAGTGATTGTCAAAAATTGGCAAAAAAATCCATGGCCACGAAAAATCATTTTGAAAAAAATTACCTAACAATTTTGGACAAAATATTAAATGCTCATGAATGGAATATTGATGAAACATTATTCGAATTGATTTTGATCAATTCCTATCAAACACAATCAAGTGAATCATTTTGGAAATATGCCAATAATTGCATCTATAAAAAGATTGATCTGAAAATTGTTGACATACATAATATTTATTGGAAGTTTCTCTTTCTTTGCCATTGGCTCATGAGAAATGGCCATCCAAACGTTATTAAAGATGCATATGGCCAACGATCATTATTGGTGGAGTTGGCTAAAATCAAAACCTGTATATCACCAAATTGTTGCCTTTTTCAGTCAATTGAATCCATTGTATTTTTCATTGGTGCTGCAAAAAATTGAATTCCATATGGAACATGTGAAAATTCCTGGAAATTTCGTTATCAATTCATTACAATTAGAACAATTGGGAAATCAGGATCCATGCGTGTACGAAAAAATCTGTATTGAACTTTTCAATTATATGGATAAAATATTACAATTACAATTGGAAATTTTCGATATTCGTGGCCTAAATATTGATGGCGCGCAGCAAAAATGTATACTGAATCCATTGAAATTATCGATAATTGAATCAAGTCAAATTTATGATTTAATTTTTCAATTAATGCAAAAATTACACAATCATCATCACGAATCATCATTTGTCAGTGAAAATAATTTGAAAAAATATCAACATCGTTTCCGTGATCAATTTATGCAGCTAAAATTATTTTATTCCAAATGTCAAGAATATGATTATCTCAACGATTCGATACAGATACCTGAATTGGTGGATGAGCCACCAAATTTCGGCAATCCATCGATGAATGATGATGAATTTGAACAACAAACACCAGTGTTTTATCCACGTATTGTTATTGATGAAAATTAATTATTATTCAATCGATTGATAATTGAATTATTTTTACAATACATACAAAAGTGCCCGGTGTAAATCACCAAACAACAACAACAACAAAAAAGTAAAACGAAAATGAAACCATTGAATTTGACATTGGGTCATCAGATTTTATTTTTCTTATTAGTAACAACCGGTTTATTATTGATTTTCGCTCATTCATTCATGAAAAATGATGTTACAAGCACAAATATTTTGGATAATAATGTTCCGTCATCTAGAACATTGAAAATATCGAAAGATTTGATTGAAATTATTTTTCATTTCAATTCAAAAATTTTCATCATCGATCCAAATCTTTTAATGGAATTTTTAAATCCACAACAATCGTATGAATTACAATGGAGATTTAATCTGAATTTGAATGAATCTGACCGTCTAGCAACAACATTCGGTATATTTGATTATCATTTACGAGAATTTCAAAATTTATTGAAAAAACAAAATATTACCGTTGAAAATTATGGCAGTCAATTTCCATTTAATGATACCAATGTTCCTGTTCATATCGTTTTCCAAATGAATAATTTGACCATTCATGTTGTAGTTTTTTATCATGTTGAACATTTTCTATGGATTGGACAAATGTCTCCGGCAAATTGTTGTTCACCATCACCAATGTATGGCAAATTTGAACAAATTTTCGATCCATTTAAAATTCAATTTATCGACATTATACCAGTACCAGATGATATTGAATGGTTTCTAAGTCAATTACCAACATCACGTTATTTACATTGTCCAATTGGTGAAAAAATGAATTGGTTCACGAAATATCGAATTGAATTGAATGAACAAAGAATCCATAAAACAATTGAATCAATTGTAACGATGAAATCATTAATGAGAGCATTGCGAATGGAATTCTGGATCATGTGCGGTACATTATTGGGATGGTTTCGTCATTGTCATCCCATTCCGTATACAACCGATACTGATCTTTCGACTTGGTCAAAATATTTTCAAAATGAAAACAGCAGTCACGGAGACTGGATAACTGATCAGTTAAAATCCGTAGCTCTCAAACATGGATTGAATCTTTTCTATCGTTTTGGTGAACCAAGTCAAACATTGGAATATTCATTTCGTACACAATTTTATGATGAAAAAATTGATTTATTTGTTACATATGATAATGATGGTGGTGCTGGTAGTGGTGCAAATGATTCATATTTAATACCAAGTCATATTACAAAACATAAAAAATATCGTAATTATCGTTATCCACGTTATGAACTTTGTTCCATCACGCTGTTAGGACATAAATTACTAGCACCATGTCAAACTGAACAAGTTATTATCCGTGAATATGGCGAAAAATGGAATGAACCAATTAAAGATTGGAATTATGTCTCATCACCATTTAATGGTGATGAAATTATAAATTTTTCATTTCCAATCGATCAATATACAGAATATCGACGATTATATAAATCAAACGAATTGGTCATGATAAATTGATTTTTTTTCGTTTTAAATATCCAATCTTGCTGTATCTTTGGTGACAAATTTGTTTGACTGTAAAAAAAAATAAATCAGAATTATTCGTTGAATGAAATTTGAATAAATTTTTTTTTCTTATACACAAACCATTTGCCAAATTTGGAAAACATTATCATCAGAAACTGAACAAATCATCAATGGATCGTCGTCATTATGATTCCAATCAAAATCATAAACCCTTGATGTATGACCACCATGAATGAATGTCAATGTTGAAGGGCCATTATCAATTTCTTGTGGTAATAATGAATCAAAAATTTTATCCATATCAAATAGATACACTTTTCGATCATTGGTCAGCGCACCGAACAGTGTTTCACAATGTGGTGACCATTTTAATGTATGAAATTTTTCTTGTTTCAATTGAATTGAATGTAATTTTTCATTCATATTACGAAGATCCCAAGCGGCTATCTGACAATCCGAACCACTAGTGATGAAAACATATTCCGAGAATGGATTGAATTTTATCTGAAAAGCTGATCCTTTGTGTCCATTAAAATAATGACTCGGACGTTTCACATTATTCGAACGAATATCCCAAAGCAGGATATTTCCTTTCAATGTTGATGCACCACAAATATCTGGATGTTTTTGATGCCAACTAGCATCATAGATGAAACCAACATGATCATTACCATCATCATCACAACTGAGTATCAATTTTGTTGTCAATGTTTTACGTTTTTTCTGTGAATTCAGATCCCAAACGGCTACTTGATTACGATCGTAGCCAGTTAATAATAATCCAGATGTTTCATGATTCCATTCAAGATTTGTTTCACTATTTAAATTTGGATACGATAGAATTGGTGATGTTGTTCCTAAGTTGTTGTTGTTGTTGTTTCGAATCAAAAAAAATCATTATTCAAATTAGCACTAAAAAATAATTCATCAAACATACCAGCTGTATCATAATCAACAAGACAATCTTTAATATCATAAATGAATAAATCATTATGATTCCTGGTGGCAATAATATTTTCTTTTCCATACATTGATCTAGCACATTGAACAGGTCCATTATGATATAATTTAAAATCTGCTTCCAATTGATCTGAAAAAATTTTCTTGATTAGACATTTTTTTTTGTTTACCATTAATATATTTACCATTATAATGAATAAATGTACCGAATGCATCTTCTGGCATATTATAAAGATCAATTTTTGGTGGTTCTCGATATCCAGGCAATGCAATCGATGCCACTATAAGATAATTATCTTCATTGAATGCACCAGTATTTGTTCCAAATAATATACGTTGCAATATCGATTCATATGGATCATCATCAATTTTTTCAATACCATCATTTAGCCATTGTATGGTTTGCGATGGATATTCCAATATACGTGTCATCATAAAATCATACATAAATGGTACATTCTTTTTCCATTGTTTATATTCATCGCTTGTTACTCGATCCTCGTCTTTTTTTTATTTGGTAATTAAAATTAAAATAATGAATCAAAATTGAATGATGATAAACAAACAAAACAAAACCACTTTTTACTTACAAACATCAGTCATGTTGTTGTTTAATAATATAATGATGATCGATGATTCGAAAAGTTTTTTTCTGGTAAATAAAATTCGTCAATTTCAAACACAAATCATTCAATGACCACAAATTGATCATCAATCATCAAATAGTTTAAATGGTTAGTTGGCGGCACTGGTGAACAGAAAAAAAGAGAGGGAAGAAAAAAATTCAAATTTCAAGCGAGAATGTGAAAAATTGATATATTTTTTTTAATGTAACAAAAATCTATAGATCTTTTTATGTATTGGAAAAGAATGAATTTTTTTTTCTTTATTGAATTCAATAAAACGCATTGGTTGGTCGTACATAAATATCGTAAAAAACGTAGATACAGACATCTATCGTCAGATAAATTAATTTAAAATAAATTTTCAATCATTTCGAATAAATTTCGAACCTTATCCAATTCCATATTGTCCTGATTATCACGAAGATAACGACGTATTTCATTCAAATGATCACGCTGGTGTGAATCAACTTTACGAAATTCTTCGACTAAAATTCGTTCCAAATATGACCGTGCATTCAAATAGGCAGCCTTTGATGATTTAGAAAATTTACGAATTTCTTCTGACAGTGATGCTTTTTGTGATCGCAGTTCACGTTGTGAAATTGTTTGGCCAATCGATAATTGTAGACGTTGTTTGTTTGGAAATCTAGATTTATCATCACCATAATCATCAAAATTATTTGTCATTTCAATTAGTCGTCGTTGTTTTTCAATTGTATAGCTTAAAATTTGATTCAAATGAACTCGATTCAATTGACCGACTTTCAGGTTTCCTCTTTGTAAGACCAACAGATTTTGTTCCAAATGTTGAATCTTTTTCAACTGTTCTGTCGATATTTCTGGATACAATCGTTCAAGATCAACACTTAATATTGGATTTCGTTTTTCTTCACGTGTAAAATTAAAATCAAATGTTGCCATCGGTTGAATTGTTCGGGTTCGTACAATACTTTGACGTGAAGCACGGATTAATTCATTTTTAATATTTTGTTGATTCTTAACACTTACATCACCAAGATAGGATTTAATCTTTTTTTCAATTTCTAATGCAATAATCTGATTCTTCAATGCCTTGTACAACAGATCGGCCAAATTGTTTGCCTTTGTTGAATCGCAAATCTGATTCACCATGAGTGGTTCAGATTTGGATAATGATTGTTGAATGTTGAGATTGGAATTTTTCATTTTGGTTGTTGTTGTTTTTAGTTCGCAATCAAGCCAATCACTATCATCAACGAAATTTTGAAAATCATCATTCATATGTTCACCCCAAACTTCGGCAATTTCCAACATATTCGAAATGGTAGCCACATCATAATTAAGTAATCGTAATGGTTTAATATGATCCAATGAAATACCAGCCAATAATTCCAGTGTATTTAAACAAGAACGAATCATTTCCAAACGTTCACGATTCGTACGCAATGACAAATCACATTTGACACGAAATAATCGTGTAAATATTGTGGCCCAAAATTGATAGTTTATGTAACGTGATGATACTAGCCGTGGTACGGCCAATGAATGTTTAACGATTAATCCATTTACACGATCGACAAGATTTTGATTAGGAAGATGATCCATGTATTTTCTTGTTTCGAAATTATTTCATTTGACAAAATGAAAAATGAAAAATCAATAATGTTTTCTCAGTACAACACCAGCAGTAGTAATAGGTGAAATTTTAATTTTCAACTGTCAAAAAATTTTTTTTTTTTTTTTTTTTTTTTTTTGATTCGAATTTAACGTTTGATTGGGGTCGTTCATAAATGAGGTGTTTTAGGGAAAAAAATTAATTCGAATTTTTTTTCATTTTTTTTTAATCAGATTCAATACTGTCTAATTACAAACGTAAAATAAAATTTTTATTTTTATATATTTGTGCTCATCATTCATCAAAGATCAAACAAATGTTCAGCATATTGTCTGATCAAACTCCAAGAATAAAACACATCATTTTCGTTTGTAGTACGTGCACAAATGGCAAAACGTATGATGAATTTATCGTTCACTTTAGATGGTGTTAAAAATATTTCTCTACCATGATTTATTGTCTGTAATAATTTTTCATTCATTTCATTTGATCCTCGTAGCCGAAAACAAACCAATCCCATACGAATTTCATCAATCAATTCAAAACGTTCATCAGTTTTTAATAGTTGTCCAAATAATTGTGCCAATTCTATTTGCTGTTTTTGTTTTGTTTTGGAAAAAAAATGATGAAAAAAAAATTCGTCAAATACAAAAATGAAATTCCACTTTCACAAACAACCTTTCGTATATGTTTTTGTAATCCATCCACTCCATAGCTACGGAATACGAACCACATTTTCAATGACCGGAATCGTCTTCCTAATGGTATTTGCCAATGCTATATATAAATATGTTATTATAATTTCGAATTATTTATATATAGCCAATGAAAATTACCCGATAATCAAGAATACGATTCTGATTTTCATGTTTAAGATATACTGGATTCACATTGAATGCATCCTCGATAAGACTTTTATCTTTTACCCTAAATAACAAAATCAATTCATTATAGTGGAAATGTGTCAAAAACAGTGGTGACAAACAAAACTAACCAGAATGCATTACAATCAAAATTGACCAAAAGCCATTTATGTGGATTCACTGTGAATGATGTTGCATACTGTGTGATGAAATCAATAATAATAAATTAATCAAGTAAGTCAACCATAAATGGAATGAATCAATAACTTACCTCTATACCATTCATATAATGACGAAGCTCTGGACAAACAAATGCTGATCCAGCATAAGCAGCATCCACATGTAGCCATATTTCAAATTCAGAACATAATTGACCAATTTTGTAAAGATCATCGAATGCACAGGTATTGGTTGTACCTAATGTTGCAATAACGATCATTGGTATTAAACCACGTTCATGATCGGCAACGATCCTTCTTCGTAACGCATCGACGTCCATCGAAAAATCTTCATCATTAACCGGTAAGAGACGAATTCTTGTTGCACTCAACATTGATGCTTTTTCTACACTTGAATGTGATTGATTCGATGTATAGGCTACCATACGACCAAGTAAATCATAACGTTTTGAATCTTTATTTTCACCATTTTCGTCATCGTCATCATCATTATTGGTAATTTTATTATCTAAACCATATTTTTGAAGAATTTTTGTACGTGCACCAAGTATTGCGATCAAAGTGGATTCACTGGCTGTTGTTTGGATGACACCGCCGCCAGGTCCACCATTTTTAAAATGAAAATAATCTGGTAGTCCAAGCATTTGTGCAAGCCAATCCATCATACGCATTTCTAGTTCCGTACATGAAGGTGCTGCATTCTGTAAATTATTCAATTGATTTATAAGAAAAAAATGGAAATATTATTACGCTTACCCAAGTGAAACCAATACAAGCCAATGCCGTGGAAAGCATATCACCACAAATTGCTGGATATGAATTGGCCGTTGGAAAATATGCATGGAAACGGGGTGAATGCCAATGTGTCATCTATTATCCGTGATCATTCGTTCATTCATTATTATGATTCCGGTATCCCCGACAATTCATTTGATACATAGATGGAACAACAGTGACGAAAAGAAAAGAATGTAAGCAAATATTTCACACACACACACACACACACACATACATTTACAATAAATTGATTTTATATACAACAACAATAATGGCAAGTATAGCCTTTTTGATTTTATCAAAATCAATTTTCAATTCTAAATTCTATTATTCTCTTCTTCTCGATAGGAAAATAGTCAGATTTTTTTTTGTCACTGATAATAATGTACATTATTATCTAGCTCTATTATATTTAATAATGAAATGGTGATATTGAAAGGACACACACAGAATCAATAATAATAATAGTGTTTTATCAATGTGTCTCATTATTATTCAAAATTCATTGATGTGATCAATTTCTTTCTTTTTTTCTCATTTTTCTTTTTTCGTTTTACAGATAATAGACACACAGAGCCAGAAAGAGATTTATACAACAAAACATAATTATGATGATGAACCGGAATGATCCAATTATTTTTTGTTGGAATTTTTTTTTTTGCTTCTCATTCATTCAAAATGCAATATTTTGATCATTGAATGGATCAATAGATGCAATATTGTAAAAAGTGATAGAGAAAAAAAACTTACGCCTTTCATAATGACCGGTTCGATATCGTTGAATAGATTGATCCATGGTTCACCTTGTTCTGGCGGTGCATCCGGTACCAATTCATTCAGATAGCCCGGTTCAACATCCGGTACGACAGACCTGGTACGTAGACCTTCAATATAATCAGCAATATAATCCGTTAATTGTTTGGCTGCTTGACGAAATTCATCGGAATTCATTTTCAAATCAACGACGAAAAAGTAAAAAGCTCAAGAAGAAACATACAGGAAAAAATTTAAAATTTTCAACTTTCACACACACACACACGATGTATTGTTGATGATGTTCAAAATGATAATGTTCGAAATGCAGTAAAGTGGCCATTCATTACATTCCAATCCATTCCATTCAAAATCCTTATCTTGTCTTGAGATATCGACTTCAACAGCTACTGCTACTATAGCATCATCATCATCAAGGATGTGTGTGTGTGTATTTTTTCCACACGCATTATTGAATGATAACACTATTTAAAAAGGCAATTCGATTATAAACCAAATCGATTATATAGGAAAAAATGTTTTCCAATCACACACGCACACACATCACGCATATGTTATCGCAATGTGAAAAAAGAACCAACGAATTTTTTGAATACAAAAAAAAAAAATCAAAATCTTTTTTGAAAAAATGACAAACACGTTGGGACATCTAGTGGATTTTAGTGGTTAATAATTTTTTTTACTGATCACATGTGTACATCAACATTCATTCATTTTTTGATTTGAAAGAAATTTTTTCGGATCTTTTTCTGAAAAAAAATTATAAACCAAACAAACAAATAATGTCTGTCACATTGCATACCGATTTGGGTGATATTAAAATGGAATTATTCTGTGAAAAATGTCCAAAAACTTGTGAGGTTCGTTTATTTCATTGTTTTGTTTTTTGATCCATATGATTTTTTTTTTTTTTACAGAATTTCTTAGCACTTTGTGCTAGTGATTATTATAATGGATGTATATTCCATCGTAATATCAAAGGATTCATGGTTCAAACTGGTGATCCAAGTGGTACCGGTAAAAATGGCCAAAGTATTTGGGATAGAAAATTTGATGATGAATTACACGATGATCTGCGGCATTCACGGCGTGGAATCGTATCGATGGCAAACAATGGTCCCAATACTAATGGATCACAATTTTTTATTATTTATGCTGGCCAATCTCATTTGGATCTTAAATATACGATTTTTGCCAAGTATGTAATTTGTATTTTTATCAAAAAGAAAAAAAAATGTTTTCTATTCTAAACCTTGATATATTTTTTTTCGTTTCATTTTTATACAGAGTGATTGATGGAATGGATACATTGAATGATTTGGAAAAAGTTGCCGTTAATCCGAAAAATTATCGTCCATTAAAAGATGTTCATCTGAATTGTGTGACAATCCATGCTAATCCATTTGCTGATCCAAATGTTGCACAATGATTTTGTATTTATTTTTTTTTGGCCAATAGATGGCATGTATATGTATGTATGTGGACGTTCGAATGAATTCCTTGTGACCAAACATTTCGTTTGAAGAATTTTTCATTTTTTTTTAATTAATCACATTCATCAAAACCATTTTCGTCATTATATGTCTATAATATTTATTGATCAATAAAAACGTGGATAAATAAAAATTAATTTTGATCGATCGATTGCCATTCAGGCAATGTAAACAACAAAACAAAACAAAACAAAACAAAAATGAAAGACGAAAAACAAACAAACAAAAAATTATTTGAAAAAAGGTCCATTCAATTGATATTTGAAATATTTGCCAGTAATTAATATTCTTTGTTTTTTTTCTCTTTGCTCTAGAATCATACATGAATTAATAATGGTCGAAAATCGATCATATGATGATTTTCATCTACATTTCAAATGGAAACATTCGGTTCTCTGTTAGCAGCAGCAAAAAAAAATCATACATCAATTATCATCATTCAATACAGACACACAGCTGTTGTCTTCTAAATGAATATATTACCCATCGAAACAAAACACAAAACAGGTGAACAATCATGAATGCACTTGTTGAATATTTTTTTTTCTTTCGTCAAACTAACGATAAAAAAATCAAGTTTGCCATTTCAAAGAAAAAAAAATTTTCATTGTCAAAAACAAGGTGTTTCAAGGATGTCAACCTTTTGCTGCTATTGTTGTTGTTGTTGTTGTTGTTGTAAATCATCGTTTGATATTGTATGGTATGTTAGTTTGTTTTTTTTTCTTCACTTTTAAATATCCATCATTATCATCATCTTGAACACGAACATTATTTTGATGCTTGTTCTATGTGTGTGTGTGTGAAGGTGAATTTAAATTCTTTTTCACCCATATAGTGAGAGAGTAAGAAAACAGTAAGAAAATTTTTCTTTTCTTTATCTTTCATCTTTGTGAATATATGAAGCAAATCATCAATCGATTAACTTGATTGAATCCACAACAACATTCAACAATCAAATTGAATCAAGGCTATGTGATTGAACCATTCGATTGATTGTAAAATTCATAATCGCAGCTGTATATAGTCGAAATAGAAAACAACAACGACAACAACAACAACAACAACACTGACATTGAATCTATTCATATTTATCCAAACGAAAAAAAAATCCCGGATAATTTTGAAAAAGAAAACCTACGCTTTAGTTGCTAAATATTAATATTTGATTTCATTCTCTCTCTAAAATACACACACTGGATGAATGACTGAACTAACCAAACCCTATTGGCCATTGGAATTTTTTTTTTTTTTTTTTTTGTTAATGTAAACAGGCAAGATTCATTACCCCTTTTTTAAATGAATGAATGATCAACAACATGTACAATGTACCGCTCCCAAATTTGAATGAAATTGATCTAATGGCAAAATTTTGTTTGTTCCTCTCATTCTCACTTGCCTTTAAAAAAAATGAAATGAAATGAACATCTGCCATTCACATTCATTGATCATGATTTAGCACATTTTTTCTTACACACTCACTCGGTGAATGATTGACAAAAACATAAATTAAAGAGAGAGATAGAGAGTGAGAGAGGGTCAAAATAAAAATCCAGTCAACAGTTAAAAAAAGAAAAGAGAAAGTGAGATTGATGAAAAAAGGGCGCCATATACACAACCCAATACATTCATTGAGTAAGGGAGAAAAGGAGTGAGAGAATCCGATTCCAACCTATCATCATCATCATCATCATGTGGGTAACATTTTTTTTCATTTTGTTTAGAATGTACATGTTGTATAAAGGAATGTACATGTGTATGTGTATATTGTTTTCTCGTTGGTGTTGGTTTTTGTCTGTCTGTTTTGTGGTATTGCCAAAATATTCATTTTGATGATTTAAACAAAATTTTGGTATGAAGGATATTGCAGATAATTCGTCAGCAGTTTACGCCCATGGATACCATAGAAATAGACAGAGAGAAAAAGCTTCAATCACAAAGAAATTTTTTTTTTTTGGTTGCTCCTACCATTTATCATACGCATAGACGGTGTTTGCTGTTTGCTGTTGCTGTTGTTGTTGTTGGGTGAATCGATCTTTTTTTTTGTTTGTCATCCATTCATCTATCTCCATCCGACGCCGATTTTTTTTTTTGACTCGATCGATACGACAAACAAACAAACTAGTGTCTCTGTGTTATATGTGAAATATGGTTAGTTGATGGTGAAAGTGCGGCAGCAACAAGATCATCATCAAGCCATGTGTGTGCCTGTTTGTCTGGTGGTGGTGGTGGGTTTTTTTTAGGTCAATGTTACTGTGTCAATGTTATTTCAATCAAACATCGTGGTTATTTGTTAGTCGGTCGGTCGATTGGTATTTTTCAACTTTTAATTAAAAAACTTTTTTTTTTGTCTCTTTAAACGTTTGTTTTTTCTGGTTAAATAGATAAAAACAAATTGAAAAAAGAATATTCTGCTTTATTCTCGTACATTCTTCTATTGTGTACCTTGTTTGTGTGTGTGTGTGAACCAGACTCGAAAGATCGCGTATCTCCTGGTTACAGTCGCGACCAATTCCAAAAATTCTGTGGAAAAATTTTTTTTCATTCGCAATCAATACAGAAGCAGAATCTCTCTCTCTCTATATATATAAATGAATAATGAACTGTGAGAATTTGTAATAAAAAAAAGAATAAAAATAACTTTGTCGCATTTCATTGACATTGACATTGTTTCATTCAAATTAATCAATTTTTTTATATAATTTTTTGATTGATTATCATCATCATTGACAATTTAAAGTACAGCAATTAACAGCACAGTTTGTCAACCTGATGGATGGTTGATCACACACACACTTGACAACAACAACTGCGACGATTAAGTGACTACAGACCAAAACGAAAATTAAAAAACAACACCGAACCTACATCGTATTTTGTTTGAGTGTGTGTGTGTGTGTGTGTGGGTGGATGGATGGATGGTCTATCATCATCTTTCTTCTTTTTTATCGTTGTTGTCGTCACAAAAACAAATCCTTCCACAAATCCATAAACGAACGATTCACATTGATCATCATCATCATCGTGCTGCATACCGGTGCCGCATATACATCACATCAGACATCACATGTCTAAAAAGGTGGTACAATGTACAATTGTTGTTGTTGTTGTTGCCGATGATCGATGGATTTTTGAATGATAATGAGAAAAAAAAATTATTAATAGCATCATCATATACACATAGACAAAACAAAGTTCAACAAAATCTTTTTTGTATGTTTATATTCTATTTGTTTTGTTGTTCTCAAATTAACAAATTTCTTGTGCCTTGTGGTGTTGTGCGTGTGTGTGTGTGTCCATGATAATCAACAAGTTATTATGGTCACAAATATTCCGGTATTTTTTTACGGCAAAAACAAAAATTCCGTCCTTTCATCCATCCATGACACGAATTCTTTAAGAGAATTTAATTTGCGAAAAAAAATCATTAATTGTTGAATGACAAACTGTACAACACAATTAATGGCAATATGTATAAAAAAGATCGACCAATGTTGAGCGTTACATCGCTCTTGTATGGTTCACCTGCACCAAACAGTTATCCATCATTATTAAATAACAGCAACAAAAATATTAATAATGGAATGGGTAAGTGAAATTTTTTTTTTTTGTTGTTTAAAATTTGAATTTCTAAATAGAAATTTTATCACTTAGGTTCTTCGATGACAAATCCAAATGATAATGGTGGCATGACATTGATTGGTAATGGAAATGTCCATAATACAGCTATTACAATGAATACAACTAGTCCAATTATTGGTGGTGGTGGTGGTGGTGGAACGAATCAAACATCTTTATTAAATCAAGTTCATAGTCCAACGACAACAATACAACAACAACAACAACAACAAATGAATAATAGTAATAGTCCAACAAATATTGTTGTTTCTACCTGTGATAATAATAATAATAATCATCATCAACGATATCCTCCTAATCATCCACTAAGTGGTTCAAAACATTTATGTGCCATTTGTGAAGATCGTGCTTCGGGTAAACATTATGGTGTTTATAGGTTTGTGTGTTATGTGGAAACCTTTATATTTACAAATATTTGACTTTTGTTTTTATCATTTATTTATTTCTGATTTCTAGTTGTGAAGGTTGTAAAGGTTTTTTTAAACGTACCGTACGTAAAGATTTAACCTATGTTTGTCGTGATGATAAAAATTGTATTGTCGACAAAAGACAACGTAATCGTTGCCAGTATTGTCGTTATCAAAAATGTTTAGAAATGGGTATGAAACGTGAAGCCGTACAAGAAGAACGACAACGTAATAAACCATCAACAACGGCGGAAACTAATGAACCAGAATCATCGACAACGATAAATTCACCAACAACAACGACAACATTGAATCATTATCATCAGAATAATCATCAATCTCATCATGATCGACGACTATTTAATGATCTAAATATTGAACGTTTAACAGATGCAGAAAAATTGATTGAAATTACTTCAAAGGTAATGTTTGGTTTTCTTTGACCATGACTTTAGCTGAAATTCAATTAGTTACTTTAAATTTATTTTCAGTGTTCACAACAACAACAACAACAACAACAACAACGACGAAAAAAGGAGCAACCAGAGAAATTGAACTTTTATTCAAGTGGATCAAAAACATTCCTTATTTTCAATCATTGGATCCAAATGATCAACTTGTTTTGTTGAAAAGTGGTTGGAATGAATTATTGATTGCTGAATTTTCATATCGTTCCACTTGTAAACAGGATGCCTTACTATTAGCTAACGGTGTGGAGGTTAGCCAACAAAAAGCCCAAAGCGCCGGTATTGGTGATATTTTTAGCCGTGTTCTCAATGAACTTGTAGCAAAAATGCGTGAAATGCAAATGGATCCAGCTGAAATTGGCTGTCTAAGGGCCATCGTATTATTTAATCCAGGTATATTTTTGTTTCCTTGCATCATTTCATTGGCTACAATTAATTGATCAAATTTTTTTTTTATTTTCAGCGCTTAAAAATTTAAAAAACATAGATATTGTAGAAAAATTACGTGATCGTGTTTATTCATTGTTGGAAAATCATTGCCGACTACTATATCCGGATAAAACAAGTAGATTTGCTAAACTATTGGTTCGTTTACCGGCATTACGTTCAATTGGTCTAAAATGTATTGAACATTTATTTTTTCAACAATTTCTCGCTGAAAATGATTTAAGACAAAATATTGGTGAGAATTTTTTATCAGAAATTTTTTATTTACTGATTGATTTTTTTTTCTTTGGTTTATTCCACACAGATATTTTCATTTCACAAATGTTAATGATTCCTAAATAAAATGATGATCGTCTGATTTGGACCTCAACACAATGTGAATGTTAATCTCATCATCATAGTTTTGTGTTTAGTTTGGCTGTTCATTTATTTTCATGGATTCGAAAAAAAGACTGTATGAATCTCTGCAATGTTTTTATTATTATTATTATGAAAAGTACAAATTATTCGTTTTCGTTTCAATTCATTCAAAGTTTACACACACAAAAAAAACGACATGTTTTTACATTTTTTTTGTTGTTAAGTCATAAGAATTTTATTTTTTTCTTCAATTTTTTCGTTTTATTTTATTTTATTTTTTTTGCGATAAAAATATGAAAAATAAGAAAAATATTAAATTAAATGCTATTTTAATCCATCACTGAGCCAGTTGTGTTGATTTGGAATTTTTTTTTTGGTTTGTTTATTTGTTTTCTTGAGTTCTCAGCTTTCATGTGGTTGGTTCAATTTTTTTTCTTTGAATAAAATTTTTTTTTTTTTGATTATAACAACAACAAACCAGAAAAATGCCCGAATCATTTGATCAATTGGATTACAATAAAGAATCACAATTATTATGTTCATTGTGTGCACATCCACCTGTTGGTTTTAATAAACATTTCAATATGATGGCCTGTTTGATTAGTTTTAATGCAGGTAATTCATCCGATGTTGATAGTGAAGAATTGTGGAAATATTTCAATTCAAAATATCATCAAGATCGTTTGAATGAATTGCATAAGATTCCATTTCCAAATGATGAAATGGATTATGATCTGTATGAATGTGATGATTTTAAAGAATTGATCGATAAACGTCGAAAAGAAGAAAAGAAAAAGAGAAAACAAAATCAGAATCGCAACACGCTAAAGATCATCCATCCATTGAAGCTAGTGATGATAATACATTATCCGGTGCTTCAACACCGATCAATGTTCAAACACCACAATTGCCATCATCAAGAAAACGAAAATCAGCAACGACTACGACTACATCACTTCAGGACAATTCTTTAGGATCGATGGATCAAAAATCTCAAACTCCTACAGTGGCAAGTCGCCGTCGTGATAGATCAGATTCAGAAAAAAATGAACGTTCAGAAAGTACTACTACTAGTAGTAGTAGTAATAAACATTCACATCGACATCGTTCGGATAAAGATAATAAAGATAAAGATAAGGATGATAAGATGGATAAAAGTCATTCATCATCATCAACAACATCAACATCGACACCGTCCACCACCACCACCACTAATGTTTCGACCAAAGATAATGCATCATCATCATCATCATCGAAAAAAATTCGAACAATGCCAAAACGTCCATCACGTAATAGTACAGCCAACAATAATATGACAAGTTCCAACACCAGTCACACCAGTGGCGGTAGCAGTAACGCAACACCAAAATCATCATCATCATCTAATAAAAAACATGATAAAAAACATAAATGATCAAATTTAGCCAAAAAAAATCATAGTAAAATCATGATTAAATTCCATTCAATTATCCACTGATTTTGTCTAAAATAAAATTAATTTTTTTTCAAAGATTCTAAAACGCAATATTTAAAGCAAAAAAAAAATGTAAATGACTGACTTCAAGGTTTTTTTTCTACCCGTTCTATGCGCCAATCAAATCAAATGATGATGATGATGATGATGATTGCATACATTAACAATCAAAAAAAAAATATTTATATTATGTAAATGTAAATAATCTTTCTCGGTGTGTTTGTTGATAATTAAATGAAAATTGAAAGTAAATGTATGGAATTACATTCATGTGATTCAAGCAATCGACGACTATGATGATGTTTTGGCAATAAAAATTGTTTCGTTTCGTTTTTATTGGTCATTAACCTTGGCAAGAAAAAAAAACAACAACAACAACATTCTAGCCATAATTACACCGGTAATAAAACATTTTTTTCCCGATTCAAACTCTACACTCCACACTTACTGTTATTGATGCCCGATGTCAGTCAGTATGCCATTATCAATCATCAAATGTATTTAAATGGAAAATTTTTTCTTTTTCTATATAAAATGCCGTCACTATGCAGCGAGATTAAAATTGTTGTGTTGTTGTTGTTGCTTGGAATGACAATCAAAAATTTTTGTTGATAAATTATAAAAACATTTTTAAAAATCCATCCGGTGTAATTGGTTGTTGTTGTTGTTGTTGTTGCCTGTCTCAATAGGTCGTCGAACCAGCAATCTATTATTTGGTGGTGAAAATCAGTGCCATTTTCATTTGTTTTTTTTTTTTTGGCCAACCAAAATCTTGTTTGTTAATTGATAAAACAAGAAAAAAATTTCTCTTTAATTGCCGAATCATCGATATTTGATTGATTGGTGGATTTTTTGTGTGTGTGTGTTTCTATTATCATCATTTATATAAATGTAAAAAATGTCGAGAAAAAAAATGTGACAAAAAAAGGACAGAAGATAACGAATGGATAATGAATGGATATTTACATTTTTTTTTTTCATTCTTCTGTTTTGTTGTTGTTGGAAACAAAAAGTTTTCCATCCCTGAATTGAATATACAAATGATAACAAAATAAATGAATGATTTTAACAAATTATTATAGCGAAATAATAATAATTAAAAAAAATAAAACAAGAAAAAAAAACTAAAAACAAGATTTTGATGAATCCAATCATCAGTGGATTATTGGATGGATGATTCAACACGTTTTTTCGGATTAATTTTTTGTTGTCCTTTTTATGGTTGTTGTTGAACGATCTTGAATTCATCGGCCATCATGACTTCGTTCTCATTCTTATCATGTTGTTGTTGTTGTTGTTGTGTTGTATCATCATGAAATTGAATAGCCGATGCTTTATAACAGACAATGAGATCGATACAAAATGCAAGAAACATAATTGATGCTGTTAAACCATGAAATAATTGCCGAAAACGTGTTGAATCATATAGACGACAGGCGCCAAGTTTTCCACAATTTTCTTCCCAAAACAAACATGTAGAATCGATGATTGATCCATAAAGGATTGGACATGGAACATTACCTAGAATAATAATGTTATAACGTTAATGTTGCCAAACATACATTACAAAAAAAACTAACCAAACAATCCGGTTGCAAATGAAATAAATCCTAATGCCATAGCTTTATCACGTGGTTCAACACAACGTAATGTAAGTAACATTGATCCAACTTCAGAGGTAGAATGTATAAGTACAGTAAATGAAAAGATAATAATGTACAATGTCAATGTATTGCACTCTAATGGACAGATTCCAGGTTTTGCTTCTAAAGTTTCAGCGATATCAATCATATCGATATTATTATTTTTGTTCATGACATTTACAATCGGTATAAAATTTCTAAAGACAAAGAAAGAAATTCATTATGATTATCTTGTTGAAAAAAAGAAGAAGAAGAAACTTAATACCTCAGTACTATTGACATGAACTGTTGAACATCCTGCCAGACAAGGTGATATAAATGTAATACCATTATTCATACAGATTGGTTCAAAACGTCCTTGTGGACAATGGCAATCATATGAACATGAAAGATTCTTGTGGTTAATATCGAGAAAATAATCTTGACTAAATGATAATATGATGATGGTAATAAATATAAAAATGTCAATATAATCACAAAATACATACCCATTGATATTATCATGTTGTTTAATACCAGCAAATTGATTGGTTGGACAGCCCAAAAACATCAAAATAATCATTCCAATAACATAGGATAATGCAGCAAATGCAATCCATTGGGCAACTAAACGAGCACTTGGATTATAACGACGCATAAATGTACCACTGGCAAATATACCGAATCCCATAACCAGTATACCGGCTAAACCAGCAATCATATTTGCATCAGTTGCTGTCAATTGAAATTGACTTTCCAAATATTTTGGTAAAAATGTATAAAGACCAGATATAGGTAGAATATGCAAAACAGAGCTAGCCGTACGACAAAGTAATATATCATTGGTAAGCAAACGTTTCAAAGCTTGAGAAAATCCACCACCACCACCACCACCAATTGTTGAATGATCATTTTGATTGCCATTCGGTTTTATATTTTCAATACAATGATCAACAGATGATGAATTATTATCACAGAATGTGATCAATTCAGTATTGTTAAGCTCATCCATATGATGATGATCATGATTATTGATTCGTTGCTGATGTAATGATTTAAGAAGATTTTCTTGTTCCATTTTTTGTTGTTGTTGTTGTCTATGACAATAAGAACTTGGATCAGGTTGTGGTAATCGTCTTGGGAAAACCATCATTGGAATCGATGCTAATGCCAGCGATACACCAACCAAAAATAAACCTAACCACTGAAATATGGGAAAAAGGAAATGGATTTTTTGAACAAAAAAAAAATCAAAATCAAAAACTTACCCAAGCACCAATCCAATTAGGATCATTTGGCTGTAAATCCGATGTACCGAATGGAAATTGCACAGGTATACTAGTACAAACAGATCCCAAAAGAAAACCACAAACCGGTCCAAATATACGAACACCAATTGTAATACCGAAATAAAGTGGTGATTCTTTTGGCGCTACATTATCATCAATATATGGAATGCCCAATGTATTGACAGTAGTCGTACCTAATCCAATCATCAATAGACTCATGAAAAATATGGCCAGAACAAAATTATTCACACGACTTTGTTGTACGACAACGTCGGATTGTTGATTGCAGAATAATTCAGCCGTCGAATTATCAATCGTGCACATTGTATTCATCGGTAAATTGATCAATGATTGTTCTTTGGCGAATAATTGTTGTTGTTGTTGTTGTTGTGTTGATGCTGGTTGACTACCGAAAAGATAATGTGGTGTCGAACATAATAATGCTGCGAATGCAAACACCAACATACCGGTGGCTATCCATCTTGGTCTATGACCTTTGCCACCATAATACGTAAGTAATAATGCACCACTAATCTGGCCAATTTCCGTTGAACTCATTATAATACCTGTAGTACGGCTTTGTACTTGATATAATTTTTCAATTGTTGTTAAAACACTAACAAAATATGTATAATAAATTCCTTGCAGGACGGATGTCAGGCAGAATAAAGCTAGAAAACATTTTTTATTTGCAAAATGTTGCATACATTTTGGATGCCAATTGAATATTCCACAGGAAAAATCATTATCATCAATATTATCATGATTATCATCATTATTGGCCATCATTTTCATCATTAACATTTGATGATGATTATTTGAATGTTGTTGTTGTTTTGGATCGATAGTAAGTGATATTATTTCATTTTTTGATGAATGATTATTAATGTTGTTGTTGTTGTTGTTGTTGTTGATATTGATGGCTGCAGTAGTAGACGAATCATCTTGATTTGTTGACATTTTCTTTGTGTTTATTTTTTTTATAATTAAAGTTGATCAAAATTCAAAAATAAAGAAAGTATCAAAATGATTCGAATTCGGAAACAAAAAAAAAAATACAAACACAAACAAGGTTAAAATAGTATATTTAAAATTTCAACAACAACAACAACAATCCGAAAAATGATTGTTTTTGTTGTTATTTACCATTTATATATACAATTTATTGTGACTTTTGGATCATCTTTTTTTTTCTTTTATTTCCAAATCAGAATGCTTCAGGACGTGTTGGTGGTGGCGACGAGTCAATTTTTTTTTAGCAATTAAAAACAAAATAACCACACACCATAATAAAAAAAACACACACAAATACAAACAACACAAGAGACACAAGTCGATCTGGTATTGATGATGGTCGTCATCAACAATCTTCTACTGATGTCTGGGTAAGATCTCTGTCGTGTGTTGTCGTGGTTGTCGATGATCGGACGACTGGTGGACAGACTATAAGAAGATTTTTTTCTTTTCGCTTTTCAATTTGGCGTATTCACAATTTTCGATTTTTGTTTTTTCTTTTCACAACAACCACGACTATGTTGATAATGATGACGGCTGTGGCGGCAGTCGGCAGTCTTATGAAATAAAGAAGAAAGCACCGATTTTAGGTTTTCCGATTTTTTTTCATACTACTACCAGTTGTTGTTGTTGTTGTTGTTGGAAACACACCATTCATTGATATACAACAAATACATGCCGTTTTTATTTACACCAAATAATCATTCGAAATAAATACACAGAAAAAAAACAACTATACAGTCACAATGATGAATTGTGAGATTTAGTGAGTGAACCTAGAAAAGCCTAAACCACAACACTAGAACAAAACAGAGATATATAACCGGCCGACGATGAATAGAATTGTGATTGAAAAGAAAGAGAAAGAGAGAAACATGTGCATTCGGGAATTACACCACATGCATTTGTTATATATCAACACAGGAATATCAACACAGAATTCTGTTGATTGGTTGAGTGATTTTAATTCTGGTTAGTTATCTGATGATGATTTTTTTTGGAATTAAATCTGATTCAATCTAAAAAAAATTTTATAACACACACACACACACACACACGCTTCGAAATCATTGAAATGGCACAATAATAAAAGTCCATCTCTCTTTATTTCTCTGATTTTTTTTTCAAATCAAAATTGATCGAAATAAAATTAAAAAAATGAATGAAACTGCTGAAAGCGGCAGTGGTGGTGGTGGTGGTGGTTGTTCTTTTTTTTGTTCAATGCTTTGTACTGCTTCGTAGCGTGTGTGATCAGTGTTTGTGTTTTTGACAAAAAAAAACTGGATGGATAACAAACAAGAAGAAAAAAAAAGATGCAGAAAACACAAAACAGCCAACCAGCCAAACAACCACATACAGCATATGGATGATGATGATGATGAAAACGAATGAGAGAGTGGCAATCGAATGGTGATCAATAGAAGAAGAAGAAGAAAAGATTTGAAAATTTTTTCATTTCACATTTTTTTTCACGTATTTCGGGCTCTCTTTTTTTTCTATAGTGAACAAAAAAAAAAATACAGATAAACGAATGATGTGCACGATTTGTGATTGATTACATGATTAGCTTCGCCTCTTGTTTTTTTTTTTTTTTTTTTTGAAAAACTTTAAAGATGTCAAAAACAAAAAAAAAATTTCGAAAGTAAGATACCAACCACCACCACCAACAACAACAACAACAACGGCGATTGTCACACTTTGTGTGTGTGTGTGTTTAAGTTATTATTAACCCTTTTTTTCCATTCTCTTCATCATTTTCTTTCTCTCTCTCATTTTCATGTCCTATTTTTTTTTGTTTTTTGTTTAAATGAAAGAAAAAGCGACAAATCTGGTTATATTTTTTTTTTTGCTTTTTGGTCTTACTTTTTCTCGATAATTAGGTCTTTTCTTTTCATTTCAATTTTTTTTTTTTAAATAAGAAAAAGGCTTCTTTTTTAGCCTTTTTGGTTGATCATCATCATGATTTGGTCGAAATTTGATTTAGCAATAAAAAATGAAATGAAATGAAATCTAGGTTATCTCCATGTTGGTCATTTCGTTTCTGGATAATACCGGATTTCGCATACACACATATTTTTAGACCAAAAAAAACAAAACTCTCTGGTCTATATCGGTATTGACCGGTGTAAACCGATGATAATCAACAACAACGACAACAACAATCGTACCTTGGTGTTTTTTTTTATTTCTTTATTTCTTTTCACACAAGTTCAAGGACAGGCCAATGACATTTGTTGACAATCGTCATCATCATCATTCATAATAAACAAAAAAAAAACAAACATCCACTTTGTGAACGATTGCAGAAAAAGATTTTTTTTTTTGCAATTTTCATGTGAAAATTCACGAAAGAAAAAAAAAGAGTTATGACGATGATGATGACCGTGTGTGTAGGTTGTTTTTTTTTTTTTTTTGAATAAACCACCACCGCCTTTACCTTTAGATTAAATGGACCATGGGAAATTTTTGTTTGGGAATGGTCAAGAACCCTACATGGTCCTGCTGTCAACCAAAAAAAAACCTGTTGATTGTCTGTTTTTGTTGTGTGTGTGTGTGTGTGGAAAATAAAAAACATTTTGATTTTCCCTTTGGCCTTTGACTGATGGTCGTCTAGGTTTCTTTTTTTCTTCATCTGTTTGTGTTTGTTTGTAGTAGACAACAATTTTCGGTCATTCACATACACACACACACACACACACAAGTTATAAACGAGTACGGCACTGACCTTTCGAATTTTTTTTTTTGTTTTCGTTGTTGAACTTTTTTTTCAAAAGATATTCGATATGTGGCTTTCACTTTTCACTGTATATTATGAAGATTTTTGGATTTTTTTTTCTTGTTCAACTACTTGACCTCATAGGGTCAGATAAGAACAAATGTCATGGTCAAATTAAATCAAATCTCTAGTTTGGATGCTGATCATCATCATCTTTGTCATCAGTGGCCAGGTCAACAATGACATGACATACCTTCATCGTATCGTCATCATCAATGTAGGGTCAATGACAATGAAATCTGATGATGATGATGATGATGACCTTGTCATATTATAGACAGGAAATGCAAATGTTCTATTCATTCATTCAACAGACAAACAAACAAACAAACACAAAGAAAATTTTCTTTTCATTCGATATATATCGATTCAAAAAATGGGCTAAAAACGGTAACCATATGTTCATCATCATCATCATCATCAAAAAATTGCTTCTATGGCTTGGGCAGGCACGACAGTGGACACGAATCAATCGATAGTGGATTTAAAAGAAAAATTTTTTTTATTATTATTGTTATTAGTGGGGTATAGAAAAAAATACATTCATCAATAATAATAATAGTGGCTATAATAGTGTTAATTAATATAAATGTCCAATGGAAAAGTTGATGAGGTGATTTGTCCATTTTTTTCAGAAATTTTTTTTGTTTCTGTTTTGTTTTACATATAAATAATATAATAGAAAAATAAAACAACACATTATGGCTGGCAATAACAACAAAAAAAAAAAAATTGATTGCCTATTTAATGATCAATTTTCCTAATCATGGCGGCCAAAGAGTTATTGTGTGTATGTATCACAGTATATTTTTGTTGTTGTTGTTGTTGTTGTTGAAAATGATGAAGAAAAAAATTATTTAATTAAAAAATAAATAAATAGTTGATTGATTGATTGATTATCGATGATGAAATTCAATAAATCAATTCATTGATCGATTGATGGTGGTGATAACCTCAATTTTTTTTTTCTTTCTACTGCTCATTTGAATGATGATGAGATTCATACATTGTTTGATTTGTTGTCGTGTATTGTATGTGGAGTTTATGGTAAAATAAAAAATTTCAACGAAACGAAAAGAGAAAAAAAATTTCCATTGATATCTGAGTTCATCAAATCGATTGGATGATAATTATGGCCATGTTTCAATGATAACACCAAAAAATGATATGGTGTGTAACCTGAGATTCTCTTATACTAAACTTTCTGAACGATGATGATGATGATAATGTTTCGATGTAGATGATGATGGTAACATTTCAATCTGTATTGAATTTATATTAGATGATGGTATCATCATCGTTGTTTGATTGTCATTATTATCACCATTATTATTATCATGATTATCATTTATTGCTATCAAATTACCAACACCAATCGGAACGGGAATCAATGATGAATTTGATGATAAATTTTCATCATCATCATCTATGGCTGAATTATAATCTGAATCTTGCATCTGTTGCTGTTGATGTTGTTGTTGTCCACCTAGTGGCTGTTGTTCTTCATCAGCTTCAGCAATAGTTTCCGGTGCAACAGACCAACCAAATACGGATAAACGATCCAATGAAATAATCGATGATATTACTTCATCAGTAGTGAATGTACCGTTTTTCATTTGTAATTTTTTCAATTCTTTTTTCTCACGATAACAAATTAGTAATAAATCAAAAAAGAATAAAATTGCTGCCGTTATTTTGAATGCACTACAAACACCAACATATCTATTTTGTGAAAATAAAAAAAAATAAATAGAAAGAAACAAATGAAACAAAACAAAACAAAAAAAAATAATCCAAATCCACTCACCTCAGACGAAATTGTTCAATATTATAAAGTAAACAGAAACCACCTTGTTCACCGCAATGATTTTTCCAAACTAAACACGTCGAATCAATAACATTACCGAAAACAATTGGCGATGGTATGTAACCAAACAAACGAAACAAAACAAATTGCATTCCCAATGCTAATGAACGTTCTTCTTCATCAACGGATCTATATTATTTGGCCAAAAACAAATTAAAAATGAATGAATTTAAATTCATTCTGATAATGCATATACCTCAATGTAATCATAACAACAGGCATTTGTGTGATTGAAACGACCAATGTGATAATAAATAATAGAACCATAAATGGAACCATTGCCGTACAAATCTGATGACATGGTCCAGGCGTAACGATAGGCACCATAGTGATTTCATGATTATTATTATTATTGGATAGTAGACAAGCACAATTGCTATAATTTCGAATCTAAAGAAATGGCCATTGGATTGTGCCGTCAAAAACGATAAGATAAGATAAGATAAAAAAAACTGGGATTATGTAATCAAAACTTACATCACGAGAATTATCGACCGAAGTACAGCCAGCAAAACATGGTGAATAATAACTAATTTTATTACGAACATCACATACTGGTTCCAGATCATTCGATGAACATCGACAGCCTAGATTACATTCAGCTGTCAGATTGACGGAAAATGTATCTTGAAATCTTGTTCTATAGAAGAAGAAGAAAGAAATTAAATTTGAAAAAAATATGAAAGTCAAAAAAACATACGTGTTGGCATATGGTAATGTAGTGCCGGCCATTTTAACATTTTCACAACCAAGAAAATATAAAGCCGTATAGAGACCCATACAGATAATGTTGAAAAATAAAACAACTTGAATGGCACCTTTTGGTGTCAATTGAAAACGTTTCAGAATGTAGCCACCAAGAAAAATACCAAAACAAGCACCAGGTATAGCGATACCACCGGCAAATAAATTTGCTTGTGATTTTCCCAAAGAAAATTGTGTTTCCAAATATTTGGGAAGAAAAATTAGAAAACCACTAACGATTGCCAATTCCATACAAGAACCAAGACAGGTGACCATATAGACTGGATTGCATGCCAGTCGCCACATACAAGCCGGTATTTCACCCAATTTACGGCCATATTTTGTATTTTTTGAATTCATAGTTCCATTTGGATCATCACCACAGTTAGTTTTAACGTTATTACTGTTACTATTATTGTTACTGCTGCAGTTATTACCCGTATATGAATGGCAGCCACCACCACCACCACCACCGCTTGGTAAAGCGACAATTAATTCTTTTGATTTTTTTGCTTTCAGACTTTTTGGAAATATAAAAAATGGTATCGAGATCTAAATAGTGTGGGGTCCATACGAAAAAAACAATTAGATTTAGTGGAAAGAAAAAAACTGAAAAATTATTTAAAACATACGATTAAAAGCAGTATACCGAGTAAAATGAAACCAGCCCACCATGCACCGATCCATTTAGTATGACCAGGAAAAATATCTTCTGGCACAACACCGGTGCCCAATGCATTTTCATGAACATTGATAAAGAATCCACCGAGTAGAAATCCACAAACTAGACCAAAAGCAACCATACTATACATACAACCCATATACATTGATGAACTTTCTTTTGGCACATGATCATCAATATAAGTGGTGCCCAATGTGAAAATTGGTGTACCACCACAACCAATCAGAACCATAGCCAACATGAAAACCAACATTTGTGGTGCATGATAATTTGATTCTTGCAGACAATTTGGATCATCATCCAAAAGACCAAGATTAATAAATTGACTATACAAGAAAAAAAAATCTAGTTAGCAAAAATAACACGAAATGATCAAACATCTGATTTACCTGGCTTTCTCAAGAAATGGTGACGTTAATGCCGGTTTCGGTATACGACATGTATTGTCCAAATATTGTTGATCCGATTGATTTTTACCATTATGCATTGATGATAATGGTGATTTCAATGACATAAAATGTGGTAATGAAAATATCAACGAACCAATGGCAGTGACAACGATACCGGTACCGATCCAGCGTGGTATATGTCGATGTGTACCAAAATAACTGACAAAAATTATTGTGGCAAGATTTCCAATCTCAAATGTCGAAACAATAGCACCGGACATTTGTGATGATATATCAAAACGTTTTTCAATCGTAGTAATAACACTATTAAAATAACCAGATGAAAGTGCCTGTTGCAGTGTTACCAATATGCAACAAAGAAATACGAAAAATTGTATGGTTGCATATTGCCTAAGCGAATTGAATTTCAATGACCAACAACCGCATTCAATTTTTTCTACATCCAAATTATCGGTGTCCGTATCACCAACGCCCACTGTTGAACGCATTTTTAATGATGAATATTTTATCGATACATTTGGATCACCGGCTATTGATGATGTATGATGATGTAATGGAAAATAATATGGTGGATATGTTGCATCATAATGTATTGTTTTTTCTGATGATGTTTTCTTTAGATTTGGTAACGCTAATGCAATAATTGGACCAGATTTATCCAACGCAATTTGTTGCTGTAATGATTCACCTGATTGATGTGCATAAAGACCAGTAGCAGCATAATAGGAATAATCACGTACTGATGTAGCATTTCCGGCACTTTTTGCACGACGATGACCATGTATATAACGTGGACGATGATGATGTGAATGATGTGTTTGTAACTGTTGTTGTTGTTGCTGCTGCTGCTGCTGCTGCTATCGATGACGATGATGATGGTGGTGCTGTTGGTGGTGGTTGTTGTGGATAAATTCCACCAGATTCACCTGAACAATGCATTTTATGATGATGATGATGGTAATGATGATGATGATGATGATAATGTTTACCAACACCACCACCATTCGATGAGGATGATGATGATGATTGAATTTCTTTATTTGGATTCGACATTTTTTTTTTATTTCTAAGATAATGGCCAAGTATCGAATTATAATAAACAAAACAACAACAACAACAACAACAATATAAAGTGTCCACTGAGTTTTTGCCAATAGAGACTAGAATTCACTATAATAATGTAAATAATAAATGGAAAAAATTTTTTTGATGAAATAAAAACCAAAAATTGGTTCACCACTTACGTTTTGATTTTCGTATATTTCCAATTGTTTGATATTATGTTTCGATAATCTGTTTTGTGTGTTGACAATATCTAGAAATCAGAAATATGAATCATAATTAATAAAATCAGATCAGATCAGATCAATTGATATATCGATACACAAACACGCACACACACAGACACAACTGACATGCACCGAGTATATGGAGATAGATGGAGAGAAATAGATTGAGATGCAAAATATATGCATTTTGCTTCTCTTTTCATTTTCTAACACACATCTATAGATAAATATAGAGATAGAGAGAGAGAGAGAGTGGACAATACAAATGGACTGAAACATATGAAATGAAAATACCGGATTCATAACGGAACAGAAAAAAATCCCCCTCCTTCCTCATTAAAAAAAACTACAACTTTCACCGGTTGAAACACTGACTGACTGATTTGATTGACTGACACACACACACACACAAGAAAAAGAGAGAAAATCTTTACATCAGAACAAAAAAAAAAGCAAGCAGCAGTAGCCGAAAACAAAATCGAACATGACACACACAGTAACAAAAAAAAATTTGAACAATAACAACAACAACAACAAAAACAAAAATGCCACGTGAACAGAGATTTACAAAGAAAAATTAAAAAGCGAAACAAAAAATGAATCTTTCACGCCCACACACACTCTTCGATCCAATATACAACAACAATGGAACAACCAACAAAAAAAATTCAACAAATTGTCTTCATCATCGTCTTCTTCTTCTTGACTTATTGGCTATGCGCAACCGAAAAGCAAGATTCATTTCACTTGGAAACCAGAAAATAATTTCTTGGTATTTACCCGATATAACACACGCACATATATAAGTTTGTCCTTCATTTCTGTTGTTTACAACAACCGAAATCTTGAAAATAATAATTTATATCGATTTATTAGTGTGTGTGTGTATGGAAAAAAAATATGTCAAGTCATCATTCAATTATTGATCGATTATGATTATGGAATTCAAAAAGAAAAACAACAATAAAACACATAAGACATATAAGAGTGATGGAATCAAACAAAATTTGGAACAAAATAACGGTGACGAAGCAGATTTTCATCAATCACAAAAATTCTTTTTCATTTTTTTTTTGTTCATCCATAATCCATATTTATATACAACTTACCGGATATTTCATGTACACAAAGACAAAATTTATTTTTTGTTTTGAAATTTAAATCAACACACCGGTTATCAAGCTGGATTAAAAATAACAAAATGTTGTAAAATTCATCAATCAGGTATCATTTAAATGAAAGGGCATCAGATTTAATGTAAATGAACCATAATACACACACACACACAGACATTTAATTGATGATGATGATGATTTGATATTTGATTCAAATCGATAGAAAATGTTTGATTATCATCATCAAATATCATTTTACCTGTGTGATTTATAGACTACAACAACAACAGCATCCATCCTCTATCTTCTACACATTTACACCATTTTAAAATCGAATCATCAAATATTTATACAGCAAGCATCCAAACACAAAAATCTTTAGATTGGCAAACAAAATAGATGGATATTTACCCGATAATGTGCAAAAAGCGACATTTAAGCAGCATCCAAAGGTAATCAATGTTGTTGTTGTTTTTTTTCGCCAAATTTTTAATTTCCGTTTTTCCTCTATACGAGTAGGGAAAAAAACCGATCACGCGTATACAGAGAAACAACAATCTGTTTGATTGATTATATTTTGATCGATGGCGATCAAATTGTATGCGTGGCACAAATTTTTTTTTTCGATATTGATGTTGGTGGCATTTGATCATCATTTTATTATTCACAACGATGATGATGATGATATTTATTTACCCCATATATTTATCAACCAGTTATAACTGGGAAATAACCAATCAATCAATCAATCAACCAACCAACCAACCAACCAAAATTATTGATTGTGAAGAAATTTTATCATTTTTTTTTCACTTTCACTCACTCTCAGTCTCTTTCAGTGTTCAGGAAAAATATACGTTAACGGTAAAAATTTGTGAAAAAAAAGAGATTCAAAAAAAAAATTTTCAACGATGATGATGATGATGAAAACAAACAAGTAAACATCATATATAAGTCACACACATTACACACACAATAAAAACAAATCAATAAATCAATTAAAATCAATCGATCGATTGATAATCGAAACAGATGAGACACACATGCGCATATGATAATGTTGAGTTTCTTTTTTTTCATCATCATCATCATTGTTGTTGTTGTTGTTGTTTTGAAAATTTATCAATTATCTAATAGTAATTAGGGAAATACGACGACGATGACGATGACAACGAATGAATGACGTTCAACAACAAAGACTGTGGTGGTGGTGGTGGAAAACCGGAAATTTTTTCCTTCTTTTTCAATGAAATTAATCATTAAAAATTTGCATAAATTGAATTTTCATTTCATTTTCATCAGGTTATAATAATAATTGAGTTTTAAAAACATGGAAAAAACTGTCTGTTTGTTTGTTTGTTCGTGTGTGTGTGTGTGTGTGAATGTGTCAAAAAATTGAAATGAAAATCGATGGTAAATAAATCGATGATTTATTCACTTCCGGGAAGTGAAACTGGCCAATTATCATTGAAAAAATTTTTTCTGATACAATTTTCTACTACTTGACATAATTAATGATGATGTAATGGATTCAAAATTGAAGAAAAAAAAAACATAACAAAACCTCATTCACCTGAAACAGGATTGAAATATCAATTTTGAAAACAAAAAACAAAAAAAACAACAGAAAAAACAGAGTGTAGAGTGGTCACGTTTTTTTTTGTTTTTTGTTACAACTTTATTATCTTGATTCATTTGTATTTTTACTATCATGTTTTTGCGATCAAACAAATGGTAAATCTTGACGAAGGAAAAGCAAAAATCAGATCGTACAACAATAGATAAACCGCTAAGTATTACGTTGACAAGAATGACAACAACAACAACAACAAAAAGCCATAAAGATTGATTGAGGATGAGGATGATGAAAATCAAGTCCTGAAATGAAATTTGAGCATCATATGTGAAAAATGATACACACTTTTAAAAAAAAAATTTGTTCCTGGTTCGATGAATTTTCTGTTGTTGTTGCTGCTGCTGTAATTTTTTGCTCCATTTGGAACCATAATAATAAATCGATGACCATTGATTGATTGATCCATAAACAACAACAAGTGGTCAACATAATGAATGAAGAAGAAGAAAAAAATAAAAAGTTCGTGAACCTTGATTTCTGTGTTTATGTTGAATTGAATGAATACACACACACACACACAATCTGGTTATTTTAAGAATAAACAACAACAACAACAATCATTCAAGCAAAGCCAAACACAATCATCATCATCAGCTAGTTTATAATAACAAAAAAAATGAAAAAAAATGTCAATGAGCTTTTCATGCATTTTTATACAACAAATCGAATCGTTTGCCAAAGATAGGCAAAAAAAAAGAAGAAGAAATTCTCATCACAAAATCATTCACATGGTTATGCAATCAGAATTGGTTCAAATGAGAAAAAAGAACCATCACCATTGTGTATGTGTGTGTGTGTGCGTATGTCGACATCAATTGTGAAGTATTTTTATGATCAAAAAAAAAAAAAAACAATTCAAAGAGCATTGAACATCGACTTTTGCAATCAATTTTCGTTTTTTTTTTCATAATCATCGCACATAAAGAGAATTTATATAAAATAAAGAATGAAAAATTCTAACATTAAGATGAATGAACTGTGTGTGTGTGTGTGTGTGTGTGTGATGAAGAACGTTTTTGTGATAGTTTTCTGGTGGTCGTCGTCTGTAATCCGTCCAGAGCGAGAGATTAATGACATCTACCACACACACACACACACACACACAAAGACTACTGCAATTGATGCAATTTTTTTTTTGGTAAGCAGAAAAAAACATTCGAAATTTGAGACATCATCATCGACAACAACAACAACAACAAATCGATTGGATTTACATACCTGACATTTGACATTTAAATCAAACATTTGAATAAATAAGATGATTTTTGATCGACAACAAAAAAAAATTGAAGCTCGATTTTTATTTGTTCATTTATTTTTCACAGAATTTATTCATCTTGAATCACACAAAATTGAAACCAACAAAAGTAATAACAACAACAACATGAAAGACAAGACACACACACACACACACACAAACACAAATTTAACAATAACAAAATGAGCTCAACAACAACAACAAAGTTTCCATCATCATCATTTGATCGAATTTACAGAAAAAAAAATTCAAATTACATAAATAAATAAATAAAAGTACAACTTTTGAGAATAAAAATGGAAAAAAAATGGCAAACAAACGAACAAAAACACGAATGGAACACACAGACAAAACACAATTAGAAGAAAACAAAATCCATTTGAGAATTATGAAAATTTGTCGTCGTCGTTGCCGTCATTTGATGATTATTATGATGATGATGAAAAAGAGAATGATGGAAAAGCTTTTGAAAAAAAAACCAAAACAAAAACAACGACAACGACAACGACAACAATCGACGTTCGTATATTGTGGCCCCGTTGTTGGTGATTGTACTGATGATGGTGGCAGTGGTATATATGCACTAAGGAAATTTTTTTTTTTTTTTTGCGGCCAAGAAAACGGAACGAACGAATTGAATCGAATCGAAGAAATGGAAAAAACAAAAAACAAAAAAAAAGAAAAGACGAAAATGAAATGAGGAGGAAGAGGAGGAGAAGGAGGTGCTTATATATTATTTAAAGAGACAAAATGCATGTTGTTAGTGAGTGGTGAAAAAAAAACCAGTTTTTTTTTTCGTTCACGAACATCGTCTGTTCTACCTCTTCTTCTCTCTCTCTCTCTCTCTTGTTTTGTTTTCGAATTTCGAAAACGCGTTCGAATGTGTTCGTTCGGTGTATTTAGTGGAAATTTTGAATCAACAAAACAAAAGTAAAAAAAAAGAATGAAAAAGAATTTCATTTCATCATCATTGTTTATTTTGTTTTGTTTTTTATTTTTTATTTTTTTCATCGCTAGTTGGTGGTTATTATCGATTAATTATTCAACAATCAGTCTTTGAACAATAATCAGTTCCGGTTTTTTTTTCGTCTGCTGCTGTATTTTCTGTTTTTATCACACAGGTTATAAACAAGGTATTTATAAATATATAATAATCACGATGATAATAATTATCTAAATGTACTACATAATCAGGTCAATTTTTTTTTGTTTCAATCCTTTGATCATTATATGTAATATAACAAACAAACGAGATAATAATAATTTCCTTTTCTTTTTGTTTTTTGAATTTTTTTTTGGTTTGCATAGGAAAAATTAAAATTCATTCCATTGTCCATTCAAAGCAATAAATTAGTAGTTATGTCATCATTTTGCTATTTTTTTATATTCGATAAGAATGGAAAATGTTTATTACAATTGAAACAAGCAAATAAATCAAAATTTTTTACACAATCATCTGGCGATTGTATGGTGGCAGTTTCCAACGATTCATGCGATGAAGAATATCATCAAATTCTTTATGGTCTAGTTCATTCATTGAAAGCATTCATTAAACGTTTCAATATTCCACCGTACCATAATTCACAGGATGATGATTATTTCTATTTTCGAAATTCTTCATATCAACTAATCTACTATGAATCATTAACACAAATTAAATTCATCATTATCATTCCATTGATGAGATTGACGAATGAAAAAAATCCAATCATTAATTATCGAAAATTGATACAAGAATTTTATCAAAAAATTCATATAAAACGTTTCCTTCGTTTGAATAATCAACCAAAATGTGATTATGAATCTAGTGAATTTCGAAAAGAATTATCAATGTTTATGAAGGAAAAATTGAAAATTTTCAAATAAATAAATAAAAAAAAAACAAAAAAATCGTTAAACACGTCATCTATCGTATTCAATTTAAACTAGTACTCGCATTGGCTAAAAAAAAATATTGCACGCGAATCCATCATTCATGCATGCAAAGAGAACGAGCGAGAGAGAGAGGAATGAAAAAAAATCCTCGACACATCAACACGACGACGACGATGATGATGAAAATGCTCAACACGACAACAAATGATCAAACAGCAAAATAAAAAGAAAACAACGAGCAATTTTTTTGTTGTTGTTGTTTGTTCCAGAAACATTTCTGGTTTTCAATTGCCAAAAGTTTTTGGGGCATGAGTGTTTATGATTTCCACATAGAAAATAGAAAAAACAAATTATCATCACCAAGTGTAAGTGTTAGCATCATTTTGTAATCATCATCATTTATATCGATCGATATACATCCTTTACAGATCTAAAAAACAACAAAAACAAATTCACATCATCCTTCTTCTGCCGGCATTGCTACCACCATCCATCCATCCATCCATACATCCATCACGTCAATCAATCATCATTTTAAAATATTTTGTTGCTACCAGAAAATCAAAAGCTTGTAATATCACCATAGATCTACACACACACACACACACACACAAACAACAGTTTTAATTTTGTTATATATGGCTCTCTTTCTCTCTCTATTTTTTGCTTGAAATTTTACAAATCTCCAAAACAACAACAAAACAACAGCAGCTTTATTTTCATATAATAAGTTTTTTTTTATTTCTTCCAAATCCTCAGTTTATATTTATATATATCGTATATATTGTGAAACGTGTCGCAAAAAAAACAACAACAACAAAAAGCTGACCAAATCATCATAACCTTTTTTTCTCTTTTTAACACTCATCTGAATACCATTGTCGTCGTGGTTGTTGTTGTTGTTGTTGTTGTTGTATACATACAAAAATTTAAACTTTCTCTTTATAACAACAACAACATCTTTTTTTTTGGCTTCTCTCTCACATCATTCAAGCACACACACACACACACACACAATGTATGTATATGAAATGTGACATTCTGAACATTAAGATTTTTTATTTATTTATTTATATAAAAAAATAGATAGATTGTGACATGAAATAAACAGAAAGAAAGAAAAATACTCTTATCATACGTATACACATACATACATCGTGTATCATCATCATCTGGTGATCTTTCGATATTCGAAACTTGTGATTTGTGATCAAAAAAAAAAAGAGAAAACCGCTTAAAAGAATTTTTTTTTACATAGAAAAAAAAAGAGAAATTCACCTTTGACAACAATAACAACAGCGAAGAGACTACGACGGCGACGACGACGACGACGAAAATTCAAAGGTCCTCGTGTATAGTGGTGTAATGATTGTCGTCGGCTGTCTGTTTTTTTTTTCTTAAATTAACGGTGTGTTTGTGATATATTCGTTGTGGCAAAAATCCACATACACACTACACACACACACACACATGTGGACTACATCCACTTCCGATCGATTTTTTGATTTTGTCATCGTCATTTTTTTGTTTGATTTTTTTTTTTGCTTCAAGTTTTTACCAATCAATTATTTCAATGTTTATAAAAATTGACGAAACAACAACAACAATCGATACTTATTATCCACCCACCTACACACATACAGAACGCCTATATCATTGTGATATTCCAAGACAAAATTGCCGCAAATTTTATTCTCGTCATTCTGTTATCGTCAAAAATTCTTGCGATATTTTTCATTTTCTTCATTACTAATTGACTCGACTCAAATCCACTCGAATCGATTCATACAGAGAACAAAACAAAACAACACAAAAAAATCTATCGAAAGGTTTCATTTCTTAGCACTGTTTTGTTATTCTTTCTATCTATCATTATCAACATACTTGCTGTGATATAGTTGTCTATATCAAATATCCAAACACACACACATACACACAAATAGTCATTTCAACTTTATTATAATTTAAAAAATTAAAAAAAAACAACAATGAGTGATAAACATATTGAAACTGTGAATCATTTAAAGAAAAAATTGGATAAAGGTGTTAGTTTTGAAAAGGTAAGATGATGATGATGATGATGAATAATTTAACAGAAAAAAAATGTTTACTGACCATTTTTTCCATTCGATTTATATAGACAATGCATATATTATATAAATTACAAAAAATACCAATTTCTGTCCAATTATTGGAGGTATTTACATTCATTATTCATTGTTGAACAAATATTAATTTTTTTTTTGCATTTACAAAATTTTAGGAAACTGGTATCGGTTATAAATTACGTGAATTGAGTAAACGTGAAAAAAATAATGATGTTGGCAAAACGGCTAAATTATTGATTATGGCATGGAAACAATTTCTGAAAGATCAACAAGAACGGCAAGAAAAAGAAGATGATGACGATGACGATGATGTTGTCGATGAACATGATGATGAGGAAGAACAAGAATATGATGATGATCATTCTAAACATCAACATAAACATCGAAATGAACGTCATCATTATCAACAACAACAACAACAACAGCAGCAGCATAATAATATGGATTCCTGTGATGATGAACAACAACAACAACAATTCAATGGCAACAATGATGATGATGATGATGATGATGAAATTGGTCAAAATGTTTCAGATAATAAATCAGAAGAAAGTGGTGTTAGTCCACCACAACAACAACATCAATATAGCATCAGTAATAATAAAAAGAAACATAAGAAAAAGAAAAAATCACGAACCAAAGAGAATATGATGGATCCGAGTGATGATGAAAGAAAAGAAAAGAAAAAAGATAAAAAACGTAAACATCGTGATATTAATGAAGATGGTGATGATGATGATAATATGAATGGTTTCGATGACGGTGGTAACAATAGATTAAAATATCATCGATTGGAAATGTCATCGTCATCAACATCATCATCTAGATATATGGATAAAAATAAAAAATGTGATAATGATTCCAGTTTTAAATATTCAAATGGTGATATAATTGGTATTCATGATGAATCAAATTGGATTAACAATAATGAACAACAATCTGTGCAACAACAAGTAACAGCCACAAATAAACGAAATTCAACGAAAATGAAAAACATTTCTTCTACTTCCACTACTACTACTATTTCGAATGGTGGCGATATGTTTAGTTCAATGTTAAATATGGGTGATCAACATGTGTTACAATCTACCAACAAGCATGGGTAATGTTTAAAAGTTTCTTCATTTTTTAGATCATTATAATTAATTTTTGGAACACTAAAATAGGAAAACTTCAATAACTAATTATGGTCGCAATAATCGAATGAATCAATCTTTTTTGAATGATGATGATCAACAGCAATCGTCATCATCATCGTCATTAACTTCGAATTTTGATAGAGAAATGATGCAATCATTGAATTTATCGGCAAATCGATATGATCCAAGCTTATTTCAATATTATCAATCACAATCAAGATCGAATAATAGTAATGATGATTTAGATAAAAATCAAATGATAAATATGGCTGGTATGAAATTTAAAGGCCGTACACAGGTATATGCTGGTTCATCGAAAGTTGTAACCGTTCCCGAAGTATATCGATTACAAGATATTTGCATTAAAGTATTGATGAATCATGTGAATAAAATCTATGAAGTTGGCGATTTACCATATTTTATATTGAAACCAGTGTTTGCTAAATGCACTGTACAACAGCTACGGCGAATCGAACATTATAATCCGGTAAGTATTGTGAATTTTGTTTATTTTTGTTTTAAAATTTTTATTTTATTTACAACCACGAACAGCAATTATTGGAAGATACAGATGAATTGTGGCGTGAATTTTGTGAAAAAGAATTCAAAAACAAACGAATGGATCACAATAGATTTGAATCATGGCGTGATTTTTATGGCTATCTTGTTGATGAACGTGAACAGAAATTGAAAAATATAACCAAAAATATCAATTCAAAACAACGTCAAGCAATACCTGGTTTGTGTGAAATATATTTTTTTTGTTGTTGCACAATTTATTCTGATTTGTTCACTTCAAAACAGAACGTAAAACACAACAATTGGAAGCGGTTAAAACACCAAGAGAAATTCGTCGACGACAAGAACGAAATTTTGGCACAGTATATCCAATGAAACGAACAGGTAGTTCGGTATCATCATCGTCATTGCCGAATAGTGAGTTTTGTTTGTCCAATGATTCAAGGATTATTAATATATATGGTCTTTTTTTGTTTGTTTGTTTGTTTTAATATAGAAGGAAAACCTGCGCCATTGATGAAGAAGTTACTACAATTGCGGCAGAGTAAAATACGCCGATAATAATAATAATAATATAAATCATCAATCAATCATTTATTCAACAATTTTGGTTGCACAGAATAATTATAATATTGAAAGTGTATTATTACGTTATTATTTATTATTCTGTTTTTTTTGACTGAAAATTAAATTTTAAAATTAAAAATTAATTAAATTCAATCAATGTCTATTTTTTTTTTTTTTTTTAAATAAAATATCAGAAAAAAAGATGCAATTGTCGTTCATAGTGGATTTATTTGCCAACAGATGGCAGCACTTTTACGAATTAAAATCCAATACCGGTAATTTTGAATTTTCATTTATATATTATATTATAATTATTTAAAGTGCTTTTGATCATTCATTAACAAAAAGCACTAGTTTGCATATAAAGATCATTATAAAATCAATGGATGATCATTATTTCGAAATCAATCAAATCAAGTCAATTGAAATGCAAAAAAAAAAAAGTTTCTTTGAAACCAATAAAAAAAATCAATTTAAACAACAAAGCAATATATTTGAAAAAAATCTACATCACAAATCCACTGGGTTGTTTTGATTTTGATAAATTTGACCATTTGACAATTTTCAATTTTGATATGTGTGCGTGTGTCGTCGTTGACAAACTTTTTTTTTTTATTTCTTCGAAATAAGAAAAAATCTTTTTTTTTTGCATTCTGATTGAAAGGCATTGCTTTAGGCCTTGTTTTTCATTCAATTTTTGTTGTTGTTGTTGTTGTTGTTGTACATCTCAAAGTACTGAGAATCAGAATCAACAAAAGAATACAAACACACATACACATACACACAGAGAGAAAAAAGAATAGGCCAGAGGACATTTATACATTCTCAAGCTAGTCATGTGTTTTCATATATACAGTCTGATTAACGATCACCATATACTGCTACAAAACATATCGAGAAAATATAAATGCGAAAATGAGTTGTTTTTTGTTGTTGTTGTTGTCTATATCAACTCAGAATTTGGAATTTTTTTTTTTCGGGCGACAATTTTCTAACCACTTATAATCGTGAATGAATGAATGATGAATTTAATAATGTGTAATGACGATGATGATAATAATAAGAGCAATGAGTGAAAAGTATGAAATAAAAACGGAAAGGAAATATACTTTTTCGCCATATCCATCCATTCATTCATTGTCGTCATTATTATATATTGTGTGTGTGTGGTTTCTTTTTTTAGGTCGTTTTTTTTCTCGTTGTTGTTGTGGTGGTGGTGGTGGTGGTGGACAATGTTCCACTACTGTGCCACAGCGTTATTTAAGATTCAGAAAAAAAAGAATCTTTTTGCCCATTTTTATTATTATTATTATTATTGTTATATTCAACGTGAATATTCCATATGAATGAATTCTGGTGATTCTATTACTGTTTGGAAATGGAAAAAAAAAAATAGAAAAGAAAAGAAAAACAGCTGCCAGGCATCTTTCAATCGTTTTTTTTCATATATTCTTTTTTTGTCGTTTTTTTTCATTCTTTATTATTATTATTATTGTATATGTGTGTGTGTGTGTGTGATTGCAAATACAAATCTTAATATTGTGCCTGTGTGTGTGTGTGTGTGTGTGTGTGTGTGTGTGTGTGTGTGTGTGTGTTGATTATTTGTTCATTTGTGTGTGTGTGTGTGTGTGTGTGTGTCAAATGTAAACACACACTTCTTCATGAATAACCCGAATGAATATTTTGTTAGTAGTTGAAATTGGTTGAAAATGTTTCCAAATAAACAGATGAAGATGAAAGAAAGAAAGAAAATAATGAAAATGAAAAATTTAATTTTTTTTTTTTTCCTGAGGAAGAATCTGAAAGAAATTTTTTTTTTTTCATTTGCAAACAAACAAACAAATAAACGAAAATCAATCAATCGATCAATGAAAATAGCCTATATATGCTAATGAATTGGCTTAATAAAAAAAAACTTGGAAATAAAGAATCAAACAAACCATCCAATGGAGAATAAACTTTTTTTTTCCTGTTTGTTTGTTTGTTTGCTACGATTATGAAATGGAAAGAATAATAATAATAAAAAAATGACAAAGAAATGAGATTGTGATGTACCAAAAATCATAGCGAAAAAAAAATCTGGTCAATTGTTATCATTGTGTGTGTGTGTGTGTCCACACACACATTCACGAAATATCTGAATTATATGGCGGTGAATCAATGAATGAATGAATGAATGGTTTTTTGATGTGGAAAAAAAACAGAGGCACGAAAAATGTGCAAAAAAAAAAGCAATCTCACTCTCTAAATCTCCATCTCTCTCTCTCTCTCTCTTTCTTTTGTATGTATTTATCTTATCCATTTCATTTGAAATGTAAAAATATTTACCGCATACAACAATACAATCACAACAAAAGATTCATTTTCAAACAAAAAAAAAAATGAAATAAAAAATACCGCGAATCAACCAGAAAAACCTGATTATATTATATTGGTGATGGCTGACCATAATTCATACACACACAAAAATACAATAAGAGTGTGATTCACATTCAAACAACAACAAGAATCGAAACTCCACAACAACAACAACAACGAAAAAAAAATTGAAAATACTCGGACAATAGGAATAGGAATTCAGATGAAATGAAATGAAATGGAAACATAAACGTTTGATTCTTTTATTCATTTTCTTTCAATCGATTACCGTGTGGTCAAACCACACACACACACACACACATCCATTTTTTTCAGGCAAATTCTATTCAATTTGAATTCACTCGATTTTTTTTTCGAGTGTTGCAAACAAAAAAAAACGAAACTCAATCTTATTCACGAAAAAAAACAGACACACATACACTTGTTCCGGATGACTGTCTTTTTTTTTTTTGTTGATTCTATCTGATCGAATAAATCAATAATCGTAATCATAATTATTTTCTCTGCGGCTTAATTCAACGAACACACACACACAGATCGCATATATGTAATAGTTGGTGGTGGTGGTGGTGGGTTTTTATTATTCTGATTTACAGCGTTACCATTAAACGATTGCCTTATCATCGAAAAAAACCTCATAACCATTTACACATTTTTTTCAGAGAGAGAGAGAGAGAGAAATTACTTTTTGAATCATTGATTATACAAGTGTGTGTGTGTGTGTGGTATATAAAAACATATTTTTTTTTTTTTTTTTTTTTTGGTTATTTATGGTTAATTATGACTTCGGGCCATTCATATAATATGTGTGTGTGTGTGTGGATGTGTTTAGATTTCAGGACATGGAAAAACTTTCTTTCAACCGTTATTATGTGATTATTTGAATGTTTGAATAACTTTATGTTTTCATACACTTTGACAATCTTTCTTGTTTTAGATTTTTTTTTATTCGCGCTCCAATGGTTTTTTTTTTTTTTGGTGGCAATCATCATCATGACGACAATTCAGATCCAGATTTTGGGTATTTAATTTTCAAAACATTCTGGATTGGATTTTTGTGGCAATAAAAACTATGATGACGATGATTATTATTATGACTATAAATGGCCAAATATTAATGGGCCATTGCCAGAATCTAGGAATCTATAGAGAGAGAGAGAGAGAGAGAGAGAGAGAAAGAGAATCTCTGTTTCCGTTTTGTAAACGATGTTGATGATAATTTCAACAACAACATGTTTTCAATAAGATAATTTTATTATTCCAGCAAAAAAAGGAATCAAAAACTTTTTTTATGGTAACCATATAGAATGAAAGTATAAAATGATCATCATCATCATTTCGATCATTCTTCTTGGCCCATATATAATATCTGTTTATTTTTGTCAATTGTCATCGATGTGTGTGTGTGTGCGTGTGTTATGATCACTCAATAACAACAACCGACAACAATCGATTCTTGAGAATTTATGGCTCTCGAATTTATACATAAATACAAAAAAAAAATTTTTATTTGATACAAACACAGAATTTTTGTTTGATTTTAGATTCTTGAATTTACAATTGAATTCTATAATGAATTCTGTTTCTATTTTCTTTTTTTTTTCGACTTGTTTGAAACTCCAATCTCGATGGAAGGATTTGAGTTTTTTTTTTGAACAATAAAAAAAACGAAGATGATCATCATTATAAAGTCAATAATAATGAAAAAACTATATAGACTGCAATCGGGCCATAGTCAGTCAGTCAATATATGAATGTATGGATAGCAATAGAGAAAGCCATTGAATGATAATAATGTAATGTATATACCGAATAGTGATAACTAAACATCATCATCATTGAATTGGCACCACTAATCAATTGAACTTGTATTTATATATATATATCATAATAAATTGAATGAAAAAATTGACAATTGAAAAGTGAATGGAAAAGAAACGAAATGAAACGAAACGAGAAGAAAAAAAATTTTATGATCATCACCAAACACACACACATGCACACAAAGAAAGAAAGATCGAAATGAATTGAATTGAATTAATCGAACAACAACAACAAAAAAAAAACGGAAAAACGAAGAAAAACGATCAAATCAATTGCAGCAGCTTTACTTTTTTTTTATTTTATTTTATTTGCCATTTTCATTGCTTTTTCTTTGTAATGGTGATGGTCGTGTGTCGTATTTTGTTGGACGATGGTCGTCGATTGTGTGTGTGTGTGTGTGTGTGTGTGTGTGGTGTGTTTTAATTTATTTTTTGAGATATTGACTCTCTCTCTGTGTGTGTGTGTGTATGGATATCCGGATAATGAATAATAAATAATAATGAAAACGACCGAAAAAAATGGACTGCAAAAAATTTCTCTCATTTTTCATAATTATCGCGTTAATCAATTTAGTAATCATTTTTTTCACATTGAAAAAGTGAAAAAATGGAAAAAAAGGCGCGAAAAAATATATCCAGATCCACACACACACACACACACACACATATATTTGATTAAGACATCTATTCAATGAGAAAAAAACTGTCAATGTAAAATAAATTTACTGAAATTGAATGGAGAATGAATAAGATCCTTAAATTCAAAGTTTTTTTCTGCTTTCTTTGTTTGTCGTTTTTGTTGTTGTTGTCGATGTTGTTGATGTAAACATCGTATCGTTTATGAATGGGACTGATTTGGATTTTTGGTTATAATAATAGACGATGACGACGACGACGACGATAATCGGATCATTTTTGTTCGTTTATTTTATAACATATCCATCAAAATGGATGGTTTTAATGCTGATAAATTAGTTCGACACACACACACACACACACAGCACCTTAACGTAAACATAAAAAAAACCTGGAACGAACAAACGATCCTGGAACAACAACAACAACAATGGATGAATGAAACCCTGAATATAGTTGATAAAAAAAGAAAAGTGAAGAAAAAAAATTTTTTTCTAATGAATTGATCATCTCTCTCTCTCCCGTTCTCTTGTTGGCCGATTTGCTTTTTCATGGATCATCGTGGCTGCTAATTTTCTAAACAAACAAAAAGATTATTTTCAATCATCATATAATCATGACGAAAATTTTTCGGATCATTTTACCGGACAAATTGAATCGTTTTTGTTGTCATTTTCAAAATGAATTCCATACACACTGATGATTGATGAATAACATGAAATTGTTCATTCAATTTCAATCAATGATCCACGATATTCAAAATGACTGAAAAAAATGACTGACTAAATACATTTCAATGGCAATGTCAAATATTGGATTTTGTTGTTGTTGTTGGCATCATCATCAACAACAACAACAACAACAACAATAAACAGGAATCGATATTGAATCGGTAAAAAAAATTATAATTGAAAAGTATCATCATCAACAACAACAACAACAACAAAAAGAAGAAGCAGAACTGATTGAAGATTGAGCGTCAAAAAAAAAGAATGAAATGAAATAAAATGACGGTATCAACAACAACAAAGACAACAACAACAACAACAACAACTTTTTGTTGTTATTGAAGATGAAGTTTATTATTTACTGACATATCCAACGATGCATCGACGATTGTGGTTGTGATTGTGATTGTGAATCAAAGAAAAGAATGAAAAGATTGAAATTGATTGATAAAAAATAAAAAAAAAAAAAACGAGCGGCGAGTGGGCACGTTCTCTTTTTCTTCTTCTTCAAAACTCAAAAAAAACTGATGATTATCATCATCATCATCGTTTTGCAACATTCATACCCATACCAAATGACAAGTAGGTGATAGGTAAGTGATGTGTCTATGCCCATTATCATCATCATCATCATTTTGTGTCAGTAGAAAAAAAAACATTCCAGCATGATGGGTATTTGTTGTTGATGTGAACAAGAGAGAGAGAGAGAGAGAGCGAAAGAGAGAAAATGATGTATTCGATTAGTTTATTTTTCACGTGAAATGTGTCATATTTCAATTGAAAAATTCATTCAATGATGAAAAAAACGAAAATTTCATAACAGATGAATCAAAGAGAGAAAAAAAATGTCATTTGAGATTCTAATTCAATCGATTGATGGAGTGATGAAAATTGAAAATTCAAATCATCATCATCAGAAGAAGAAGAAGCAGAAAAAGATTATGCAAATAATTAACTTTAAAGGCAACGACAAAATAATGTCATCATCAGTTTTTTTTCCAATCAAAATAAAGAATCCATTATTATTTGTAACATAATATTCTGTTTTTCAATTCGTTATCGAAAATTCTGTTTTTGCCACTCATCTGGCTTAATGATTTAACAAATTAACAACAACAACAACAACAAAAAAATGTAACACGCATGTTATCAATCAGAATAATTAAGAATTTTTTCATTTTCACAGCGTGCTGAATTGCTGATAATTTCATTCAGTTTCTATTGAATCGATTTACTGCTTTTATCTTGGCTTGGCACACACACACACACACACACATTTGATAAATAATTTGATGATGATGATGATTTTGGTTTTTGGCTGTGCCGGAAAAATACCAAGATAACCAGAATCTTGTTTCCTGTTTTAGGCAAAAAAAAATGTATTCAAAAGTGTGCAAAATGTGCTTGGATCATCGGAATCAATGACAATCACCAAGTGTGTGTGTGTGTGTGTGTGTGTGTGTGAAATACAAAAATCCAAAAAAAAGGTTGATGACCAGATTAAAATGATGAATGATGAAAAAATTTCAAATTTTTTCACCATTTTTGTTGTTGTTGGTTCGGCAACACACCAATTGACAATAATCAAGAAATAAAACAAAAAAGCAAGGTGAAAATCGTCGAAATGGTGTGAACAAATTGATGATCCAGGTATCATTTCAAATCAGTGTGTGTGTGTGTGTTGCAAACAAACAAACAAACAAAACCAAGCCAAACCAATTTCTCTATATTTAATAATAATCGGATTTGGTAACAAAAAAAAAAAAAAAAAAATTTCCAGCACACAAATACCAAAATGACCAGAAAAAAATGTTTATGGTTTTAAAACACTGTGTGTGTGTGTGTGTGTGTGTGTTTATTTGTCATAAAGATTTCCAAAACACACACACACACAAATGACTGTCATTTTGTTGTGTTCGCTTGTGTGACAATCTACTGTTTATCTCTATGGAACGGCTATTGCAACAATAAATTCTGTCAAAGGACAAAATCGTCTTAACGTTGAATTTTTTCTTTCATATCTAATCAATAATAAACAACAAAGAATATTTGGGGGTTTTTGTTTTCAAATTTTCACACTTTTTTTCGCTCATTGATGATGATGATGATGATGAATAAATTGTTATTAAAAGTAACAAAATAAAAAATAGGAAAAGCGCGCCAAAATCATCATCATCATCATCAATATCAAAAACCATAATGTGCAGCCATCTCACACACACACACAAGATAAGATAGGATATGATGATGGTGATGAACACACAAAAAAAACCAAACTTGACGCTGTTTTGTTCGTTGTTTCATTGTTGTTGTTGTTGTTGTTATTATGTGTGTGTGTAAATGATGATAAAAGGTTCAACAACAACAACACAACAACAACAAAAATAAGCCAATCAGAACAATGGGTCGGACCCACAAACACACACACACACATACACAATAGCCAATGGTATATAATGCATTATTGAACACACACACACACACAGATCATCACATAGAAAGAGAAAAAAGAGAGAAATAATGTGGGAATGTGTGTATGATGATTGTATTATATATTGAATTTATAAAAGAAAAAGGGAGGCGCTATTTTCCTTTATTTTTTTTTTTTTTTTGCATACAACCATTGTATTTTCATTCATTGTGTGTGTGTGTGTGTATTGTATTACCGAAAAAAAACCCATAGTTCTTCTTGTTACAGTGCATTCTTGATCATCACTCAAAACACACACAAACACACACAAACATTTTTTTGACAATAAAAAGTCGAAACATAAAAATAAGCCCAGTTTCATTTCATTTTATCGGTCGATTGGTCGTGTTTTGATTTTTTTTTGTTTCATCTTTGTTTTTGTATTTTATTGTAGTGATCAACAACAACTCGTCAACTTTGAACAATTTTTTTGTTGTTGTGTGGCTATCGATTTGATTTGATTCGATTCGATTCGATTGTGTGTATCATATCCAGGATCGACTAATCGATTTCAAATCTGTTTGATTGATTGACAGTTTTATTTTATTTTGATAAATGAAAATTTGTCAAAAAAAAAAATTTTCGTTACAATTTTCCAATTTCCTTTTTTTCTGAATCTTCATCATCATCATCATCATCATTACTGCTGCCATCGAGAGACGATAATATCGACGAAAAAAAAACAATCATCAGTGATCTTTGTAGACAAGCATCAATTATATTGTCATCATCAGTCAGTCATCATAATCATATCATTTTTTTTTTTTTTGATGTTATGTAATGTAATGATTATCATCGTCATCATCAAATGGACATTCTCTGACTATTTTAAAAAACAACAACAACAAGATCATCATCATCATCATCCGATGATCATTCTATTGTCTTGACCAACCATTCAAAACAACAAATTCAACAAGGAAAACGATATAATGATATCATTTCAAAAAAAAAAAAAAAAAATCAAATCAAATCAAATTGTTGTTCGCTGTTCGTTGTTGTTGAAATGAAATGATTACCTCTGTTTGAAATTTCAATCAATCAAATAATCTGATTTGATGTTTTTGGTGACTTTGACTTGATTATTATTATCATTATTTAATCATTATTTCATCATACCTAATACATTACATTGTTTGTGTGTGTGTGTGTATTTGAACGAATTTCCGAATGTTGAATAATTATCTATTGACAACAACAACATCACCAGAAATAATATTTCCATCATCATCATCATCATCGATAACAACAATGACGATGAATACTGCAGCAATGTTGAACAAATCGATAACAATGAATCATCACCATCATGATCATGTTAAACGGCCAATGAATGCATTTATGGTAAGTAGAATGTGAATCTTTCTTTTTGGCTCATGAAAATATGTTTCATGTTTCTTTTTTTTTTTTTGTTTTTTCAAAAAATAAAATAAAAATCACACACAATCGAAGGTATGGTCACGTGGACAGCGACGTAAAATGGCACAGGAACATCCAAAAATGCACAATTCAGAAATAAGTAAACGTCTTGGTGCCGATTGGAAACAATTGTCTGAAATGGAAAAAAGGCCATTCATTGATGAAGCGAAACGTCTACGAGCATTACATATGAAAGGTAATCATTATTATTATCATCATCATCATCATGATCATCATCATCGACGATATTCGTATTTTTTTTTTTTTTTTGTTCTCAAAAAAATGAAATGAAATCAAATCAAAAACGAAATTCCATGTTATAATAGCAGCGGCATATTGCTTATGTCATTATTAGCGGTTCATTGTATCATGACGATGATGATGATGATTATGACGAAGACAAGAAAGATCAAAACACAAAACCACACACACACACACACACACACACACTACTAACCTGTCATTATCAATAGCGCCAATATGGCCAAAGATTATCATTATTATTATTTACCAGTCAAAGAAAGAAATATCATTCATTCATTTCATTGTTTTAAGCACTAAATTCAATTTGAATATAACCGTGTGTGTTGAGAGTGCGCGCAATTTTAGGTTTGTAATAATAATGAAAAATTGGCTGCTAAACCGCCAATTTTGTTTTTTTTTTGACAAGATTCAAACTGATATACAATGAGAATTTCGTGGCATGATGATGATGATGATGATTGTCATTCATGTTCATAATTATATTCCAATGTTTTGTGTGTGTGTGTGTGTGTGTGTGAAAATTTTTTTCTTTTTCATATATTCAGAATTTCAATTTTTTTTTTGTTTACTTCCATTTCATTTCATTTCATTTCATTTCATATCATCATAACATAAATATAGAACATCCTGATTATAAATATAGACCAAGACGTAAACCTAAACCATCATCATCATCAACATCATCATCAACATCATCGTCATCATCATCATCATCAGTATCAAATATATCATCGACAGCATCACCGTCGGCAAACAATACATTATTGAATAATCATCATCATCATCATCATAATTTGAAAAAAGATTACATAACATCACCAATATCAATGTCTAATTCATATACAACACAACAATCAAATAATAATTCACCATATAATATATCTGCTGCAGCGGCTGCTGCTGCTGCATTTGTTGATCCATTACGTGGTTTATCAACAAATACAATATTTACAAATGGTCATTATAATAATCATCATCAACATCATGGACATCATCATGGTCAACAGCAACAACAACAACAACAAAATCATCATTTACAACAGAATAATTTTCTAAACAATCTCAATAATGAACAACAACAACAACAAAGTAATGAATCAGAAAAAGCGGTGACAGCAAGATCATTTCCGGCTACATTGGTACCACCGCCACCACCACCACCACCAACAACAACACAAATGTATACATCGATGAATCAAATGGCAATGGCAGCAGCAGCAGCCGCTGCTGCAGCTGCTGCCGCTTCTTCAGCATCAAATAAATTACCATTAAGTCCAGTAGGAATAAAAAATCAACAATCAATAATCAATAATAACAATAATAACCATCATCATCATCAGCACACACAGAATCATCACCAGAACAATGATATATTCAATAATTTTTTCAATAATCATCCTGGATCATTTTACAATACAACCAGTTCATTATTATCAACATTATCAAATGTGGCAGCACAAAATCCAAACAATCCATATAATCAAATTGGTACGAATTATGGTCTGACCGCAACAACAACACCGCCAACAACAGTAACAACAAATGGAACAATGAATCCATCGAATCCATTGACATCATTCAATGATTTTCGTAATAATCCATTTGCCGCTGCATATCTTATGATGAAACCAGAAGAACGTTTATCGTCATTGGCTAAATTATCACCACCACAATTAGTTTAAAATAATCACATACACACACACACACCATATATATCTAATATTAATCCAACCGACACAATTATCAAATTTAAAAAAACAAAATCACCCTATACACACACACACTAACCAAACGCCCACGCATATTCACACACACACACACACACACACACACACATATCAGTTTTCTGCCACACAAAATTCATTTCAATTTAATTAAATTAAACACATCCTACTACTACTACTAATACTATCCACAACTGTTGATTTAGTCAATTTTGTCTGTGTTTTTCTCAACTTTCTCATACTTTTTGTCGCTTCGAGTGTACATAAAAAAAAAATCTCTGTACTTTTTTTTCTGTCGTCATTTTCATCATTTTCATCATTTGATTGTAGTGTGAAAACAAATGCGCAATGTGTATTTTATCAATAATTATTGAATTTATGAACAAAAAAAATAAAATAAAAGAAAAATGAAAGAAAAAAACGACAGAATTCTCTTTTTTGTTGAACATCAATTTGTTCAAATCTTTAATCATTGGCCGCTTTGCAATCACCAACTGATATATATTGAATTAATGGACAGCCGATGATTGTCGATTGGTAAAAAAAAAGTAGTCATCATCATCATCGGAGCAGACAACAACAACAACAACAAAAAATACCGATAAATGATAATGACAGACTGAAATCGTTCAACTTTCGCCATCTTTTTCGTTTTTCGCTTTGGTTGTTGCTGGTGTTGGTTGATAGTTTGTTACACGATGGTGGTAAATTGCTAAATTACTCATGGTGTTTTTTCATCTGTCCAGTCCGGTCCGGTCGACGGGACACGATCAGGAAAAAAAAATGAAAATAAACTACAACCGTCTATGGTGGGCCACCACTTTTTCACCAAATGTATATATATTCTTTTTGTTTCTGTTTTGTGGCGGTAGTTAATTATTATTGTTGTTGTTGTTTATTTTCACTTTAAAAAATGGCAAAAAAAAGTGTTGAAAAAAACAACAACAACAACAACAAATATTCATTAATTTTCCAAAATGAGCTATGTCAATCAATCAATTGTTGTTGTTGTTGTTGTGATTTGGCCACTATTCATTCATTCATTCAGGCAATAATGAATTGAATTTGACAATAATCATCATCATCATCATTGTTGTTATCTCCCAAAAAAAATCATTTCTTGATAATAATCTCATCATTTCAATTGTGTCATTGTGTGTGTGTGTGTGTTTAGAGATCATCAAGAAAATCTTTTTTTTCCACTAATAATAAAAAGGAGTTGTTGTTGTTGTTGTTGTTGTTGTTGTTGTTGTCGTTGACAATTATTATTATTATTTTTTTTCATTCAAAAAGTAAATGAAATGAAATGATATCTTGTGACCCAAAGTCATGAATGATCACCACCAACATTCACAATATAATAATGTAACAATAACAACAAATCAGGGCCACCGAACAAACAAACAAACAAAAAAACAAACAAACAAACAAGTAAAGCCAACCATTCATCATCATCATCATAATCATTATGGACAATTCAATTCAATCCAATTCAATCCAATGATGATGATGAAACAAAATTTTCATTTTTTTTCGGGTGATCCATTCATCCATAGGTCCAAATATCTCAATCATTTTCTCTCTCTCTCTCTCTCTCTTTTTTTTTTGTTAACAATGAAAAAAATTATCTCTCTCTCTCTCCCACGCAAACAAAACATAAACATAAATTATGATAATTGAACAATAATAATGATGAGATTTGAACAACAATGACCAACAATGACCAGTAATAATAATTTTTTTTTTTTTTCATAACAAAAACGGATATGCATGGATAATTTGAATAAATTAAAAAAAAAAAAAAAAAAATCATTATCATCCAGTGTGTCTGTGTATGCATGTTCAAAGATTCAGATATCAAAGTTCAAACAAACAAACAAACAAACAAACAATCATCATCATCGTTTGATAATGGCAATATCATATGGTTCACTGATGATAATGATAATGATGATCTAAACAATAGGAATTTTGAAAAAAAAGACGACGACGACGACGACGACTACTACCAACTACTGGCTACATTGTGTTGTAGTTGTGAGTGAAAATTTTCCTGAAATTTTAATTTTATTTTAGATGAACGAAAAAAAAGTGGGAAAATCAAAATGGAAAGATCATCATCAATGACAATGGGTAATTTTTTCCAAAAAAAAAGAGAAACAAACAAGCGAAATAATGATGATTTGGTTAACCAATTTGATGGCATGGTCGTTGTTGTCGTCAGTTTTTTTTTTTTTTTTTTTTGAATAAAATCGTTAAAGTATCATTAGACTGATGATGACGAAGTTTTTTTTTTCTTTCCACAGATAAAAAAAAAGACTAAACCAATAAATGGGTGTTATGTCTATGTCGATGTAGGTGGAGACATAAAAGAGACAACAACAACAATTTTATCCATGTTTGACCCAATGGCGAATGGACAACAATAATAATGGGGATAATTGTTCGAGGATTGGATCGGATTCAAAAAAAAAAAAAAAAAAAATTCTCCATTGTGAACCTTATGGACTTGTAGATTTTTCATTACTGTGTGTGCATCAAACAAAAACATCAAGAAAAAGCAAATAACAACGACAAAAAACCACACACAACGAGCACGAAATTCATCAACATTGATTCAGTCAAAACAATATTATGTGTGTGTACCTGGAATATAATAGATAGGAAAAGAAGAACAATTGGAAAGCCGCTTGATGATGATGATGATTATAAGGTTTGTGATTGATTTAATGGTGTACAACACACACACACACACAAAGGAAAGAGAAAAATTTATCAATGAAAAACATGCATGTGTGTGTGTGTGAAATGTCGTTTGTAATTCAAAAATTTGTGCGTGTTTATTTCATTTCATTTCATTTTTCAGCGAGAGAGATATTGTACATGATGAAACCACAAATCCTCTTGAAATGAAGCCATTTTCCATCATCATCATTTTTTTTTTGGTGTTCATGTCGTTTTTATTTCAATGATAATGATAATGGTTTGTGTTTGTTCGTTTTTTTTTTTTTTTTTTTGGTACATTATCATTACCTGAACCTAGTGATGACTGGTAACCAAAACGGACCTATGATGATGATGATGATTTGTGGAAGAAGAAAAAAAAGATTTTTGTCCATGTCGTAGTTGAACAATTACCGTATGTTTTTCTTTTTTTTCTGCCAAAAAAAAAAAAAAAAAAATAACAAATTGATATTCATATATGTGTGTATGGGGGTAAATCAATCATTCATTTTTTCTTGTTTTGTGTTTGTGTGAAACTCGTGTAACAACAACAATGATATCATCATCAATGGACCACACTATTAACTAAATGATAATAATAATTATGATGATCATGACCACCACCACCATCAAACCATCATCATCATTTTTTTTTTTTTTTTTGATTTAGATTCAATCGTTTCCGATTATTAACCACACACACACACACACACACACAAAAAAAGAAGAAAAAAAACAGACATATGATACAAGATAATAGATATGAATGGTCGTTCGTGTTCGTGTTTTTTTCCCCCCCATTCACTTGAATCAATGAATGATCATTGAAAAAAAAACGCCAAAAAATTATAGATAACCTTGTCTTGTCTTGTCTAATCATCATCATTATCATTTGAATTGGATTTGAATGTCCATTAAAAAAAAGATCAAATCGATAAATAAATGACAAAAATTATGCGCACAACGTAAATTGAATAGATTCACCATTGTGTTGAAATGTATATATATGCAGTTTATTTTTATTGTTTGCATAACGAGATTGAAATTTTTTTTTTTTTTTTTTTTGTTATCAATATTCTTGTGATAACCGATAAAAAAAACGGTCGTCGTTTTTTTTTTGGTTCTGCCAAGGCCAAAAACACATAGACACACACACACACACACACAGTACACACACACCAAAACGGCCATCAGATGAAGAGAACAAGAAAAAAAAATCAATTGTGATCAATATCCGTTTTTTTGTGATTCTTTTTTCTCTTTTTTGTAATTGTTTGATTGATTGAACAATTATGATTTCCTAATTTTCACCGAGTGGTGGAAAATGTTTATGTTTTTTTTTTCATATCAAATGACAAAATTTGATTTGATTTTTGTTATTAACTGATGGAAAATTGTGAAAAAAAAACAAATAGAATCTAAATCTAAAACACACAATTTATATTCATCAAATTTTGATTGTATTCAATTGATCGGATGTGTGTGTGTGTGTGTGTGTGTCATTCTTTGCCGAGTTTCTTTTTTTATTCATTTTTTTTGTGCACACGCATGAAAAAAAATGCTCTGATTTTCTTCCCACAGATGATGATGATGATGATGATGATTGGGTAAAATTATGGAACTAGAACATGGAACAAGATGATCTACTTCATCATCATCATCATCAATTTATTTTGCACATGAATAAATCCATAAGAGTCTATCTATCTATCCATCCATCTATCTATATCGTATACATAAATCATCAAGGTCACAAATGTAACAACAAAATGTAAACCGCTAAATTAACCATAAAATCATTCAATGATCAACAAAACCACAACAACAACAACAATAATAATAACCACACAATAGCAGAGAAGGAGAAAAAAATGTCATAATCTTTATTTATCAACAACAACAACAACAACAACAATGAACCAACGGAACGCAGATGTGACTCTTGATTATTATCATCATCATCATCATCATTAGATAAAGAATTACAACAACAAACGACAACAACAAACACACAAACACAAACACAAACACAAACAAATGAAATCAACGACTACAAAAGGTCATGAATATAAAGCTTATATTTACATAATAATGACGATGATGATGATGATGATAAATCTAAAGTAAATCTATCCATTTCTTCTGCCCGTACCAATTGTTTGTTTTGTTTTTGTTTTGTTATCATTATCATCCATTCATTTGTTCATTCATAGCAACCAAGATTTTACATTTTCTCTCCTTTATAGACACCAATCATTGCAGATTGAGTTTTAATGAATAAAAAAAATTTTTTTTTTTTTTTTTGATTTGTATCGATCCGTATTCGATTGAATTCGAAATATGAATGATCGAGATTATCATCGATATCTATTCGATATTGATATTTTTTTTTATATCCAAAGCGGATCGATTTTTTTCGTCTTCTTGTTCAAAAACATCAAAGAGAACAACAACAACAAAAAAATCTAGCACCAGAGAAATGAAAAAAAAAAATTGAATTGAATTGAATTTGTGAACAACAACAACATTCCAACAACAATCGAAATGATTGCAAAAAAAAAAATACAAAAAGATTGGACAACAACAACAGCAAAAAAAAAAGTTTCAATTGATTTTCAATCGACACACCAACGATTATATTTTTCTGGTCGGTTGTTGTTGTTGTTGTTGTTGTTATTAGATTATTCGTAAACCAAACAATTTTTTTTGTTGTTGTTGTTGTTGATGATAATAATCATTGAATGATTGAATGGTTTCTCTCTCTCTCTTTCTTTTTTTGTTACATTTTTTTTCTGGTTCAAATAAACACATATACACACAAGGTATGTGTATCTGGAAAAGAAAGAATGAAAAACTGGATAAATTGACTGTATTGGTTGTTGTTGTTGTTGTTGTCAATCAATTGTATTCAATTTTTTTTTCTCATTTGGTTCCATTCATTCATTCATTTGGATATCAAAATGTGTGTGTGTGTGTGTGTGTGTTTTGTGTGTGAATTTGATTTTACAAAAGATTTTTTTTTTTTTTTTTTGCTCGCTCATTGAGGAATGATGAAGAGATGTAGAGGGTTTGTGTTGGTGTTCTGGTGATGATGACTATGATCGAACTAAGGAAGAAAAAACGAAGAAGAGGAGAACAAGGAGTAAGAGCGTGGAATGAATAGAGAGAAAAAAAAATAACCGGACGATAAATGGAAAATTTCGGGATTTCTTTTTTTATATATTCAAACACAATTGTTGATTGTTTCAAGTGTAAGTGAGTTTTTTGTTATTTCTTTCGTATTCAGCATAAAAAAAAAAAATTCATTCATTGTTAACGCAATCAAATGGGTCTGATTTTCATTGTTCCAAAACTAAGAGAGAAAGAGAATGGATGATTCACAATGATGATGATGATGATTGGTGACCAAATTCTATTGTGTTATTCATCTAACACACACACAAAAACGATACAATCGATAGTTTTTGTGTGATTGAAATACAACAAAAGGTTCAATTGACAGTGTATATTATTATTATTATACAACCAACCAAAATCAGCAACAAATACTGTGTGTGTCTCACAACAATGGACTAATTGCAAAAAACATTCATTTTATGGATCATCATCATCATCATCAATTGAATTGAATTGAATTGGCATGATTAATACAATACACATACACACACACACACACTGACAGACAATAAACTAAACCAATCTAATAACAACTCATTGGGAATCATCTATTCGATTGGATTCTTTTTATTTCATTTTCATTTTTTTTATATTTGTTCAAAATCAGAATCAAATAATGACTGATATGAAGATGATAATGATAAAATGGAACGACATCTTTTTTTTCATCAATTGACAATAACAATGGTTCGGTTTTTTTTCATTATTATCATCTCTGAATAACAATGTTCGTGCATCATGTTGTTTGTTTGTTGATGAAGAATATTGTTTCCGATATGATTCTTCTTCGTTTTTTTCCATCTCCATCTCTATTCTATTGTGTGTAATAACAATTACGCGTTTATAATCATCATCATCATCGTGGATGACAATGGAGAAACGAAATACTTTTGTTGAATAGAATAGAATCGATATCAATGAAAGAAATGAAACGAATGTTATGTAAAGTGGCTGGATGGGTGAATTTTGCAACGAAAAAAAAAAAAAAATTTTTTTTCATCAAAAATTATGTAATCTATACAATACACACATAAATTGTGTGTACACAAAACAGAATTGAATTTTTTTTTTTTGGGGGAGTGGCAAGTATTTAAAAAAATAATTTTCATTTTTCTCACTTTTCCGCTTGAAGAATAAACGACAATGATGATGATGTTTACACATATTCACGAATTCTTTGTTCAAACATGGACAGTTTTTTTTTCAATACACCACTGGATTCATAATCATCAGAATCAAACAGAATCCAATTATAATTTCTATTTTTTTTTTATTATTCATGGATCGATGTCATCATCTGATGAATGCGATGTTCTTAAGCGAAAATGAATCAGCGATCTTGGCAAACACCATGATGTGATTCCTTTGAATATCGATTGGTTTAGACTGTTGCTACCATTGGATGCGTTGAATACCAACCGCTTTTTAGTTGTTGTTTTTTCTGAATCTAGTTTTCTGACCACTACCGAATGGGGCATATGGTAACCCTCATTTGGTTGAATGTTGCATTTTTCGATGATTTTGTTATCTTCAAGTTCTTTCACTAGATTGTTGTAGTCGTTGTACTCGGTATTAGATAGCGATGATTTTTTTAAGATTAGTATTCTTTTAGCATTATTGAAATTTGGATTGATTGTACTATTGTTGATGAAAGGGAATTTTATCTTGTAGACTCGTTCTTCTGTGTCGTAGAGGATGCTATTCTTAACATATCCGTTAATAAATTCTTGCATCGCTCGTTCATCTTCAGGATTGATTAAAGAGTCGATCGGTGGATCATGAACTTCTGATAGACATGTAATGACGTTTGAACGGTGATTATTGGATTGACCATGCACAATATAGCCTAGAGATGTTTTTCCAATAATTAACGAATTGTTGTATTCTTTGTCGGCTACGAGACATTTCAGACGATTCTTGTCATTGTTGCCAAACAGAATGTCGATACATATGTTTTCATCTTTGAAATCTATATTGTATTCACTGTTTACGCGGTTTTGAACTGATGGAGGTAGAACATTGAAATTGAATTGGGAAACAGTATCATCGATAACAAGTTTGAATTCGCTCAAGTTTCCATCTCGGTCAGGTAGTTTGATTATGGTGTGATGATGGCCAATGTATCGACCACGCTGCCCACCGTAGCCATTGACACGAATTGGATCATTCTTGAATTTTGGTAGATTCAACTTGTTGACTAATTGGTTTGTGATGAATGAGATTTCTGATCCGCTATCGAAGATAATACGGGTTTTTGTTCCCTTGATTACAATGGTCATGGTTTGAAGATATTGTGATGTACATTCTGAATTTGCCAACGCGCTAGTAGCGGTATCTTCGGTTGATGGTGTTGCAGATGAGCTTGGTTGAGTCTCAGAAGCAATCAATGACTTTACTGCGGTTTGATTCGACGTTTGTTGATTATTTTTTGAGGTACCTTTGCACAGAAATGACTGATGGTTTGAGCCACATTTGTTACATTTGAATATTCTTGTGCACTCTCGTGTACCGTGACCTTTTCCGGCACATCGGTAACAACGTTTTTCTTTGTTAAGCACTTGCATCTTCTGATCATAAGGCACGGGACAATGTATGTGAAAATGAAGTTGACCGCAGAAGATACACTTCGGTTTATTGTCGGACGTACTAACATCATCACTTAATGTTGTTAGTAATGCTTTCCGATGATCAGTCTGACGATTAAATTTGTTGAATCTAGACTCGTTACTTTGTTGTTGACGAATAGCACCATTGATGTTCATGTGTTCAAACTGATGCCTCTTATTTTCACTATTATTTGATAGAATTTGGAATAAAGGCTAAGGTGTGAATCCAAACGAAGAAATGGAAGCGCTTGTGCTTTTTGTACGAGTTCCTTCGTGATCGAAGCTGGTGAACCGTACACTTTATCTAGGATTTCTCACTTTTCCGCTTCGGAAGAATAAAGTCGACAATGATGATGTACGTGCTGTGGTTGCGGTACTTGCTGTGGTTGCGGTACTTGCTGTGGTTGTTCGAACAGATTGTTGACTGTTATTAATTCAGGTTGGTGATGACCAGTGTTATTAACATTATTATTACACTGAATATATTCACGATTGTCTGTTGTTTGTATACCATGATCGAATCGAACGTTTGGATTGCCTGGTGAGATACTAGGGCTTGCTAATGGTTGACGTCCATTGCTTCGTACAGATGATGCTGATTGACTACTCGAGGCGATTGACATGTTATACAATTTTTCTTGTAGCTCATCCAATAATTCGTTTACAGACGGAAATTTTTCCACTAGATTGTTCAATTGATCAATTGTCGCTTGTGAATTATTTCCAAATCAGATGCGATCACGAATGATGATGGTTCAAACAGTCTCATAATCTCAAAATACGCGTTTTGAGGATGAAAAAGAAATTCTAATATTAAAATGTATAATGTATTGAAAATCAGGAAGAAAGCAAAAAGTGTCGTGTGTGTTCTGAAAGAGCTGAAAACGTGTTGTTCTGTGTGAATGGTTTTTGACCAAGAAAATGAGGCGTATATGTCATATTTTTCGAGGGAGGCCAACGACAAAAAGCGCGCGCGGTCGTGGTCCGCTCATAGACTACGTGTCTAAATATTTGCAGCAAGAATAAACGACAATGATGATGATGATGTTTTACACATATTCACGAATTCCTTTGTTCGAACATGGACAGTTTTTTCAATACACCACTGGATTCATAATCATCAGAATCAAACAGAATCCAATTATAATTTCTATTTTTATTATCGTGTGTGATCCAAAATAGCGTGTACATTGTATAACAACAACAACAACAACCACACCAGTGTTATGGTGATTTTGGTTTAGCGATAATCCAATTGAATTTCAATTCAATTCACTTCATTTCAACAACAACAACAACAACAAACTAGAGAGAAAACAGACGTTCAAACCACATACACAGAAAAAAAAGATCGACTTGTCAAGATTGTTTTTTAATCGCTTTTTTTTCTTATTCGCCCATCATATTATTATTTACATTCAAATGGAATAAATCTCATCATTGAGAATCCGAAAAAAATATGTAATATGCCAGCCAGTACGTGTGAATGATCATATCAAATAGAATGATTTCACTGTTGAATTGTTCGATTGTTGTTGTTGTCGTGGTTGTGGTTGTTGTGAGAGAGAGAAATAGAAAAAAAATATGTCACCAGAAACGATGATGATGATGATGATGATTGAGATATAAAAAATTTATTCATCACAAGTTTAAAGCATGACATCGTATTTATGTAAATTTTTTCATTTTCATTTTTATTTTCATTTCATTCACCAGTCAATGATCGAATTTTGATCAATCATTTTTTGATCAGCACACACATGAGTATGAATTTCAATTAAAATTCATTAAATCGTTAAATTTTTTTTTTCTTCATCTCCATCGATGTGAACAATTCATTAACGTATCATCATCGTCGTAGTGTTAATCGTATTTTTTTTTTGGAAAAAGGCAAAAAAAAACACAAACAAAAGATTCATTGAAATGGATCATTTCACACACACACACACACATAGACAATATGTGTAAATTCAATTTAAAACTGTCATACTCCCCATGTGTAGTACTACCAACACACATACATACAATGGTGACAAACAAATAAACAAAAAATTGAATTAAATGAGCATCCACCAAATACACACACACAGAATATTTCCATTATTCTGGAACTCAGATAAATAAAGTCGATTATAATGAATAGCGAAACACCCCCCCCGCCCCCACAAACAAAACCAATTGATTGACACGATTCTCATTTTTGTTTGTCTGTTTTTATTTTCTGGTTGTCAAATGTTTTCGTTGTCATTGTTCAAATGTGTGGAAATGATGACAACCATATATAGAAAACGAGAATTCATTGGTTCAAGAATTTCCGAATCAAAAAAGAAAAAGAAAAAAATGAATGAATGAACGAATGAATCAATAAATTGAAATAGAAACTATATAAAAAAACGATCGATTAATTCCATCATCATTTAAATTAATGTCATTCTGTTTCCGTTCGATTACAAATCATTTGTTCAAACCGGGCTCTAATAAACATAGAAATAGAAAAATGTTGGTGGTGGTGCGAAACGGAACTTCGAAAAAAAAGAAAAATTTCAACAGTCAGTCAATTCCATATGAATGGAACGAATGAAAGAATCGCGAAATTCAATTGTGAGAACAATGACAATGGCAACAGAAATGGACCAGATACATATAAATATAGGAAAAGAAAACAAACAAACAAACAAAATAAATGTCCGATAAACCGTCCATTTTTTGGATTGCCATTTTTTCTATTGTTATCTTGAATGTGGATGGAACACATTTAAGACAGAGAGAGAGAGAAAAAAAATTGGAAAGAAAACGCCACTGTAGGCCAAATATACAATCGACAACCAGAAACTACGACAACAAAATAGCCAATTTGACATATGTGTGTGCTTATACGCGGATCATTCATGAAGAATATTTTTATTTTTTTTTGTTGCTGAATCCATTTCCCAGACAAAGACAAGTTTGAAATTCTAAATTGACGTGATGGTGGTGGATGATGGAGGGTAGAAAATCATTGAATAAGTTGAAGAAGAAAAAAAAAGAATGATGATGATGAGGAAATGTAGAATAAAAAAAAAACTTGGACTTTCAAAGTTTTATTTTTTTTTTTTGTTCTTTTTTCAACCACCAGAATCGACAACATTTTAATATAACAAATAAAAATCCACCATCTTCTATTTATATGAAGAGAGAGAGAGAAAAAAAAAATTTGCCAATTACACAATGCAAGAATAAAAAAGTTGAAGTTGACAACGAATAATAAGTGTAAGAGGAATATTTTTTTTTTCTTTTCAAAAATAAAAAATTCTTTTCAAATTCATTCACTTTATCAATCCATTCATTCAATTTTGTCTATCCACACACACACACACAGAACAATACTCCATTTTCAATTCGTTCGATTCTATTTCACACACACACACACACACACACACACAATACACACAATAGAATACAATAGAAAATTCTTGATTCTCAATTTCTATTTCTACACCATTATATTCATATATAAATACAATTCAATTCTATTTCCATGTTCTTCTTTCTTCTTTTTATTCTTGTCATTGTCGTTGTTGTAGAATTTCAACATTTTTTTTTAAATGCAACTTTTCCTCTCACACATCTCTCTCTCTCTCTTTTTACACAAACACAAATTGAATACAATTATTATTATTATTACACCAAGAATTGGAAGAGAAGAAGAAATATTTATTTATTATTCTGTATTGGTCGCATCACCATCATCATCATCGTCATCATTATCATTATCATTGTCAACACGCCATTGGTGGTGGTGTTGGTGATGATTATGTATATATTCGACAACAACAACAACAACAACAACAAATTGGAAAAAAATACAATAATAGATGATGAATGAATGAATGAATTCACAAAAAAAAAAAAAAAAAAATTTTCCCATTACAAAAGATTTTCTTCTCATCTCTATATATACTGGATGGATGAATGAATGAATGAATGGATGGATGAAATGGAATGAAAAAACGAAAGAGGAACAAAGCGAGAGACAGTGAATGAATATTCTTCTACAAACAGCATCAATTTGACAATTGGCAACAACAACAACAACACCATATGTTGTGCGTATGTGTGTGTGTGTGTGGGTGTATGTATTGTGAATAATAAAAAAAAATTCGTACCTCTATTATCACCAGATATATATGGAAGAAAACCATGGTTTTCAATATTGTCCAACACTTTTTTTTTTTGGTTGAATCCATTCATTTCATTCACACACACACACACACACACACACACACACACACACACACTCATTCACAGACAATAGACATCTTCGTAGTTTTTTTTCTGTCAACACACAATCCTTTTGTTATTATTATTGTTGTTGTTGTTGTTGTTGTTGTCGATGTTGTACAATGTCTATCATTATCTATCTTTTCAGTGAATTTGTTTTTTTTTCTATTATTATAACAACAACAACAACAACAACAACAATACACACCAATACATCACAAGTTTCGAATATTTTTTTTATAATTTTGGAATTCAAATTCTTTTTGTTCACCCAAGAAAAAAATTGTTTTTTTTTTATTTTGTTGTTGCTGTTGTTGTTAACATAAAATAGAAAACCAGGTTGGTGGCGTGTCATTGATTTTGTTTATTTTTTTTAATTCAAATTCAAATTTAAATTCAAAAACTTTACCATTTTACCATTCTTGGTGTGCTGATTCCGTATACAGTGATTATTAGTTTTTAAGTGTGTGTGTGTGTGGGAGTTGTACAACAAAATGACATGCCACAATATTCATATGGCCACCATCGCCACCATGATCATCATGCAATTAACAACGGTAAAACCAAAAAAAAAAAAACCGAAATCAACCGAAAACATACCAATATACCGTTATTGGCAATGGCGGTTATTGTGGTGGTGGTGGTGGTGGTATATCAATGTATTCGAGAGATATTGATATCAATTCAATTGTCCATGTGTGTGTGTGTATGTGCGAGTGAATTGAATCGACAATTCATACAAGGAGGCTCATACAACAACAACAAAAAATGAATGAATGAATAAAATGAAACCATAGTTCATTATAACAAAATACAACAACAACAACAATGATGATGATGATGTGCGAACAACAACAACAACAACAACAACAAGAATAACGAATGAATAAATGGCGGCCGAAACAACGAAAACGATCATCATTTTCATTACAACACTAGGACATATTGTGTGTTGAGTGTGTGATTGAAGTTTATGTTTTTTCTATTCATTTTTTTTTTCGTTGATTTTATTTATTATCATCATCATCATCATCATGTTCAACATCAACACAATCATCCCCTTTTCGAACATTTGAAACCTCTATTCACAAATACAAGTAGATCGACGCTTTTATTTTTGTTATCATTATTGTTTGAAGCAAATTGTCTCATTCATTCATTCATTCATTCATTGTAAACTAACTAACTAACTAACTCATTCATTCACATTCAATCTGATCAATGTGTTTTGTTGCTGTTAGTTATTGTTATTGTTAAATTTTCTATAGATGAGAGAGAGAAAAAAAAATATCACAAAACAATAGCCGAAATATTAGAAAGATTGAATGAATGAATGAATGAATGAATGGATGGATCGATTGAATCAAAAACACAATAGAGAATCCTAACAAAACAAAACAAAAACTTGAAAACAAAAGAGAATGATGATAATAGTGAAAAAAGCGAACGGACGGAGCGAACAATAAAAGCAACAAAAACAATTGTCAGTTGAATGAATTTGGAACAGCAAAAATGAAACGAAACGAATTGTTGAATACGTGGTGAATATATATATATATATATACACAGAGAAAGAAGAAAGATATGTTCAGGAAAAAAAACCCGATCATTATTGGAAACAATGGCCAGACAGACAGAATCTATGAATGAATGGAATAGAATAGAATAGAGAACAAGGAAAAAGATTGAAAGCCATTGAAAATGAATGAATGAATGAAAAAAAAAACGATGGAAACATGAGAATCATCATCATCATCATTATTGGATGCCGTTATATAATGTTATAATGGGATATTTCACTCAAATATCAACATATAACAAACAAACATAAACAGAAAAAGATGCTCAATGTATATATAAATATAGGAAATTCATATTGTCATCGTTGTCGTTGTAGTTATTCTATTGTTTTCAAAAAAAAAAAAAAAAAAAAAATGAAAAAAAAAAATTCCATTTATGTCCAAATAGTTGTTGACTGACTATTATCATTATCATGAAAATAAAAAAAAAAAAAAACAGACACAATAAATATATATAATAATGGGCAATTGTATTCAATGACAATGATCATGATGATGATGATGATGTTCAATATGGGCGCCATTCGATATAACAATGAATAAAATACAAACAATGGAAAAATACACACTATATAGAGAGAGAGAGAGAGAGAGAAGCAACGAGTACGAGTACATCATTATCTCCCATTCAATTCACTTCATTCATTCATTCATTCATTCACTCTATATACATAAAAACAAAAGGATAAACGGAACATTGAACAACAACAAAAATTAGTGGGAGGATGGAACAAAAACAAAACAAAAAAATTAACCTTATTGTATGTATGCATTATTGGTGGACATCCAATACATTTGTTCATTTGTACATGTTCATATATAGGAGTTTGACATATAATATGTGTGCATGTGGGTATTGCAAAAAACAATAGACCAATCGGAAAATGAAAGCCAGCCCCAAAACACACACGCACGCAAAATCATCTGATTTTTTTTTAGTTTAAAAATAAATTTCATCGAACGAGAAAAAAATCAGCTAATTCAGCAGATAGTACAGGTATAACAATAGGGGAGAGGAAAAAAAATTCACATAATTTTTAAATTGAGAACGAAAAAATAAAATTGGTTGATAAAGTGTTACCTGTGAAATAATAATAATAATAATAAAAAAACAAATAATCATTCCGAAACTCAGGTGTTCACAAATGAATCATTCGCATTTTCTTCTTTCAATACAACAAAAAAAAACTGTTCTTTTGTGTTTTTGATGACCATGCAACACGTGTGCGTGAATGCACACACACACACACAAACAAAGTAAGTGACAACAACAACAAAAGAAACAGAGAGATTCGTTTGAAATTTTTATGAAAATGTAAAAAAAAATTGAATGGTTCCAGCACTTTGGTCCATACAAATCAAGATTAAAAAGAAAAGAAAAAAAAAAAAAATTGTCAAATAACAAGCCGACACACACACATATAAGGTATCTATCTCTCTCTATCTCGGTGTAAATTGCATTTGATGGAATCTATTGTTGTTGTTGTTTTTTTGTGTAATTGTCACATTGTACGCTATATGGTGGTGGTGGATATACATTAGGTCAATTTACGTCAGGTAAAAAAAAAACAGGCAGCAATGGCAATCTAAATGATTTGTAGCTTTTCCCCTATTTACTATGTGTATGTGTGAATGAATGTCATGGTGGTGGTCTTTTTTTTAAATACTAGCGAGAGAGAGAGAAACTTTTTCTTTTATTCTTCATCAATCTAGATCAGAAAGCTCACCTTTTTTTTTCTCTCTCAAAAGGGACCCCATTAAGCCAAAAAAAAAAAAAAAAACACCCGATCGACTACACAATATACAATGGACAAAAAAACAATAACCAAAAAAAAAACTAAAAAACAGTAGGATCCATGTATATATATATATTTATTATGGTGAAAGAAGAAGAAAATAAAGTGTTAGTGTGACCAATTTTCATTCTTAGCGAGATCGCAAAATTCAATCGATTCGTTTCGAATCAATTTCGATGAACAATGAACAATAACGAATCAGAAAAGAACAAAAGCCACGTTTTTTGCTTTCGTTGAAAAATTGAGAGCAAACGAAAAAACAGTGGACATTGAAAAAAAAAAATTGAATGAAATTTTTTTTCTTGTTGAAAATTTTGTATTTTATGTGTCCCATTGTAACCAGAAACAAGGAAAAAAACCAGAAACAATTACGTGCATGTTTTGTATTTTTATTTTTTATTTTCGTAATTCAAGAGTTGAATCGAGAGAATAAAAGAATAAAAAAATTCGTTGTCTTTATTCAGAATGAGAAAAAAAATTACAAAAAAACCAAATGCACCTGATTTCAAACCAATAATAAATTCAATTTCAAAAGAAGGTGTGTTACACGCACACACACACAGGTGCTGCAAAAAAAAATCAATCACTATATCGATCACTATGAATAGAAATTTATATTTCATGCCAACGTAACTGCCGTTTTTATTGGATCACCATCCAGATCATCATCATTCACCGGTAATCGTTGTCCAGATAATTCGGCTTCAAATTTAGCATATCTATGAAAACAAAAAACCAAAACAAATTATCATTTAAACGATGCACACGTGCAATGGAAAATCAAACAGAAATAAAAATTCAATGGAAAACACACACACACACACACAATGAACGAACAATAGAAAATTTTTTCAAAGTTTGCACTAGACAAAAAAAATAACCACAAAAATAATAGAAAAAACGATAAATTTAGATTGCATCAATTTCATCATCATCATCATCATCAATTATCGATTGTAAATATTGGCACCAAAAGTCACATTAATCTTCAAACAAATGGTGTAATTAATCAAAAAAAAAAAAAAAAAAAAAAAGCCAAAATGATCGGTTATAGATTCACAAAAGTAACAAAAAAAAACAGACAAATAACCGAAAATGAATGTGGAATCTTTCCATTTCTCTGTACATTCTCATGACTATCTTTCTGTCTGGAGAGAATGATAATATACACAATTTGATGATTTTTGGTGAGAAAATCAAATAATCTAACGACATTCTCTCTCTCATCATCATCATCAAAAACAACGTTAATCTAAAGAACAAAATCAAAAGTTATCTATCTTTATTTCCGAGACAAACAAACAAACAAACAAACAAGACAAAAAAAACAACAAGACAAAATAAAACAAAACAACAGAAAGAAACAAAACAAAACAAAAATTCCGTTGATGGAAAAAATTGCTTTCGAAAGATGAAATCACAAATCGAAACTCATACAATAAACACAATGATGATCATCATTAGATCATTAATAAATCGAATTGGAAAGCCTAATTTTAACAACAACAACAACAACAATAACAACGACGACCACAATGGTTACAATTTTGCACGAATAAGCAGCTAAAGAATGTGAATATTTTGAAATGAATGAAACGATTCACTGGAATATTCCTCACTCTCTTTATTCTGCAATGAAAAAAAAAAACATACTGATCTCAACCACGTTTTTTTCTATTTAGACTGACACAACAAATTCAACCACAATCATAATAACGATGATGATGATGATAATGAAATTTAAATTGAAAAAGAAAAAAAAATGTCTACAACAACACAATCCACATACATACAAAATGAACATTTTTTGTGAGCATCATCAAAAAAGAGAGTCTATTTATGTGTGTGTGTGTGCGACGACGACAACAAAAAAATGGAAAAAGAATTTCAGAATATATTAGAATGAGAATAGAAAAAAAAAAAAATTTCAATTTAAAATTCTTTCAACAAAAAAAAAAAAAAATGGAAAATAGTTTTATGCTTCAGTTAGCACTTAATATGATGATGATGATGCTTGACGCCGAATAATAACCAAAATGATTCGGCCATTCAAAATAATGATGATCATGATGGCTGCAAGAGAGAAAGAATATTGTGTGTAAAAAAAATTCTGTAAATACAGAATATTCAACATACACACACACACACACACAAGAAATTATGAATTAAATTATGAATTTCTTTCTTTCTTTAAAATCATCATCATCATGATCATGCCAACAAAAAGAAAAATATTAAAATTCAATTATTGAATTCAGATTCAAAACCATTGTGTTCAAGTGTGTTTGATTGAAAAAAAAATTCTCACACTTTCTTGTCATAATAAACCTAATATATATAATAATATCGATAATATCGATACATGGATAGATAAATGATTCAATAACAAAAAAAGGTCATCATCATCATCCTCCAAAAAAAAAAAAAAAAAAATTTGTCACAAGTTAATAATAACTTTATGTGTTTGTCTATCTGTGTGTGTTTGTATGAGAAATTGATTTGTTGTTCAAATCAAATATTAATCGAAAAAAAAATCGCAGCCACAGTAGCAGGTAAATAATAAAAATATGGCTGATGAGAAAATCATATCGCACACATATGATTTGTATTTGTATGTGTGTGTGTGTGTGTGTGTGGGAATAAATAAACGAAGAGATAAACAAATAGATAGTTTGATTTTGTCAAAATATAAATAAAAAAAAATAAAATGAAAAAAAAAAAACTTACATTCGATTAAATCGATTACGTTCCTGTTGACTAAGTGCAGGTCTTGTCATCTTCATTGCTTGTTGAATGTTTGTCCATTCAATTCGAATTTTTTTGTCATTATTTTTGCTGCTGTTGTTGTTGTTGTCATTTTGTTGTTGAATGATTGATTTTTGATGATCATCCATTGCCTGTTTGGTGGCATCTAAAAATGCATTATATAATAATGCCTGTATATCGGCACCAGTAAAATTTTCCATTGATTTCTCAATCTTATTGAATGATGAATTGATGTTTTCATTAAAATCTATTGATAATTTTTGGCCATAAATAGTAAAAATTTCTTTTCGTTCATTTTCATCAGGCAAATCACAACGTATTAATTGATCAAAACGTCCTGGCCGTAATAATGCTAGATCTATTAGATCTGGACGACTTGTGGCGGCTATAATGAATATATTTCGATCACGTTCTTCAAGACCATCCATTAGTGTTAACATTTGATTGACAACACGATCAGTAACGCCGGTACTATCATGACCACGACGTGGTGCTAATGAATCAAATTCATCAAAAAATAGTATACATGGTGATGCGGCTTGTGCTTGACGAAATATTCGTCGTACAGATTGTTCACTATTACCAATATATTTGGACAATAATTCTGGTCCTTTAACATTTAAAAAATTCACTTTGGATTCATTTGCAATGGCTTCAACTATGGCCGTTTTTCCGGAACCAGGCATACCATAAATGAGTAATGAATTTGGTAATTTCAATGGTAAATATCGATGCAGATTTGGATGTCTTATTTGCATGAGAATAAGATTTGAAAGCATTTCTTTAACACGTTTCATACCGCCAATATCTTTAAACAAACGTTTAGTATTCAATTTTAAATTATCTGTTTTTTGTGTCAATTGAAAATTATTCCATTTCGTTATAGCTTGATTTACATGGACATCATTAATCATAATCACTTTTGTATCATTCATTTGTTTTGGCATTAAATTATCAACCAATGCACTGTGAATAATCATATCGATTAAATTGTTCAAATGTTGAATGGGAAAATTTTTCGTTATTTTTGACAGATATTTCATATCAATATTTATTGATGTTGTCATTGTTGAACATTCACCATACGATAGATTTTTATATTTTTTGTTGAATATTTCATTCAATATTTCAATTCTTTGTCCACTATTCAGTGGTTGTAAATCGATTGTTTGATCAAATGTTGGAAATTTTTTCAACACACGATTTAAACATTCACTGGATTCAGCAGTAGCAATGATGGTGACACGAGAAAATGATGTACAAGATGATTTCAATTTTTTCAATGAATCAACAAGATGAAAAAATAAATACGATATCCGTTCACAATAAAAACTTTCTGGTGTTGTTGATTTCGTTCGATCTGATTCATCATTTGAATCGAATGATCGTACATTGTTCCTGCCACCACCACCATCATCATCATCACCATCACCGGTATCATAGGCAATCTGATGTAAATCTTCAAATACCAATATTGATGGTTGATGATGAATAGCTTCAGTGAATAATCGTGACCATGATTTCTGCAGTGATTCAATTCTTTTACCCTTAATGTTTGAACATTGAATTTTAGCACTCCAAATTCGATGATTTTCAAAACAATCATATAAAAGACGTTCGATTAGTGTTGTTTTACCAGAACCTTTTGATCCGGTAACCAATAAAGCTGTGAATAAATTTACATTGCCAGATTCTGTAATTGAATTTAAATTCAATGAATTATGAATGAAATGTATGCATTCTTGTAAGGTTGCAGTACGGCCAGCAAACGGTTTGGTGAGGATTTTTTCATAATTTTCGACCATATCATTGATTATTTGACGTTTTTTTGACAATTTATTCAAATGAATTGTCATGGAAGAATTCACAGCCGTTACTTGTTGCATAATGATTTCAGTCAACAATGGATCAACCACAAAACTTGTGGAAAGAAATTTAAAAATTTCCACATCAAAATCAGGCACCGGTGATTGTTGTTTGATGATGAAATATTGTTCATTATCATTTTTTGGATCAGCAACCAAGAATCCATTATACATGAGTATTTGATTGTTTGATTTTTTGACCAATTCATTGTGGAATTCATTCGATTTCAATTTTGACCACAATAATGGAACTATGAATATTTTTCGAGCCACCGGAATATTCAGACAATCAATGCCATCATTGTTTTTTTCTACAACCAAATTTATTTGCCGTAAATCTGGACTATCCAAAATGACGTAAGATAGAAACGATAATGAATACTGTATGATGAATGAATGGCTAAACATTATTGAATCATCTGGACATTTGTCATTTGCCATTACTAATACGTTTAGATCATTTATGTGATCATAAATTTTCAGATATTTATCAACGAATGTTGTACAAAATTTTTCATTAGCAGACATTGTTGTCATATCATAGCCGATGGAAACAATGTCTGACGTTTTACTCGTTGAAGGATCTAATTTTATCAGTCGAACAATAAAACGACTTGATTGAGTGCCTAAATTTTCAAAATGTTTTCTAGATATAAATCCAATGGATGTTGTGTTTGAATCAATTTCTTTGGCCAGAATAACACGTAAAAATAGCTTTTTGCCACGATAAATTGGAAATAGTGTATGATGATGTTTTGTCATGGTCATCGTATCACCATCATCATCAGTGATGGGATCATCATTCGATGATGAATGAGTAATGGGAAAAATATTTTCACGATTTGGAACCAAAGATTTGAATAGGCCAAAAACGGATTTTAAACTTGTAGACGGCATTGTAATCGGCGGTACGATGGCGGCATCATTTTCAATTTCATTCTGCGGAACGATAACAATTTTCGTTTGCCTGGTTATTATCAATCCGGTTTTATTTGTTGTTGTTGGTTCAACACGAAAAATTCGCACAAAAATCGGCACATTTGGTGAACTTTTCAACCACAATGGAAAAATATTGAATTCATTATTTTTCAAAAAAGCAACAGTCACCATTCGTATTTGATTTAGAAATTCATATTCAATTTCTTCAGCATTCATTTCAATAAGTTGATGATCATCATTGGATAATGGTTTCAAATAACAAGAAACACATGGTGATATTCGATTCGATAGATCATCGATAACTTGCACCAGAATCAATTCATTATCAATAATATTAGATTTTGATGCAAAATTTCGATCCAAAAATATTGAATCTTCAGTACAATTTTTACTTCCATTCCATGTGACATATAGAAATTTATCTGGTTTTATATCGTCCAAAAAGATTAATTTGATTATTATTAGACCCTATAGATCAAGAGAGAAAAATGACATGTGAATCAAATCAAATCGAATGTTAGATCTGACTTACAAATGAATTTGAACGAAAATTTTGTACAGTCCATTTCGATGGCAATGTTATGAAACAATTTTTCGTATCTTTTAATTCTATTCGACCATGAAAGAACGACATTTGATGATCATTGATTGATTGATTAATTGATTGATTGAGATAAATAAAGAAAAACTTTTATTTTAATTTTTTTCAAAAACAAAAAATTTATCGCCAAAACAAGAACAATTTTTTCACAACAAAAAAATTGCCAATATTACACAGTGTATAATGATGATGAACTTGCATTGTATGAATAAAATTAATCATAAATTTCGAATGAATATAAAGTTTTTTTCAAGGTATAAAATGTATTTGGATGAGAAAAAAAATGACCATCATCATCAAGATAATTGCGAAAAAAATATCAAATTTTTTTTTGTAATGAAAAAAATGGATAAAAAACAAGGCACACACACACACACACACAAACAAGAAATGAAATCACAAAAATTAATTGCATTGTTTATCTCTTTGCGTTTGTTTGTATATGTTGTTTAAAAATGAAATGTTGATTTTTTTTTTGTTCAGTTAAATTTTAGAAAAAATTGTAAATGTGTGTGTGTGTGTGTGTGTGTGTAAATGTAATGTTTAAAAAAAACAAGATCAAAAATTTAAATCATCATGATTTAAAAATAAATAAATTCTTTGTAGATGCAACAGCAATCAGATTCTGATTTGGATTCCAAGCAGTATGATAGATACGTCGATTTAGATCAATATTGTCTACGAATGTTTCATCTTTTTTTGGCTTTCTACGAAAACTATCCGTCGTCGTTGTTGTTGTCGTAATTTTTTGTGGACGTAAATGTTTTTGTTTCACAACATCTTTATTAATTTCAAACAATGATTCTTGTCCGGAATTACGGTCGATAATTTTGAAAAAATTATATGATCCAGTCATTATATAACTATATATATCAATGAAAAGATTTGATTTTTGATTTGATAGAAACAAACAAACAGGCAAATAGTACTCACTTATCGTTTCCACTTAATGAAAATTCAAATTTATCAAATATATATTCATTCTCATAAAGTGTACCTAAACGGCCACGTAAATATTCATGTACTTCATATGTTTCGATTGGATTTCGTTCCATATTCAGATCCCAAACATTTACGGTCATATAATCACGTGTAATCATATAACGACCACTATTTGTAAATTTCAGATCTGATATAACAGTGATGAGTTCATGGAAAAAATTTGAATTATCTGAACCATTGATAGTATCACGAAATACTGAAAATCAAAAAAAAAAAAATGAAATCAAAAATGAATGAATGAAAAAAAAACAATTGAAATTCTTATTCTCACTTTTCGAATAATGATCACATAATGCAGCTTCACGCATGTCACATAATTTAATGGAACCTTTACTTGTTGAATATGCAAATATGTTACAATGTTGTGGATGAAATTCAGCGGCACTTATCACTTCGGATAAATCGGCCATATTTGATGGTTTAATATCGACAATCACTATGGGAAAATTTCAATTAGAAAAAATTTACAACAACAACAACAACAACAACATACCAAAACTTTCATTGGTAATATCTAGATTCCAAAGATTTATTCTTAATTCATCCGATGATATAAATGTTTCTTGATCACTATTAATAGAAACAGAATTGATATGAAATGAATGAGCATTGGAAAATATGCGACGAAGATTCGAACGAATTGTCGGTTCGGTGGCCATCATTTTAGGAACCCTTAATTCGGTATGATCAAATTCTGGATATTCAGTCGTATCACAGCCACCAATAAAATTTCTGTTAATATTTGAAAAACTATCATCAATACGTTTATCTTTTTCGGATAATTTCCATAATTTTATCGTCTTATCATTTGTGGTCAACATGAAATGATTTGCCGCCGTTTTTGATTCATCTAGCCAACAAATTTTATTGATTTTTTCTTCAATTTCCAGACTTTTAAGATAATCAAATTCAGCTTCATGACTTTGAAATGTACTATAAAGATCATATTCAGTGGTTTTCTTTCCCTATTTGATATAGAAAAGATCAATTTTGTTTTTAGAACAAAATAAAACAGAAAAATTTACCTCATTCCCTTGGAATATAACGATTCTGCCACCTTTATCACCACATGCCAATAATTGACCGGTGGAATTGAATTCCACACATGAAATTAAATCGGCTAATTAATTTTAAAAAAACACAAAGAATTACATCATCTTCACCACAAAAAACTTTAAAAAAAACTTACCATCACTAAATTCATCTTCTAATGTTCCTTTTACCTGAACGAATGACCAATTTAAATCGGTTGATGATGAATTATTTCCTTTTTTTCAATAGAAAAAAAAAATCAATCAATAATCAATCAGCAAAAAAAAATGTAAACAAAAAAAACACTTACGAATTCCGGATAAAATCGAATGTCTAGACGACATAGTAGTATGATGATGATGATGATGATGGAGAATATGATATGATGCAATCGGTGACAAAAATCAGACAGAGAGACAAAAATATTTGGTGGTAAAACGATTTGTCCAAAGACAAACATACAAAGTACATGCAAGAAATTAATTTAATTATCTTTTTTGTTTGATTTTGTTTGAAAAAATAAAACAATAATAATTCCGAAAGTAAAAATTATACAATTTGTGCGTGTGTGTGTGTGTGTGTAAATGTAAAATGTTGAGCGAGTAGTAATAAAAAAAATGGAATTTTAATTTTTTTTTTTTTGTCATTCATTCATTCATTCATTCAAAGCCATCATTTTTTTTTTTTTTTTTTGTTGTTGTTTGAAATCATCGACAAATAATAATAGGCCAACAACAACAAAAAAAAATTGATATATGGTACGTTTGTGTGTCTATCTATGTGGTGGCGGTCATGATGATGATGATGATGATGATGATGATGATGATCTATTGAATGATGATGATGATGATTAATGATGGCGCGATGAGAAATGTTCAAATGTGCAGTGTATTGGCAGCCAAATATTTTTTTTTTGATGATAATGATGATGGCGATGATCACAAGATAAATTCAATCAGTGTCTGTGTGTGTGCGTAAACATTCGATTTGTTTTGAAATGAACTTGATTTGAATTGATTCGAACAGATTTTTTGATTGCAATAAAAGTTTTTTTTTATCGATAAAATTTACAGGAACTGATTTATAATAATACACAAAAAAAATATAAACAAATAATTGATTGATTGATTGATTGTAAACTTGAAAAATTTACGAGAGCAAGAACAAACGAGCTTGACCCAACCCTTGATGGACACACACATTGATATATCAAGAGTAGCTGCAGTAGCAAGCAGCAGCAACCTCGACAATAAATCGAGTGAACAAAATAATAATAATAAACAGATGATGATTGTCTGAAAATATTTGCAAGAATTTTTCTTTTTTTTTGCGGTTAATCACAATATCACAATGGCAATAATGATGTGGTGGACAACAATAATAACAACAAATGAAAAAACCGAGCTAGCGGCTTTTCTTTTTTTTCTGGTTTTTCACCCGATACACAGCGGGTTAAATAGCTTGCGTGCAATGCATGCTTGCATGTCTGGACAATACACAAATGTCATTCTCAAAAAAAAAAATTCGAATGAAAAAAATTCAAAATTTAAAAAATTCAAATTTTATTTTAAAAAAACGCTAGAATCATTTAAATAATTTCAAATTCTTCATCATCACCATCATCATCATCATCAACATCATCATCAAATGTTGATGCAGATTGTTTTTGTTGTTGAATATTGTTACAATCAAAATTTGGTGAACTTTTTAAAAATGATCCATGAATAGATTTGGATGTGGAACCGATACAATCTAAATCATCACCATCTTCATCATTTTGCCATTCATATGGTCGTGATTTCATTATCTCAAACAATGGCTGTGTTTGTTCATGAAATAATTTTCCCATCATCAATTGATGCCAATGATTAAATTCTTCTTCATTTTTACAGAAAAAACATAATGCTAATGATGGATCAAGTAATGAAATTGACATTCTATATGGCCGTTCACAATGATAGCTAACATCATCAGCTGAACGTTGATTTAATGATGATGATGTTGTCGTTGTTAATTGATCATCAATATCATCAATAATCATCATCTGTTCTTCATGCTGTAATAATCGTTCCAAATATTCACGATCTTGAGCAACTATATGGACATTCGATTGTGTTGTATGTGGATCTAAATAGATAAGATCATCACCACAACAACCAATAAAATACAGTGCATGATTTGGACGGCCACCAAGTATACCTAATGTTTGTGGAAAAGTAAATGTTGTTTTTAAAGCACGAAAATAGATTGGATTAATTTCCGATAAACCCAATCGAAGTGGAATGAATAGTATTAATGGTTTCCATTTTTTTAAAGTTTTCATTTTTTGTTGTTCTTGGCACTTTGTTTCATCATCATCATCATCATCATAATCATCATTTTGAGAAATTTTACAAGATTTTCCTAATTGTAAAACAAAAAGAGCAAAGAAAATTATTTTATGATTCCAAAGGTTCCAAATACTTACTAATATCATCGAGAAATACAATATTATCCATTGCAACATAGATGAATATATCGTTCATTTTATCAAACATTGATAGTTTCCTTTTGGAAAAAAAAGAACAGATTAAACAGATCAACAACAACAACAATGAAAAAAAAAAATTCACCTTAAAACCTGTGCAATTGTATTTGGTCCAAACCATTGGCCAACATTTTTGCCTTCACAAACACCCATCAATGCAATCTGATGTATTGAATAGGATTCGGTTTTTTGATCATTAAACATTTTCAATAAATTCTTATAGATAAGATATTTTTCTAGTTCTTCATCGATTTTTCTTTTTACATCTTCTTCTTCTTCTTCTTGGCCATCATGGTCCAACAATTGTTTGATTGATTCAAGATTCGCATAATTCCAACGCCAATCACGACCCATATAAAGATTGATGAATGCCCTGGCCAATACCATTTGACCACATCGTAGCATACAACCCCAACCACTATCGGATGTAAAATTTGTATCACCAATTGGCTGAAAATTTCGTCGATATGTCATCCATATATTTGTTCGAACATCTGAACGTATTTCATTCAATTCTTTCAGAGAAAACACAAACAAATTTAGTATTTTCTACTAGAATTTGAATCAAAATTTACCATGTAAAGAGCTATATTTTTTACCCAATATATAAACAGGATCATCTGTTGGTGGAAAATCTTTCCTGTTTTCATCCGTTGATCCATGATTGTTAAAATCACGATTTAAATTAGTTACTGATGTGAATAAAAAGGTTTTTTTTTCTTATTATCATCGTTTACAGTTCAATCAATCAATTGATATTTACTTTTAGGTGCTAAAGAATTCAATGTTGAATATATGTCCATTTTCATTAGAGATGATTCGAATTTGATGAATTTAAAAAAAATAAATTCAAAAAAAAAAAATAAATTTTAACAAAAAAATTGAAAAAAAAACGCTTGACTAGCCAATGGTTATTGGTTCGTAATGTACATGATTCTTTTGGATAAATGATGTTGGCGACCTGAAATTACAATCACCATCATCAGCTCAAATGAGTGGATATCTGCTGTCTGTGTGTGTGATTCATTCACTTGATGGTGATTACAAAATAACAAATGGAAAACAAAACAAAACAAAACAAAAAAATTAAATCGTCATCTCAGGTGTTTTGTATGTGGATTGGATTGTTTTGAAACGTACAACAACAACAACAAAAACATAATTTTCATTACCGTTCAAAAATGACGTATTAGATCACGTGATGATGATTAATTTAATTTAATTTTTTTTTGAATTGAATTAAATTCAATTGAACAAACAAAAACAAATTTAATTAGATTAATAGAAAATTTAATTTACTCATTCTTTTTTTTCAAATACATGATGATGTGACGACCATGGAAAGCATTTAAATCTCGTTTTCTATTGAAATTTCGTTATCGGTTTTTTTTCTCAAGTTTTTTTTCTAAATACCAACGAAAATTAAAAACAAACAATGATGGGTGAAGAAATACAGCAATCAATTTTCGAGGTAAAAGAACCGGAAAGTGAAAAATTGAAAAGTTTTAAAAAAATCGAATACGAAGTTGCCGATGTTGGCAAAGTGATGGAAGAATTGAAAGTTGAATTGATAAAAATTATTAAAGGCGATCCAAAACAGGAAACAACGGCCATACATAAAGTATTCATTAATGATGAACTTGTACGTGAAATGGATTTCGTTCAATGATGTAGTGATTAAATCTGATTCACGATATGAACCATGGACCTTTCTACGAATGGATCAATCAACATTTAAACAGATGCGTGATAATGCGGCCATAACTTTTTGAATGGCATAGAGAGAAAGATGACGGATAAATGGATGGAAATCATGCATTTTTTTCATTTGTTTTTATTTGTTGTTGAAAAATAAAATTGTGAAGAATGAATATCACATCACAATTGTCGTTGTTTTTTTTTAAATTTTCAAAAATCTTTTTTAACAGCAGCTATATATGTGTGTGTGTGTGTGTGTGTAAATAGAACAATCATGTGAATGGTATAAAAATGTGCAATAAGCGACTGTTATTTAATTTTTTAATTTTCTATTTCTGTAAATAAATAGATTGTAGAATCCGATGTAAAAATGTCCGATGATGATGATCATCATCATCATCATCTAGATGATGATAATAACTATGAATCAATCAGTGATCAAATACAATCCGTATCAAATGAAACAATGTTAAGTGAGAAGGAAAATAACGAATCAAACAACGAAGACGATACTGTGGTTGATGAAGAGCTTGAAGAACAGCAACATTTTTTCGATATTATCAACACGTTTCGTTTTTATAAAAGTTATAATATGAAAAAAGTACAAAAACGAATCGATTTTGTTGGCTCAATGTCCACAAAATATCAACAATTGTTGCAAAATTATTCCAAACATTTGACTAAAGTTCAACATTGTATTGTACATAATTATGAAATAATTAAAGTGATCATTGGCGATGCAGCTAAAATATTTCGTAATCATGTTTTTCTCAAAGACAATAGAAAAGAATCCAATCATTCATTGATAATGAAATTGGAAAAAGATCTTGACATTTCTCGTATCGATTCTATATTGAATCAAATTGTTCGTGAATGGTGTCATGAAGGCGCTACAGAACGTGAATCATGTTTCCAGCCAATATTGAATACAATTGAAGAATATTTTCCTTCACTTGTGAATCGAAATCAAATCAGAATTCTGGTTCCTGGAGCTGGCCTAGGAAGATTACCATACGAAATAGCTAAACGTGGTTATTCATGTCAAGGAAATGAATTCAGTCTGATGATGCTATTCGTTGCCAATTTTATATTGAATAAAATTGATTCTACCGATATGTTTACATTTTATCCATGGATATCACATTTTTCAAACAATCTTCAATCTGATCATCAAACAATACCGATAAAATTTCCCGATGTTAATCCTGCGACGATTTCGAAAGATGTAGATTTTTCAATGGTTGCTGGTTCATTTACGGAAATATTTAACAACCAACAACAGCATAAAAATGACCAATTTGATTGTATTGTCACTTGTTTCTTTTTGGATACAGCACAAAATATCATAAATTATGTGGAAACCATTGACAATATTCTTAAATCAGATGGTGGTTTATGGATAAATTTTGGTCCATTACTTTATCATTATGCCGATTCATCACAAGATTCATCAATCGAACCTAGCTATGAAATTGTCAAAGAAATTATTGAATCATTTGGTTTTAAATTTTTACAGGAAAAAACTAATCAAACTTGTTATTATACTAGAAATCCAAATTCATTGGTTTCATATGAATATCATTCGATTTTTTTTGTTTGTCGTAAATAAATTTCTTTTTATTTTTAAATTAAAATGAATGGTCCATTCAATGAAATACGTACATAGTAGCTGTAGCTTATTTAATGTATTTTTCCATAAATTTTTTATGAAAATCCGAACGTAATGTATCGTTGATGAATGATTTATCTTTATCTTTTAAATCATCTTTAGCACAATTTTTGAATACAACATCATCATCCCAACGTCTTTTCACTTTGAAATTTGTTGATTTACCAGCATTTAATAATGGATTTCCCGATAATATATTCTCCATACGTATTTTATTCTCATAATTTCGTTGTTCTTCTTCACGTTTAGCTTCTTCGGCGGCACGTTCACGTTTAATACGATTTAATTCGGCTAATAATGCCTGAGTATCATCTTCGGAATCTTCATCTGAATCCGAATTTACATCGTCATTATTATTACCGCCACCACCACCACCATCATCATCATCGTCGTCGTCATCTAATTTTTCATCAGCATCTAATTGTGATAAATTATTCGCCGTTCGTTGATATTCGATACGAGGTTTTTTATTCGATTGTGTTAAAGAATGACTTGAAGACGACGATGACTGCTGTTGTTTAGAATTGTGGCCACGTTTTCCATCCTTTTCTAATTGTGCTAAACGTTCACGTTCTTCAAGTTCTTTACGAAAATCTTTTGTTTTCACATCATCAGCTGTATTTTGTCCATGTTGTCTTTTTTATAGGAAAAATGAAAAATTAGTTTTATTTTCAATAAAAAAACAATCGATTTTTTTTACCTGTATTTCAATTTAAGATGAGATGGTAAATCTCTTGATGAATAATGTTTCGATAAAGAGCTAAGACTTTTTTCTCCACGACCAGAACCACCTTTGGCTGGTTCAAATGTTGGTCGAGCTGCTGTGGTCATGATTTAGTGATAATGATGAAAATCAAATCAAATCTAATTCTAATTGAAATAACAAAAAAAATGACGTTCAAATGTCGTGAGCACAAATGCAACAAAAAACGATGCCGTTCATAAATGACATTTCCATTTGAATTTTGATAAAATTAATTGAATTTTTGAATTTATTATCAGTCAAAATTTTTGTAATAATAAATAAAACATGCAATTAAATAATTTGTTTTTTTTGTTAAATCAGAAAAAAATTTACGCATCAATTGAATTGGATTTTGTTATTCGTTTGAAACAATTACGGCATACCGATTTGAATGATACAATAGGCTGATGACATGGAATGGTACAACGTTCACCTAAACATCGGACACAAAAAATATGTCCACACGCAAAACAATGTAATCTTGTGGAATAAGGCTCTAACGGTGTTGAACAGCTACAATTTTTAAGATTCTGAAATGATTGCCAATTCAATGATATGATTGAACAATCCTGTACAACTTGTTCCAATGGCATTGATAAACAATCTTCTTCGGTTTCATCATGTTCATCATCTTGAATATTGTTGTTTCCTAATTTCAATGAATTAGGTCTAGGAATAGGACTCTGAAAAAAAATTTCAGATCAAGATGATAATGATAAAGATCAAGAACATTAATTTAATTCTTTACCTGATTATCAACGGTACGATTTTCATTCGTATCAAGTGATGATTTGGATTTTTCATCCTCATCAATACATTGTTGTTGTTGATCTTTAAGATTTTGTTCATGTTGCATCACTAATCTTTGCATACATTGTTCAACCACTTTTAATGGTCTATCAATTTCATCCAAATCGATTGAACCTAGTGGTCGAAATTTTTGTGGTTCACCACCATTTTCTTTTGGCTGTTGTTGTTGTTGTTGTTGTTGTTTTTGTGCTAAATACTGAAAAAAAACAGAAAATCAGAATAATTCGAATATTGTTTGAAAAAAAAATATTTACATTTTCCAGAAATGTGATATGTTTTCTCATTTGATCAATATGATGATATTTGGCTCGTAAAATATCTTCAAGAAAATCACGTGGATGAACACCAGTTTCAAAACGATTGTACAGGCCTCTCCAAAATCTAATCAAAAACGAAATGAATTAAAGTTTTTTTATGATCAAAAAAAGGGGAAACCTTACTTAATAAATTGTGGCGCCACCGATATTGTCAACATTGAATCCATTGGTTGATATAATGGATTTACATATTCAATGCGATGAGCATCCAAATAGCCCCATGCAGAAAATGTCCGTTTCGATAATCGTGATTCATTACGTTCACGTTCACAATTACGAACAAATGTGCCGAATTGAACATTGTAAACAAAATCATTTATATTGATCAAAAATCGTTCATTAAATTCAAAAGCACATGGATGTTGTTGCATTATTTGCCAAATAACATCCAAAAATTGTGTAAACACTGGTGCCATTTCACGATTATCACCATTAAAATGGCCACAACGATCAGTGAATTTATGGCCAAAAGCAAGCCAATCTTTTTCAATCAATGTTTGAAAACCATCAATCGTACGATAAAAAGGGTCTAAAATTATCGATGCTATCGCTGAAACGATATCAGATTATTGATTGATGATTGATTTTACAACAACAACAACAACAAAAAACTTACAACAAGTTTGAGCGGTACGATCCCAACCATCGGAACAATGGATAACAATGCTGATACCATTGTGGACAGCGTTTGCAATAAACACTGATGTTTCCAATATCGATTTAACATGACGTAACCAACCACTGCCTTCGACACCGGTCAAAAATGAATTCATTGAAGGTACACGAAGTTCACAAGCTACAGAGAAAAAAAAAATTAGTAAAAAAAACAAATGAACAAATCACTCAATAATAATAATACACACATACCATCGATCAATTTTTGTAAACTTCCACGCATAACATGAATATTTTCGATGCCAAAAAAATGAAATTTAATATTCTCATAATACATTTCATTTTCATATCCTTTTCCTTGTGCTTTATTGACCATTGCATTGATCTGTATGGAATTGATTTTCAATCATCAAATTTACAACAACAACAACAACAACAACAAAAATCAATCAATCCTACTCTTGGTCTTGTATCAACCACATACAAAAGTGGTGATTGTGGATTCGTTCGTCGAATATGATCCAATAATTTTTCATCTTCAATACAGCGAGCATTGAAACCAGATAATGGTTGTGCACAACGACATATTGAAGCCTGAATCAAATTGAATAAAAAAAAATTTAATGGATATTTCACCTCGATGGGAATCATTACACAAACCTTGTTCGTATAAAGATAAGACAATACTGGTAAACGTGATTTTGAACGAAATCTAGCACTACCACGTATAATATAATCATCGGCAGTACTTGGTAGAAATAAACATTGTGGATAAGTTTTACATAATTCATAATTTTTATTCAATGTTGATAATTTCCAATTATTATTTGGACAGCCCATACGTTCGTATTCTTTTTCCAATGATATTTTATTCCATCCATCATCGATAGTGAAAAATTCATTCGATGCAGTATAATGAAAACAATATAATTGTTCAATTCGATCTATATCGAACGAATGAATAGTGTTAGTGATTGGAAAATTAATTTTTAAACTTACTTGGTTGTGATAATTGAATCAAAGATTGATAAATATCATGAGCTTCTTTTTCTTTTGGTATCACAAATGTTATGCATAAAAAATGTTTACATCTCATTAATAATGGTGAACCAATCGTTGTGATGGGTAATTTTTCCACTGATGCAATCAATGAATGTAGGATCCATGTTTCACGTTGTAGGCCAGGATCTACGAATATTAAATGTGTTGCCGTCAAATAAAGTGTGCCGGTAGACGATGAATTTGACACTGTTGGATAACGATACAAGAATCGTACATTTTCAACCTGTAGTTGTTTTTTCAAATGGAAAAATTTTTTCATTTCATTTAAATAGCAAAAAAAAACAAGGAATAAAAAAATAATTATACCTTTGGTGTACGTATAAATTCCATTCTTTCAATCAGTCAGTGATCAATTTTCCATGAATAAATTGAACAATCGATATAATTATTGATGAACAATGCTAATCGATGAATAAATTCATGGCTGCCTGGTAATGAATGTAAATGAATGAATGGTCATAAAATCAGAAAGAAGATTAATGATTAACAATGACAACGACAACAACAACAACAACAGTGGAAAAAATTTAGTATTCGTGGAACAAAAGCATTGTCATTTTTTTATATTTTACTTTATCAATTATATTTTGTCAAACAAGAAAAAAAATACACATGACCATTTGTGTTTAAATAGATTTTTTTTTATTATTAATTCTTAAATCAGCTGATTGTATTTGTAATCTGCATTTGTTTGTTTGTTGATGAAAAATCAAAAAATTCACACACACAATTCATTTTCGTGAATAAAATTTTTGTAATGCATCAGCACATTCTTCAGATGCCCAACTTTGTTGTAGAAAATCACATTCAACTTTGTTGATTTCATGTAACTTTAATCGGGTTTCTTCATTACGTACAATGCCTTTTGCATTGAACATTGAATTTGGATAACATGTTTTCACCAGTCCTTTTTCACTATATAGCCATTCTTCAAGATGATTTTGTAGTTTATCAGATGGAACGATCCGTGATACTAATCCTAAACGATGAGCTTCTTCAGCTGGCATTCGATAATTAAAATACAATAATTCCGATGCTAATGATGGGCCAAATATTTGTGGAAATGTATGTGTCGAACAACCTTCAGGTGATTGTCCCAACGATGAAAAAGGACAGGTGAAAAAAACTTTTTCCGTAGCGATGACACAATCATATAGGCCCAACGTTGTGAACATGATTCCAAAACAAGGTCCATTAATGGCACCAATTAACATTTTAGGAAAATCAATAAAAGCCGATACAAATTCTTGACAAAGGGCACGTGATACATCCATTGCTTTCGGTATATCACCATCAAATTCTTCAATGGCTCGTGGAAAATTATCTGTAAATTTAAAATTTTAGTCGATAATTCCACAAAAAAAAAATCTAGGCAAGCAAAACAAAACTTACTTAAATCATTACCACTGGAAAAATATGGACCATTACCAGTGATGACCGTAAATTTAATACCAGGATCTTCAGCCGATCGTTTCAAAGCATCAATCAGTCCTCGATACATTTCCGGTGTAAGAGCATTATATTGTTTGGGGCGATTTAATTTAATCCAATAAACTTGATCACGTTCTTCGAATACAAGTTCAGGTTCTTTTTGTTTTGTCGATTTATCCGGATTTTCATTCAATAATTTATTAACAACTTCAATGTATTCTTTTTTTGCATCATCTTGTGACATTTCACCTAACGATTTCCATGCTTGATATGTAGCTTTTTCACTTGCACTAAACATTGATGGTTTATCACCGGTACAAGGTCCAATACTACCTTGTTTACAGAGAGCAATTAGTCGTAATTTTGTATCATTATCAGCGTTGATAATTTTTGGAAAATTAGCAATAGCTGTTTGAAAATCTTTTTCAATCTGATCTTGATGCGATGATGATGATGATGATGATGAGAATTTTCGTTTTGTTAAATCATGAATATTTGCATAGCTGATTTGTTGAGCTTTCATCAAACTTGGCAAATAATTTCGATTTGAAATGAAACATTTTTGATTTCTTATCAATGAATTGCCAAAATATTTGGCCAAAATTCCAAGATTTCGATTCATTGTCTTTTTTTCTGAATAATTTCAATTCAATTGATAAACAAACACTTTCAAATGCAGGTACACAAGTAGCTCAGATGTTCAATTTTCTAAAATGGCATCGAAAAAAAAAAATACTTAACGTACTCTATGAAGAGACCATCAAAAAAAATTCAATAAAAAAAATACGGATTTTTTTTCAAAACTTGAAATTTTTTCATTTCCGGAATCATTTGACGGTTTTTTATGATAAAATAAATTTTAAAAAAATTGAAAAAAAATAATTTATCGGGATAGAAAAATACATTTAGTAATACAAATACGGATGATGATGATGATGATAATGTGGATGTCCCGTGTTTGCCGTCGTCGTCGTCGTCGCTGTTGTTGTTGTAGATGATGAATTTGGTTGGAAATTTGCATAATTTGATTGATGAGAATGGTGATTAAAATAATTACAATCAACAGCAGCAGCAGAAGCATCAGCATTGTTCGAAATGGTCATAGATGATGGTGGTGGTGATGAAATTGAATTGATCGGAAGCGGAGAAACAATGTTTCCAGGTATAGAACTATGATTTAAATCATTTCCATATTGTGAATAATTCCAACCACTGTTGCTATAAATTGTTGTTGTTGTTGGTGATGACGATTGATTCGAAGAATGATGATAATGATAAACATTCGAATATAATGAATTTGGCGGTGGTGGTGGTGGCGGTGAACTCGAACATGTGGATGATGATGTAGTTGAGGGTGGTGGTAGCGGCAGGGATGGTGGTTGTGAAACAAACATTCCACCGGAAGATGAGGAAAATTGTTCATGAAAATTACCAAATTTATGAAATATCGTTCCAAGGAAATTATTCGAATTTTGTTCGACTGGTTGACAACAACTACTGGTTGTGGTTGTTGGCGTTGTTGTTTCAGATTTTCTCGAAATATTAAATGTTTGATTTTTCGAATATATCGATGAATCGTGTGATGATGATGATGATGATGTGGTGATGATCATCGGTTTGATTGTAGACGGTGATGGTGATTTGGAATCAAAATTTGAATAGGAAAAATCTATGGATGAATTCGATCGAGATTTTGTTCGATCATTTTGTTTTTGTTGTTTATCATCATCGACTGTATTTCCGATAAAATCTTTCGATACTGAATCATATTTAACATTACGAATTTTTTCTTCACGTCTCCATTTAGCACGACGATTTGAAAACCATACCTGTATACGTGATTCAGGCAGATTGATTTTTGTGGCCAATTTTTCTCTAGCAAATATATCCGGATAATGTGTACGTTCAAATTCTTTTCCAATGCATTCAATTGATATTCAGTAAATGCAGTACGATTACGATGAAGTTTTTGTGTAACTTGTTCAGCAGCCATTGTCATCATTGGTGGAATACATTCGATTATCATTATCCTCATGATTGGACATTGTTGTTGTTGTGGTATTTGTTGTAATTATTAAATTAGAATGATGATGATGACCTTGATCATTTCGGTAATTAAATTTACCCGATGTATTTGATCGACGATTCGTTTTTGTTTTCAATAATGATGATGATGATGATGATTTAATAAAAGATTTTGATTTCATCGTTCGTTGTTGCTGTTGTTGTTGTCGTAGTCGGTATAAACATCTATCAACAACTAGAAAAAAAAATTGGTAAAGAAATGGTCAATCAACAGGTGAAGATAATTTAAACGACAAATGTTTCTCTCTCTCTCTCTCTCTCTTTCTGTATGTTTATCTCTCCACGACGGTTTTTGGTCTATAGATCTATCGGTAGGTAAGTCGGTTATGATCAAAGTGAAATGAAATAATCAGGCATTAATCTTGAAATAATTACGATGATGATGATGAAGATTCGAATATCAGGTTTTTTTTTGTTGTTATAAATCACAACAACAACAACAACAACAAGATGATAATGATTGGCCATGCTAAAGATTTATCATCAAAGAAAAAATTGACCGACGATTATCGTTAAAACTGTGGTCGATGATGATGATGTGTGGAAACATGAAATAAAAAGACCAAACAAACACCAACACACACACACACAATGTCGATGAAATGGGTGGCAAAATGATCAAAAAAACGACAAGAACAAAATATTCAAATATCGATATAAATCGATGACAGTCGTGGTCAAATTTTTTTTTGAAGAAAAATAATCTTGTTGTGTTATCACAAACAATCATCGAATACAGAAACTTTTTTCCCAAATAAAACAATATAAAAACATTCTCGATTCTCGATAATGATGATGATGATGATGATGAAACATTTTTTGAACCTGAACTAAAGAAACGAAGCTATGATGATCATGATGATGAACGCCTGCTGTCCATCCCTTATTATTGTTTTAAGCTCCACCATGGGATGTGCTAAAATCATCATCATCATCATCATATTATCTATGGAGAAAAAAAAAAAGAAGAAGAAAACTTGATTATTTTCTTCTATATGGATGTGATATTTAAGAAAAAAAGTTTTTCCACCATCTAGTGGTGGTGGTGGTGGTGGTGGTGGTCAAGTAGTAGTCTAATCCTTCCTTCAGAAATAATCAACTCTATAATGAAGCAAAATTTGGAAACTTTTTCGAATATATTCAAATCATTCAGTGGCCATAACAATATTTTATTCTAGAAAAAATCTATAGATGGATCGCAATGATAACCATGAATAATAATCGGAAAAAAACAAAACAAAACGTTGAAGCGATTAATGTCAAAAAAAAAAATGTTGACAACGAAACTGAAGACCAAAGACAAAGTGGATGAAAAACCAAAAACAAAAACCAAAAAACAATCAAACAAACAAGAAAACATGTCACAGATTTTATCTACTCTAAGGTAATAATAACGACAAAATCTTATTATCGCATAATTATTAATAATAAAAAAAAAAGTTTTCTTATCAAAATTGTTCACTTATACAATTAACCAAAAAAAAAAAACAAACGAAAACAAACGAGACACACACACACACACACACACACATTTGAATATATTGTCTATTATGATTATGGTCAAATGATGATGACGACTAAGACAACGACGACGACGACGACGACAGGACATAGTGATGACACATGTCTATGCAAAAAAAAAAGATAAAATATTTGTCCATCTCTCTCTCTCTCTGTGTGTGTGTGTGTGATATTTATCTATATATATCAACCGCGTGTCAATAAGAATTGTTTTTGGTTGTTGTTGTTGTTGTTTTGTCTGATCATCATCATCATCATCATCATCATCATTTATGACAATTTGAAGAATTTAAACTGACACATTTCACCTGAAGATTTACATTGCGACCAGATTTATCTAACCAGAATGAATTTTTCATTATTTCACCCATAGAAAACACACATTGTATTCAACATTTTTTTTTCGGTTATTTTCAACAACAACAACAACAACAAAATCAACAATTTTATTTCTAATTCATTTTGATTAGCCAAACGATGATCATGATGAATAATGTCCATCCATCCATCCATCCATCCATGCCGAATATTGTTCCAGTTGATCTGCCGACGATGACCACGAACGACACGGTAATCACACAGTTGTTTAATCACAGATGATGAATCCGTATGTAATATGTTTGGACATTTAGAATGAAAAAAAAAATCACTAGTCTTTTTTTTCATTTGATTTTTCATGTCAATTCTAATTAAGATCGATGCAATTCTTCTATGGTTTATCATTACTTGATTCCTTTACATTTTGTGAAAGAATTACATATTACAAACAACAAAAAACATCAAATCTTCTGATTTTGGCTAAAATCTAAATTTTGTAATGATCAAAAAAAAAAAAAAAATTCCAAATAATCGATTTGTTGAAAAATTCAAAATGATTCAAAATGGATGATGATGGTAATCAATTGTCATCACATCATCATCATTACAATGGGCAATCATCGAGATATGAAAACGAATCATGATCATCTCTTTCTGAATTTTTCTCTCTTTAGCAATCAATTTTCCTCATTCATAATGAGGATGATGATAACTAAATCAACATGAAACAAAAAGACAAACTTTATGTGTGTGTTTATTTCTATCGATCAATCGATAGAAATAAGAAAAAAAAGATATAGATTATTACATTAAACCATAATCATTCATTCATTCATTCATACATGCAGCTGCAATCAATCATGATCATCATCGATAATCAGCAGAAAATGATCATAATGATGATGATGTCGGCGACTGAACAAAACCAAACGGATAACCATAATTCGACATTGATTGAAAACATTGTCGAATTTTTTTCTCTGCTGCGCGCTATGCCAATTCAAATATTTATTCTTTTTTTTCAGCTTCAAAAATTGATATTTTAATAACTCAATTAAATTTAAAAAAAATGTTACCATTACTTTATCTATGGAAGAAAACAGGCAAAAAATTTTTTTTTTTTGCCTGTTTTATACTAGATTGTCCGATAATGGATGAGTGAGTGATTCATCATTTTGAATTCCTGTCCATCTAATATTTCATATAAATATTTTTGATCAATTAAAAAACAATCGATTAATCTATAATCGATCGATCGATTGATAATAATGATCCATGATCTCGTTTTTCTAGCAACAACACAAAAAAAAAATGAGAACATCATCATGTGATGCACACACACACACACACGTATATCCTGCTGGTTAAATACCAAAAAGATACACACGTTTTCAAAAAAAAAAAATTGCAAAATTTCATCATAGTAAAATACAACCAGGATCACAGTATCACATAGATTTTCGGCTATATAGCCACCATTAATATTGCATGAACGAACGAACGAAAAAAAAATGGATAACCGTATATGTAAGTCTCGAGGTTTTTTTTTGAATGAAAAAAAAATCGTCACCACACAAACACACACACACACACACACCACGGCATTTTTGTTTTGTATCAATATCTAAATCTAAAATACTGAACAAAGAAAACATGCTGACTCTATATAATCACCAGCAAAAAAATTGACGATCATCCATACCACTGCCACCACCATTTAACCATCATCATCATCATCATCGTCACCTCAAGCATGTCTAGTCTGGTCTGGTCTAGTCTGGTTAACAAGATTATATGAGTTACTGTTTTTTTTATTTTTTTTGTTATTTCGTCTTTGAATTGGATTCATTTTTGTTTGCTTTTCTCGTTTCGTTTGTTGATCATGAACATGATGATGATGATGATGATGATAAAAAAAAAACGCGTGCACATAAAAAACAACAAAAAAAATAACTAAAAGGAAATGAACATCATCATCATCATCGTTTGTTACAATCATTGAATGTTGCTTATTCATTCATTTCATTTCATTCTATGAAAATTTTTAAACGACGACGACGACGATGATGATAAACAACGTATCGTCTCGTTGAAAAAAAAACCAACGTGGTTTTCTCTTCTTTTTATCATTTGCTCAACCGACAACGACAACGACAACAACGACGACGAAGACAACGGTGGCAAACAACGATCATCATCACACATCAAAGCTTCAGCTTCAATCGTCGATGACTTTTTCCCTTTGATTTCATAAAGAAAAATCATCACACTGTGTGTGTCACACCACACTGCGCAACACATTTTGGACATTGACTTTTTTCTTCTTCATTTTTTTGTTTCGTCAAGTTTTTTATTTTTATTCAGAAATAAAAAGACCTGGTGAGTGTTAATCAATGATTTTAATTGAAAGAAAACAAATCATTATCAGTGGTCAATAACAAATCAAGTTTTATTTTTTGATACCTGTATATTGGTCGATTCGATGTAGCTGTGTTGTTGTTGTTGTTGTTTGTTGTTGTTGTTGCCATTGCCATAGTCGTTGTCCTTTGTTCGTTGACGTCATTTTTGTTTTCTCGTAAATATCAATTTCAGAGAAATCAAACTTTAATTCATCGTCATTTGAAGAATTCTTTTTCGCAAGGATAAAAGAAAATCCCTGTACGTTTGTTTTCAACTTTTCATCATCCTTGATCAATTTCAATCAATCAATCGAATCGAATCAAATCAAATCAAATCAAAACATGTCGAATGAAAATCAATCATCATCAAGTAAAACAACTGGAACGGAATCATTATATCAGGACAATTGTTTCACTAATTGTCTATCATCATCGTTGCCATCATCATCATCAGGTGGTGGTCAACAACAAACCAGTGATGGTTTTCATCCTATCCGTTATTCATTTCAGAAACAACCATTTGTTATCGGTGTTGCCGGTGGTACAGCATCGGGAAAGGTATATAATCGATATCAATCGGAAATGAATCAATAATGTAATTTTAATCCATCCAAAATCAACAATAGTCGACAGTATGTTCAAAAATCATCAAACGACTTGGACCAATTGATCCAAAATCCATTTATTTATCACATGAAAAACGTGTTGTTCGTATTTCACAGGATTCATTTTATCGTAAATTAACCGATGAAGATCGTCAAATGGTTGACAAAGGAATGTTTAATTTTGATCATCCATCAGCGTTTGATGTTGATCTGATGGTACGTACATTACGTGATGTTTGTGATGGTAAAATGGTTCGTGTACCAATCTATAATTATAATGAAAATGAAATGTAAGTTTTTTTTTTGTTGAAATACAAAATCACAAAACAAAACAAAAATTCAAATTGTTTTTTTTTGTGTTAAAAAAAATAGCAGCGACAAAGAAGAGATAATTTATCCGGCTGACGTAATACTTTTCGAAGGCCTGTTGTTATTTTATTTTCCTGAATTACGTCAAATGTTTCATATGAAAATATTTGTCGATACGGATCCAGATACACGACTATCACGTCGTGTTATACGTGATGTTAAAGAAAGAAATCGTGATCTAAGCCTAGTGTTGGCACAATATTTGAATTTTGTTAAACCTTCATTTGAAGAATTTTGTCTTCCTGTAAGTGTATATAGTGTGTTTGAATATGACCCAATCAATCGATTAATTCATTTATTGATTGATTGATTATTTATATAGACAAAAAAATATGCCGATATAGTTGTACCACGTGGACCTGATAATGAAGGTAATTTTTATCAATTGATTTTTTTCGCTATATTTCAAACAATGTTGCATGTTCATAATCAAAAAAAAAAAAAAAAAATTTGGCCGGTTATTTCAAAGGGGTGGTAAAAAAAGGGTTAAATTTTCAAAAATCATACTGACACACAAACAAATGCACAGAGACAAAAAAAAAAAAATATAAAGAATCTAGGCCAATGTTATTTTGACTACAGATAAAAAAAAACCAAACACGCTACACACTTCACACTACTCTTATCTCTACTTATCTTTTCTTTTCTTTCTTTATTATGATGAAAATGATGATGATGACTTATATTATGCTTTTTCATCCCATCCAAACAAAAACAACAACAACAACAAAAAAATATTTATCATCAAGTGGCGGTCAATTTGATCGTAACACAAATACATTCGGTTGTTGATCCTACAATACGACATCGAACAATAAAATTTGGCCGATTATCATTGATTAATGATAATGGTGATGAATTTAAAAATTCACCAAAAAGAAAATTATTGTCATCATCGTCATCATCATCGTCGACATTATCATCATCATCATCGTCGACATTGTCGTCATCGATGGTTGAGAAACAAAATTCTCTTATTAATGGCTCAAACATTGTTAACGAAGAAAAAGGTGAAAAACCAATCAATGGTATATTGAATAAAACAACAAAATCGATTCCGGTTCAAATTCGATATCCTAATAATGGTGGTGGTGTTTACACCAATGGTCATCATCATCATCATCATCAAGCATGTGGTTTATTGGCTGATAAAATTGATGATCTATATCTATCATCATCAGCACCATCTTATTTAAATAATGGAACCATAAAATTCACCACCACCAATCATAAACCATTGTTGATGGTCAATCATGATGATAATGAATTGAAAAATGATCTGGCTTTTCATCATCATCATCAAAATCATTTAAGGCCATCAAACCAATCATCATCATCATCATCATCATCGACGATATCTGTTTCATCGACAACAACAGTAACCGGTGTGGAAAACACCAATAATGGCCAATCGGCTAAAATTTTAATGATTGCAAGCCGTTAAAAAAAATTTATTAGACAAAGTATTTGTGTGGATGGATGAAATTTTATAAATCAAAATTTTACAACAAAACAAAAATTTCAAAAAAATTTTTTAATTTTACACAAAACAACAAGCAAACATATATTGATTTTATTGTGATTGTGATTTTTTTTCATTCATTCTTCTCAAAAAAAAAGTAAAACAAAAACTTTATCTTATCAGATTTTCCACCACTATAGGATGGATTTGGACATTTTGAGATTTATAAATTCAAAAAAAAAAAACCAAAAAAAAAATCTGTGATTTTCTAGCTTTCCCTCTCTCTCTCTCTCTCTCTCTCTCTCTCAATCAATCAATCAATCGATTAAACCGGGTAGAATTCAATGAAACAAATCAATCAACCATTTTTTTTAAACCGGAATATGAAAAGGAATTCTGTAGGGAAAATTTTTTTTATAAAAAAGTATTTTTTTTTATTACTTGCATTTTCAATTTTTTTTTGTAATCTACAATAACCGAACCGGGCCAATATTTCAAAATTTTTTTTTTTTTGTAATAAATTTTCTTTCTTTCTTTCTTTTTTACTTTCAATTTTTGATTATGAACAACATATATTTTTCATGTGATATGAGATGATGCAACATTGAAATGTTTTTTTTTCAATTTGAATCAAAATTTATTCGAAACTTATTATTCACAATCTATTTTCTTTCTTTCTTTCTCTCTCTCTTTTTTTCCCATTTAAAACACACATACACACACACACACACACACACAAACCACTATTATTGATCAATCAATGCAGTTGCAATCGATTTCATTGTACAAACAATAAGAGATTTGATTACAAATAAAATTAAATTTCAAAAAATCATGACAACAACAACGACGACGACAAACAACAACAACAATGATAACAATAGTGGTTCAAATTCGACACCTGTATCACCTGTTGTCAATAATAATGAACAAATGACAATTAAAAAATCAAATCATCATCACCATCATCATCATAGACATCGAAATCAATCGAAACCAATGGAAATTATACGCACTAGACATAATAGTGATTCAAAAGAGGACATTTCATATAATCGATTAAATCCATATGAATAAGAATAAATCTCATTATCAACCGAAAGTCACATCATCACATGTAACATTGATTTCACCATACTCACCGATGATTGTTGCTGTGTCAATTGTGATTGAATTTGATTGACCATCTTGTCCAATGTCATCATCACTTGATATGCTTTGATCATACAATTTTGATTTAAATCATCAATGATTATGTCTGTGTGAAAATGAAATCAAATTATTTATAATAAAAAAAATCAATATCAATCCAAACCTTGAAGCCAGATTTTAAAATCAATCATTTGATTTGATAATTCATTTAAAAGATAATGACCAGGTGTTGATTGTAAGACAATCTTAAATGTTTGAATGATTGCTGAACGAACATTGCTGTTTGAATTTTGAATAAAAAAAATGCAAACAGTAAATTAAATTGAAATTGTAATCAAACACAAAAAACAGCGAACCTTTTCGAATGATTACGATAAGAATAAATGAATGGCAATAATTCTTTTGACATTAACATTGTTTGTGAATGTTGATGACAATTCTGTAACAGGATGCCCAATGCCAATATTAATGATTCAACAATGAATGAATCGATATCGTTGATTTTCAATTTTAAATCCATTTTTTCAAAATCACGTAATAATGGAAAGAAAAAATATTTTGCAAATGGCACGAATCGATTCGATGATGATGACATTGTTGATGATTCTGAATGTTTTTGATGATAAATTGGTGAAATAAATCTTGTATTGGATTTTATTCGCTGTTCGATTATGGATTTCCAATTTTGCTGTTCAGAACGATCACCATCATCATTATAATCGGTATCGATAGTGAAAAAATCACGTTGAAATTTTTGATTCTTTTCACTGATTGATAAAAGTTTCTGACTGTTTTCTGGAATTGGTTTGATAAATTTATCATGATCTTTATATTTGAATGGCTGTAATTGACACAGTTCTTCACTGGCTTTTGTCAATACAGCAAGAACATCTAATCGATTCTGGATGGATATATACGGTGCATAGAAACGATCAGCTAAATAGCTGGCAACAATTTTTGGTGATCCAACACAAAGTGCAATCAATGAATTCAGTCGTAATTGATCGAAATTTTCAATACCACCATTATTATCTAAATCTACAAGTATTTTTGCCAAACGTAATGATACCGAATCCAATTGATTATAATGATCAGTATTGGCACGAATTATTTTCTCAGCTGATTGTAGACATTTTTGTTTCCATTCAGATTTTTCGTCATCACTACATAGTCCTTCAATCAAATCTTGCAGATAGATGGGCCGCTGTTTAGAGCTATCAATCAATAGGATATCTTGAATATTTTTCTGATTTTTCAATATTGAAGAAGTGCCCAAATTTTTCTTTGTAAAACGAACATCATCACCGATTGGAATATCATTTGAAATATCATATGGTTCTAGATCATCATCGTCGTCATCATCGCTATCAAATGTTGTTGATTTCATCATATCCACTATATTAACATTATCATCAGTAGTAGCAGTGGTTGTTGTTGTTTGTTCATCATCATTGGTCATCATAGATTGTGTGGAAATTTCGTTTTGATTTTGAACATTATCAAATAATTGATCCAAATCGAATGAACCAAGATATTTTAAATGTTTACAACAATCATCATTTTCTAATGCATCAAGTTCTGGAAATTTTGGCAATTCAATATCGATAGAATTGAATCGAATGAAAAGATCAAATAGAATGACTGATGTAGTGAGGCCAATATTACGAAATTCTTGCTGTGAACAAGCCAGATTTATTGTCGAACCAATAAAAGTTGATGATTGTAATTTTTTGATAATTTTTTCCATATCTTTGACATTGCTTTGATTTTCTGATAATAATAATAATCTTGTAAATAAAATCATTAAACGACAAAAATAAAATTGCTGTTGATATTGACGATAATTGAATGCATTAGAATTTGACCATGCATCCATTACATTTAGTGAAGCATTGATGAACCACTTGCGATTCGCACGAAATAAATAGCCCAATAAATTATAGATGAATTGATCATCACGATTATTATTATTGTTATTTTGATAAACAACCAATGGACAATGATAAATGAGAATGAATTTGTTTGTCAATAGAAATTCAATTTTCGATAATAATGAATCATGATGTTTGTGTAGATAATCGAATGGAAATAAAATTTCCATCGATTTAGGACTAGATGAATGATGCAATATCATTTTGAATAATGGTTCTAAAAATTTAGACATTTCAGAAATGGTTGGTCCATCATCATCATCCTCTTCACGGTGATATGAAAATAGAATATGTTGTGTAATGATCATCCATCGAACATCATCGATTAATTTATTGAATAAATTTTCAAACAAATGAATCCAAATCAATTCTTGATAACCACGTAGACACAAACGACGTATAATACAATGCATATGGTGCATAATAAATGATTCCATAGCTTGTTCAACTCGATATATTCCATCAAGAATCTGTTGCAAAACCCGACAAAGTCGGGCAATGTAATTTTTTGTTTCAAATTTATGTGGATAACCAGGACCATATAGATTTGCAATCAATTCGGGAAATGATACCAAAATGTTGATAAATTTATCCAACTCAAATGATGAATATTTCATCGTTTGTTTCCGGATAGATGTTGTCATGATAAGATTTTCAAAATTTTCCGATTCAAAAATGACATCGATAAGAATCGCAATCATTTTATCACGTCTTAATGATTTTTCTTTTTCAATCAATAATTTTTCAATAAAAACATTGAATTTGATGATTGATCGAGACGATAGAATATACTGGTGAAATTCATCATATTTTTCAGCATCATTTTCGATTCCATTCTTTAATCGATCAATATTTTGGGCAATATTTTCAAAATTATCTTCGATCGAATCCATGATTGATGATGAAATGTAAACAAAATTTTTTCAAAACAATGTGCTCGACGCTATTCATAAATGTGGTAATAATATAAAAAATCGATTTTAATTTTCCAGATATGTTAAAATCAATAAATCAGTTGAAAAAATGACATTATCAGCTAATAAATCTTTCAAATGATGAGAAAAACAAAAGAAATTCTTCTGTTTTTCACAACATTTTCGTTGATCATTCGTATCGATTAATAATCGTTCACTAGTAAGAATTAATTTTGGTGCATTCCATTGATTATTCTTGTTGATCAGTGACCATTTCTGTGCTAACCAATCAACACATTTACCAATGGACCATTCACGGCAAAGAAATATTGGTTCATCACGAAATTCTTTACATTGTTGATTGTAGCCAATTTCATTTGCAATGAATGAAAGATAAAAATATTCACGTTCTTCTTGCGGCGTTGATTCAAGACCAATGGCTTTGGATTTTAATTTCATTAATGCCACTTTCAATGCTAATGGATTATTTTTGGCACCACGATTTTTTACATTCATTCCCGGTTTATATACCGACCGTATTTTGGCTAATATTTCATCGGTTTTTGAATCAATTTTCTTGTCATCGATTTGATTCGATATGAGTTTCAAACATTTATGATCCACTTGATGACGATGATTTAAACAAAATCTTTTCATACAATGATTACAAACTGATGATTGTGTAATTTGTACGGAATCTATGCAAAAATGGCATTTAATAAAATCATCATTTGATCGATGATCATTGTCTTGATTGGATTCATAACGTTTTTCTGCCACACATTCATGTGAAATTCTATGATCTTTGCTATTTCAAATGGAGAAATCATCATCATTTTCAGAATCTTAGAATCATCAAAAAAAAAATTACCAGAAAAAATTATTACAATCAACACATTTGACTGGTAAATAATCTAAATGATGATTGTTTTCAAAAGAAATTATTTGAAAAAAAAAATTTTTCAAACAACAAAAAAAATTATTACCCAAAATCGAACAAATGGAACAATGTTGACCTAAATGTGGTAATTCGGCCATGATTAACGAACAAAAAAAAAATTTAATTTCGGAATTCAAAGTTTATAAACAAAAAAAAATCATTTGTCAGCATTTTTTTTTATTGGTCAGTTTATACTCGACAAGTTACACACATGTGTACATTAAGATGTTGTGGTGACATTTGCGAAAAAAAAAATTTCAAAATTCAAAAAATTCATCATTTCCGATAAATAAGCAATCAATCAAATCCAAATTGTTGTTAGTAGTAGTAGTAGTGGTGGTTGTCCAATTATTATTTTGTGCATCCATTTTGTTGTGATGAACCACCACCACCATCGGCATTTCGTTGTGTTAATAATAGGCCAAAACGTTTTTTAATCATAATTCTTTCATTTGCATAACGATCATCTGGTGAAAAACGAGCTACAAAAAAAATAAATAAATTTAGAACAAAAATTATGGCACTGAACAAACAAACAACATTCGCTTCATAATATACCTGGATGAGCCGAAAATGTTGGACGTCCAAATGGATCAACTTTGGCCATAGTATAAACACGTTTATTGCTAGTATCATCCAGATAATACATTAGATACATTTTATTTTCTTTTGTGTAATTAATCGATTGAAAAACCAAACCAAACAAACAAAATTAATTTGAATCAAAATTGATTCTTTTTTTCTCTTCAACACACACACACACAATATATGTGTAAAAAAAAAAAAAATGACCATGTGCTCATGGCAATGCGCATGCTCAGAATTTTATTTTCAAAATTCATAAAATATGTAAACAGATTTTTTTTGTTTGTTTTTGTTTTTGTCTTTGGAAAACAATTTTTATTTTCAACTACAAATCAACCAAAAATACACAGCAAAACAAAAAAAAAAAAAATTACAGAGAGAGAGAAAGCGATCGAATGATGATCAATGTAAATCAATACGTAAAACATATTTAAAATTATGGCGAATAATAGCGAAACCGATGCCGGTAAAAAATGACAAAATTGAACAAATCAAATGAATAACGGCAACAATTTTCAAATCATAACGTATGGTTGTATTTGTCAGCCAATCACCAGCCAAGATGGCCATCATATCATCATCATCACCATCATTACCATCATGTTGATCAAAATAACAGCTAAACATGTTGAAAAAATAAATGGCAATGATAAAATTTATAATGGCAATCAATGTGAATAGAAAAAAACTTGTACGACAAAAATTACGACGAAATTTTGTCGTCTTGATTCTTGTACATAAACATTGTATGATCAATAATAATAATGAAATAACACTGGTTATAATGGCAACAATTAATGATAGATTCACTTGAATCTGGCGATGATTCCAACATTGTGGTCGTGGAAATAATAGATAAATATAAGGCCATATCGATGTTGCCAATATGATCAATATGATCCATGTTAGATAATAAATGGCACCTAAACGAATCAATCGTATACGTCGTTCACGATTATTATTTTGATTTTGATAATTTAACATTGATTTTGGTGTCAATCGTTGACAATGACAATGATGATGATGATGATGATGATGATGTCCTTTTGTCGATGGTGTCATTGTCGTTAGACTTGTTGATTCTTCAATATTTGATGAATCCATTTTTGTGTGTGTATGTGTATGGGCGTGATTTGAAATTATTTAAATGAAAAAAAAAATCCTCGGTTTTCAATTTTTCTCTCTCTCACACACACAATAAATTATTTATAGAAAAATGAAAAAAACAAAGCAAAAAGTGTGCAATGTGCGGTAGAAAGCCACACAGACGAAGAAAAGTGAAAAATTTTTCAATCCATGGATGGAGGTTTTTTTGTTCAATAATTTTTTCTCTGATGAAAGATTTTTCTATTTTGTCAATCCCAAACACACATGTGAAAACACTTTAAAAAAACGAGGGCAAAAAAAATGAAGCAAACTTTGTCTCTCTGTGTGTGTTTGTTTGTTGTTGTTTTTTGTTGATTAAAAATGATGTTGTTCAACAAAAATGAAATGAAGTGAAATGAGATGCGAAAAACATAAATTCGACTTGTCAACTCTCTCTGTTCGTCTTGTTCTTCTTCAAAAAACTTGACAACAATAAATTATTTGTGTGTAGTTTTTTTTTTTTTTTTTGGTTTGATCAGTAAAGTTTTGCCAAGACCAGCGTGAAATGATGATCATAATAACAATAAAAATTAAGTCAAAAGAGGCAAAAAGTAAGAGACACAAATCTTACACACACACACACACTGAGAGAAAAACATTTCAAAATTCAGTCATCCGTTTTTTGTTTTACATCATCATTGTTATGTTTGGTTTCCATGTTTTTGATTATTATGATGATGTCGATGATATTTGCTGTTTACGGCTGTACGGACGACAGAATTCAATCTTTAAACAATCATCTTATAAGTTTTTTTTTCATTCTGGGAAAAATGATTTTCTTTTGTCTTTTCTTGGCGGTGATTCAGTAACAGCAGCAGTAGTACAATTTCATTGTGAATTTGATTTAAAAAACATCAGTAGACATCATCATTATGGCTAGGCTGTCATTAACGTCAAAATGAAACGAAATAAAATCATCATCATCATCTGTTTATTACAGAAAATAGAAAATGTAAAAAAAAAACAAGAAAATTGATTAATTATTCATTGTAAAGCATCTGGAAAAAAAACTAAAAAAAATGAATCCAGAATCAAATTCTCTCTGCGTGTGTGTGTGTGTGTGTGTGTGTGTGTAACTTTGAAAAAAAAATCATTCCATTCTGATTGATCTGATATTGATTTCGATGTTTTTTTTTTTACTACCACCACCAAAACTGTCACAACTTGTCAAAAAGAAAAAACAAATGTTACGCCTTTATTTGTTTTGTTTTTGTTGTTGTCGTTGTCGTTGCTGTCCGGACATCATCATCATCATTGCCACAACCACTAATGCACACCACCACCACCACCACTAACCACCACATCATTATAGACATCATTGTTGATTGTCATCGAAAAAAAAATATGATATGATCTCAAACATCTGACGATGACGACAACAACAACAACAACAGCGAAAAGTAGAATAATCGATATGACAACCAAAAAAAAATTCTTCATTCATCCGGTCGAATGAATGAATTAGGATCATATACGACAAACACACACACACAGACATATGGAAACATAATTGTTATTTAGATGGTTTTTGTTGTTGTTGCTGCTGGATTTCCGGTTTTGTGTGTGTGTGCGCGTGTTCGTCTACTAATTATTATAAATGTCCTGGATCATAAATTCAATTTTTTTTTCATTTTTAAATGAATAAATGTCAAGCTAGGAAGTTTGACATGAATATAAATAAATAAATCATTAAAATGAAACGAAAGAAAAACTTTATGGTCTAGAAAGAAAGAAAAACAAACAAACAAACGAACGATATATCATCATCATCATCAAAATCAATCGATCGATCGATCATGATAATGTAAACAACAAAAAAAAACAAACACAAAACACGCACATTAAAAAACAATGAAAACAGGTAGAATATATGCAAAATGATCAATAATCAATATATTGAAATATCAAACAGAATAAAAAACAAACAGCAAAAAAAAAATTGATACAGTAAAACATTGACCAAATTGTTGATTGACTTGATCGACTTGATCAATTGATCATTATCATTACCATCACCATCACCATCACAACAAACAAACAAAACGAAAATGGCAACCAAATGACTGACGATCGATCGATTGATAATGATGATGATGTTTGACGGTCATTGTAAAAAGGGAAAAACAAAATTTTCCACCTTCATTACTCACCAGTGGAAAAAGTGAATGTTTTGAAAAAAAAAAAAAAATTTTTTCGTTGTGAAAATATGAAAAAAAACTGGTTTACATTTTTTTTTTTTTAGCTAGTGGCCATCATCGTCGTGGTAGTCGTCATTGCCGCCGTTGGTTATTTTTTTCAAAAAAATTATCAAGAAAAAAAATGACGTTTGGCAACAACACATGCAATGTGTACATCCACACTGGCACACAAGTGATGTGAATAACTAGAGAAAAGGCGTCATACGAATCATCGTCATGATCATCATGATCATGATGATGATGTGATGAGCTAAAAAAAACTTGTAATTACAAAATAGACACATCAAACGCACACACATAGACAAACGAAAAGAAAAACATCCAATGATCAAGAACCATGCGTTTAACCACACACACACACACACAAACAAACAGAATAAGATGTGTGTGTGTGTGGATATTCAATTATTAATCATATCAAAAAAATAGAATTCCGTAGAAAACAAGAATCTTGATAATGGACCATTTCGTTCGATCGTTTATCGGCAAAAAAAAACGTGATTCAATTTTTGCCATTCAATTTAATCATTGATCTATTACATAGATAGATGGAAAGTCAATACTTGTTAAAATTCAAACATAACAACAACAACTAAAAAAAACACAAACCAAGAAAGAGAGAAAATCAACAAATAAACAGCCAGAATAAAATAAGGGCACGATTCTTGAATTCGTGAAAGAGAAATGGAAAAAAAACTAGTCGTGTTGTCGCTGTTGTTGTTGTAGTTGTCGAGAATAACAATGTAATGATAATGATAAAATTTTAATGAATAAAATTATGGTGAAACGAAAAAAAAAAAAAAAGTTTTTGTTCAATTTCAAAAAATTCTTTAAAAAAAATCTTTGAACAAAAAAAAAATTCTCAACAAACGGTAGGTGGTTCGGTTCCGTAATCATTGTTATATTATAAATGACAACAGACAAACGAATGAAAAACAAAGAATTGAATAGTCAAAACACAAGAATACAGAATTCCAGACAACAACAACAACAGTGCGGTAGCAATAAAAATGAGAGAACAAAAAAAAAAAAAAAAAACGACAACAAAGACGATCCGACAAAGAATCGTCGTCGTAATAATAAATGAGAATATATATGGCACAGTTGATGGAGAATGGAGTTTTTTTTGAAATTAATTAATTTATTTATTCATTCGATTCATTCGGTGATTTAAGACGATGTTTTTTATTTCTTTTTTTTTTTTTTGTTTTGTTTGTTTGGATGTTTTTCATCATCACCATAAAGAGAATGGTCATCATAAAATGATCATTTTTTTCACTTACATCTGGTTGGTTGGTTGGTTGGATGGTCGTTTTTTTTCGTACAGCTAAACACACAAATCGCATTACACAATTGACGCAGATTGAAAAAGATTTTCAATCGATCGATCTATGTGGTTTTAGATTACAACCACCATATATATCTGATTACAATCGATAATGGTGAAACAAAAAAATTATCACTGATTGATTATCACACATTTATATTTAGATTATCATTGAAAAAAAAATATTCAATCGATTGACAATTATTTGTTCATGATAAAAAAAAAAAGTGGTGCTGGTGTCGAATGCACAATCTTTGTGGCAAAATTTTTTTTTGTCGTCCACAAACATTCACTGAAATTCACAAACCAAATGATGATGATGATGGATGTTTTGCGCATTTGCAAAACAAGTCAAATTTAGTGAATAGATAGTGATCAGTCAAAAACCAAGTAAACCAAAACAAAAAACTAACGACCAAACAACAACAACAACAACAACAACAACAGCGGCAGAAAAAGGCTAAACAAATATAATGTTCCGCATTATATTCCATAAGTTTCTGATTCTGTAGATCATTTTTTTTTTTTTTTGGTTTGTTTGTGCAAGTGTGTGTGTGTTTTTTTTATGGATGGATCAATCTGGTTAGTGTTTGTTTTTTTTTTTTTTTGTTTCTTAACATGATTTTAAATTGGTTTTTTGAGTTTGAGCCTGTGTGTGTGTGTGTGTATACACCACACTATTGTGAGATTAATGATTTTTTTTTATATTCTGTTTGGATTCTCAAGAATTACAAATATAAAAAAAAATTGAGAAAAAAGTGGGAGAATAATTGACACGCAATGAAATCAATGACGATGATCGCAGTTCATAGTTCATCATCATCATCATCATCATGAAAATGGCAGATTTTAAATCGATAAATATCGATTATGATGATGAATTTTTGGTAAAAAGAAAAGCAAAAGCAAAAAAAAAAGAGATCATTTCCAGACCATGAATTTCAATTAGCAATTTATCCAGGTGAATAAAAAAAAAATGTATGTATGCAAGTTGATTGATTGAATGAATGAAAAACACAGGTAGATATATATGTGGCCTGGTCTGTTTTTTTGTTTGTTTGTTTATCTTAGAAAAAACACAAATTTTTCGCATTTTTTTTTTTTTTTTTTTGATTCTTTCATGGCATAGAATTTGACATTTGATATTTGAAAAATGGAAAATATTCTGGATTTCATCATGACGGGATTCTTCCAACAACAACAACAACAAAAAAGAAAAGAAAACTTTTTTTTCTCGCTGTTGTCGTTTGTTTTTATGATGAAAACATTTCAATTTTTTTTTTTTTTTTGATTCAATGAATAAATTCCTTTTTTTCAATTCTGCGTGCGTGTGTGTGTGTGTGTTTTTTTTCCTGTAACCAAAAAGAAAAAGGAATTTAAAAGCTAAAATCTTAGCTTCAACAAAAAAAAAATAAATAAAAAATACGGTGACAAAATTCAACCAAGCGAAAAAAAACGATCATCATCATCATCAAATGTCATCTTTTTATGTAAGATATACATACACACACAAACATTGAATGTGAAATGGAAAAAAACAAATAAAAACAAAATATCCGACCATTTAAATTCAAGGAAATGATCCAAATGAAATAAAAAAAACTTGTATTTTATCCAAATGATCAAGATCATGATGATGATCATGACGACGACGATGACGACGACGACGTTCATCCCTGGTTAAATAATCGATGATCATTCAGTGTGCTTGCTTTATACGAGACAAAAACACATACTGAATTGATTACACTTCAATCGGTTTGTTTTGTTCCGAGCATACCACACCAATAACGATATTTTATAGTTAAATATATATGTACCACTCCCATTGATGATATTCTATAGAAAAGAATGAAAAAAAAAAAAACAAAATGAACATTGCACGCACAAGCAATAAAAAAATGAATGAATGAATGAACAAATTCTTAAAATGATGACGATGAAAAAAAACTAGAGCACGTTTTTTGTTGTTGTTGTTGTTGTTCGTAGTCATCTTTTTCATTCTCATTCACGTTTGATTCTATTCTGTTTAGGAATTTTTTTTTTTTTTTATTAATTCCCACATTGTTTCAAGTGTAGAATTGAAAAAAAACATAAAGAATTTGCTTCTTCATTTCTACAGGAGAATTCTAGAAAAAAAAAGTTTTTCATTATTATTATTGACACATATGTAAATGAATCATCATATACCTTTTATCATTCAGCAACGACGACGAAAAAAAATGTCAAACTGTTCATAAAATTTCTTATGCTTTCTCTTTTTTCTTCGTTCATATGTGTGATTGAACAAAAAATCACAAATCGCGTTTTATCGAAAAAAACAAAAAGACCGACGGCTAATAAGTTCATTCATTCATCATTCAAGGTCATCATCATCATCATCATTCACCAGCAGCATTGTCGACTCATCTCTCTTTTTTTTCTACTGATCATTATCATCAAATCAACGACGACGACGACGACGACGATCATTCAACATTTGAAATAAAAAAAAAAAATTCTTTTCATTTCATTTCACAACCGTCAATCATCAAATAATAATTTCTTTATTACATATCGACCACATATACACACACGAAAAAAAACATGCCGACCATTGAAGAAGGAATTAAACTTGATTTCAAAGATGTTCTATTGCGGCCAAAACGTTCAATATTAAAAAGTCGTGCCGATGTTGATCTGAATCGTGATTTTCAATTCCGTAATTCGGAACATAAATATCATGGCATTCCTGTCATCGCTGCCAATATGGATACAATTGGAACATTTGAAATGGCTATTGTATTGGATAAAGTAAGTGAAATTTTTTTGAATATTTTTTTTTACGATTGATTTGACATTTGATCTTTTTCTTTTCTTTCTTCTTTTCTTTTCATTTTTCCACTTCGTTGTCATACATCACTGGCAGCACAACTGTTTCACTTGTATACATAAACATTATTCCTTAGAGGAATGGAGAGATTTTGCCCAGAATCATAAGGATACACTTAAAAATGTTGCCGTCAGTTCTGGTTCAAGCCAAAATGATTTTGAAAAATTAAAAGAAATCATCAATATAGCACCGGATATAAAATATATCTGTTTGGATGTTGCCAATGGTTATAGTGAATCATTCGTAACATTCGTAAAAGATGTTCGTGCTGCATTTCCTCATCATACTATTATGGCAGGAAATGTCGTTACTGGTGAAATGGTTGAAGAATTAATTCTTTCTGGTGCTGATATAATAAAAGTAGGCATTGGTCCTGGATCGGTTTGTACTACACGCAAAAAACTGGTGTCGGTTATCCACAATTGTCAGCCGTTTTAGAATGTGCCGATGCAGCACATGGACTTGGTGGTCATATCATATCGGATGGTGGATGTACATGTCCAGGTGATATTTGTAAAGCATTCGGTGCTGGTGCCGATTTCGTCATGTTAGGCGGTATGTTAGCCGGACATGATCAATGTAATGGTGATGTTGTGGTCAAATCGGATGGACAAAAAGTGAAACAATTTTATGGAATGAGTTCCGGTACAGCTATGAATAAATATCATGGTGGTGTGGCCGAATATCGTGCCAGTGAAGGAAAAACCGTTGAAGTACCATATAAAGGTGATGTGGAAAAAACCATATTGGATATATTGGGTGGTTTACGATCAGCATGTACATATACTGGTGCATCACGATTACGTGAATTGCCCATTCGTACGACATTCATACGTGTCACACAACAAACGAATGAAATTTTTCGTCAGCTTGAAGTTTAAAATTCTAAAAAATAAAAATCATCACTTATTTTGGGTGCCAATTCATACACACACACCCACACACATATGATGAAATCAGTACCGTGGCCTTTTTTTCTGTCTGGCATTCATTTTTTTCATTTTATTTTATTATTTTGCCCATTGCCCATTTATATACATAAAACACGTACTTAAAAAATTTTTATGAATTTCAAAAATTTGATGATTTAAATAAAATTCGACAGCTTGTCATATTAAATTTGAGTAGTTGAAATTCACGATGAAACATTTCTATTCGTTTGATTGTTAAGCTTCGTGTTTGTTCAACATGATCATTCGATGCTGTTGTTGATGATGATTGAGGACGATTTATTAAGTTGGTGGCAGCAATGGATTCTTCTGTTTCAAATTTTTGAGGCATTGATTGTCGAACATAATCATCTATCGATGCAAACCATTGTAAACAATCAAAATCATTCAATTGATTCAATAATTTCAATACATAAATTACACCCAAAGCAAAACCATCATCAGTAAACGATGCACCTTCTTGTTTATTTTTTCTTGCCAATTTCTCTTTACAGTGGATAATATATTCAACATAATTCAATGTAGTGGCCGGTAATATTACATAAAAATTACGCAAATGAACATGTTTCGTATCACGAAATGTTGGTGCAAATACTTCGACCAATAATTTAAAATAATCAGTTGCTTCAGAATAATTATCTGCTACCGTTTTCAATACAGAATCTAAATTACGAGCAGCTTCAAATGTTTCTTCAGCTAATTGATTTTCGGTTGATTCTTCTTGGACCATTCGTTCAAATATGGTTTGTTTCAAATCATCAAGATCTGGTACAAAATTGGCAATTTCCGCCGTACAATGTAATGCACCACTACGAAGCATCCGTACAAATCCCATTACATTACCGATTTGTGTAAGCAATTGACGAAATTTGTCCAAATATGTCATACCATCTTTAGCGATGCCAAGTTTACGAATTCCTTTTACAAATTTATCCGCACGTTCAAATGGAAATTTAGCCAGTCTGCCAGAAAGACCATTATTATTAGCCGAAATACGATTCATTTCTTCATTGGACATCATTTCACGAAAATGACGAATATCTTTTATCAATCGAGATTTGATATGTTCTTCATGAAGAAATTGAAATAATGTTTGCAATTTTTTCCGTAGAAATTGATATGCAAAATTTACGGTTGAATTCAATATACCAAAACCATGTGTTTGAACCGAATTCGCCACATGTCGAATGGTAAGAACATTCAGATGTTTGTTTGAAGAATTTCTTTCGACAAAAAATTGATTATTCAAATTATACATGTAAGCTGCAACAAATATATGAATATTACGTGTGATTTCCAATACATCAAGTCCTTGTTCCAATGTTTGCGTTGGCAATTGAAGCGATGCAAATTCCAGACCAAATTTTGAATGTGCAAATCCCAACATTGATTCATATGTTTTCCAATCATGCAATGCTATTGTTGTCATATTGTATGCAAGTTCATTGAGAAAATTTTCAAAATATTTTTTAAACCAAATGATTTTTCGTCCATAAAAAATTTTCATCAATTCTGCGCTTAAAAGTTTTGAAAAATCTTTATAATTCCGTTTGAATGGATTTTTATCGCCAAGTTGAAGATCCAAATGTGTCAGGAATCGTAATTCATCTTCAAAATCTTTACAAACTGGATTTAAAAATTGTAACTTGAATGTACGTAAAACATCATCAACATAAGCTTGTATAAGTTTTTCCGATTTTGTTTCATCATCAATTGAATGTAGCAATGGAATTGAATCGGAAATTGCGGCAAAAAAATATTGTAAATCATTAATATCAGTACAGCCGATGGATTGGCTACCAAACGAGTCGTAAAAATGACGAAAATAAACTTTGATAATTTCATTATTGAAATAAAGATATTGACAATCAAACATTTGACTGATGATGTTGAATATATTCAAAAAGAATGCTAAACGATTGGTGAGTATTTGTATTTTCGTCAAATCATCATTGGTGAAAAGATCCACATTAGATGTACAATAAGCAAAACATAATGATATCAAACTAAAACGTTTCGATGTAATTACAGGTCCATTCAAACAATTAGCACAAAGAATTATTGATGATAAAAGATCCAGTTTTTGTTCGGAATAATTTGTAACATTATTCAGTAGTTTACGTTTTGTTCTGGTCAATATATTCAATATTGCACAAGCATTATATTTTTGATAATGTGTTGTCACTTCGATCAATATTTTCTTGTGTCTTGAAAAAAATCGTTTAATTCCTTGCAACAATATTATTGCTTTACAAAGGGCTATCGTATCGATTTTCGATAATGGACAATTACATTGACAATGAATTGCAATACAATTACGTATTAGATTCGATAATTGTCGTATGTGTTCGAAACCATCTTTCATTAATTGAATATGGATGAACACCTGATTCAAAGCATCACCATCACCGATATCATTATAGAATCCTGAATTGAATGATTGTTCAGTGGTAACTAGCCATTGTGTTATCATCGGCGTCAATGATTTCATTTGATGATCAATAAAACCGGATTTCATTAATAGTTCACGTTGATTAACAAAATGATCAAACATTTTGGTATCGGCTAATTGTCTGGGTAGTGTATACAGAAGCATTTGATCAGGTGAAATATTTATATTGCCCGGAAGATGTACATAGATTATATTGAATTTTTTCTGCTGATCGATCAGTATTTTCAATAATTTTTTATCCGAATCTTTCCAAAACATGTGTATGTATAAAGAGAAAAAAGTCGTTACGGATAAAAGTCGATATTCATCAATAAATTTTTCTTCACTTTGTTCCAATTCTGTGCACACATTACGTATGTAAGAGGCCATATTATCATTTAAATGGCAATTTTTCAATATCGTTTCATTTTCGGCAATATTCAAATTTATTATTGAAACTACAAGGCCTTTGAAAAACATTGAATCGATACATTGAAACGTTCTGTTCATTGTTGTCGATGTGGATGAATGTGTTCCCGCTATTGAACCTTCCAATAATTCACGTTCAATTTCATTGATAATTGTCATTAAAGATTGAATTTCATTTTCACGATTTTCAAGATGATAATGCGATAGATCTCTCAATACGGTTTCCAATGATCTTTTATAATTGAAAATATCACGTCGTATTACTGATGATTGTTGACTGAATACCTGGTCAAGATTGATCAATGTTGTGGCTAGATTTGCGAATGATTCCCATGCAATATCAAATCGAATATTTTCATTTAAATCTGGCAATATTTCTCGTAATGATGTCTGAAATTGTTTATCTTTTGTTTTGACATTTGCATACAAAAGAAATGTATGTTGTTGCATAATCAGATTGGTGGCCACTTCATAGCAACGTTTTACATAACATATTAAATTAAATAAAATTGGCAGTATGGATGCAACAGCTGAAAATTCATCATCTTCATCAATCATTTTGTTTGTATATTTATCATTGTCGGTTTTTACATCCAAAACTATCGCTTCTTTTGCTGCCAAATTGATAACATTATCTTCACGATATAACAGAATTGGACCGATAAATTTCTTGATGCCCATAATGGACAATTCATTCATTTCATCCACCAATGAAGCAAATACTAGCATTAATTTATTCAATTGAGTATTGCCACATGTTTGTAATAATTCCATGAAATTTGTATGCTCTTCAAACAGGATATTTTCATTACGAGCATAAAATTGTCGATGTTCATCGAAAAATGTGAATGAACTAAAACCACTATAGGAATCATTGAAATCAAATTTATCATTAACATTTTCGATATCCGAATATAGTTCATCGATAAATGTTCGATATTTTTTCACTGTATCATGACGAAGTTTGTCTAAATGAATAAAATGAATAGAAATGAATTGATTTTTACACAAAACCAATTAGCCACTTACCAATTATTTCTTGATCCAAATCTGAAGAAGTGGACATTTTTAACAAATTTTTTTCCGGCACGTAAAAAATGAAATGATAAAAAAAAACACCTCTTGATTCAAAACACCACAGATCACCATAAATATACACTCGACAAATATAAGAATTTCGAATTACACAAAAATATCGAATTGACTATCGATAGTCACAATGCGATTGTTTTCGAAAAAAACAATTCTGTTATTTTGTCAAATTGAACACATTGGAAAAAATGAATTTTAAAAATTTTTTATTTCTTATATATACGAAGAATCATGAGAAACAAATCAAAAACAAACAAACAGAAAATAATCACAAAACAATATTAGATGCTAATCACAACAAAGAAGAATAGAGAAAAAAAATGAATATGCTCAAATTCAAACAAAAATGACAACTAATTCAAACAGAAAAAATTCAGAATTTTACGAGCAAATACACATAATGTGAATGTGAATGAATGAATGAATAAGGGATGAATTAAAAAGGCCAAAAGAAAAAAACACCAACATCTGCCATAATTCATGTATATATATTGTTGGTCCAATAGATGGCAGCCATTGATTGATTTTTTATAAACAAACAGAATTTGGTCCCAGAATTGACAATCTTCAATTTGGATGAAAGTTTCTTGGAATTTTTGATTTTTTTTAATGAATGAATGAATAAAAAAATTTTCATTCAACATTATCACCACCATTATCGAATGTTGATGGTGGCCAATAATTATTTTGATATTGCTGCTGTTGCCGTTGTTGTCGTCGTCGTGATTGTGGCGTGACCATTTGATGTTGATGAAGATTTTTCAATGAATCTTTAATCAATGAAAGTTTTTGATTATAAATTTCACGATATGGATGTAATATGTGTGCTAGATTTTGTTTGAAACCAAGAAAACGTTTTAAATCATTATCTCTTGATTCAAGTATATTAATAATTGCTTCACTTAATTTAAATACAATTGCTAATGATTGTGCATCAAGACGATTAATTGATTGTTGTTGTTGTTGTTGTTGATTGCCACTACTGCCACCATTACCACTGCTATTGTTACTATTGATTTTTTCATTAACAAAAATTGATGTCACCAATTTGCCCCAGAATAATTCCATTATGTCATTTTCAAAATTATTTTTTGACATTATTGCGGTTTGTTGTTGACTAGTATCGATTCCATTTGAATAATTATTATCACTTTTTATCATCATCATCATCATCATCTTCTTCTTCAATCACAGTGATTGGTTCATCAATCGATATTGGTATATGATTATTATGATGATCATCATTATAATTCATCATCATTGTTATGATGTCGTCATTATGATTATGATTACTGTTGCCATTGTTGATTCTCGACAATTGAATCGGATGTTCAGCAAAACAATTTTCAAATAAATCATTCGATTGATTATCATTACCATTCACAAATGTTGTTATTGTTGAGGAATTATTATCATCATCATCATTATCATTATTGACATTAACATTGGTTTGGTCGATATTTTCAAAACAAAAACGTTTACGAAAACGTTCGAACCAACTATGGCTTGGTTTGAATTCCATTTTTTCAATACCATTATTATTATTATTATTATCATAATTACCACCGTTGAATGTTGTCATCGTTTCTTGTTGCTGTCGTTTAGCATTTTCAAATAATTTCAATGCCTTATCACGTACTTGTGAATAGCGTATAGTATCGATTGAATAATTACGATGTTTAATCCAATTATATAATGATAATTCAATTTCATCGATAAAATTATTTTGATTATTATTACGTGCATATGAAATTTGATAATATTGATTCTGTACGATGGCACTATTTTTACAGAATGCTTTTATCTGTTCTTTTTTCGAACGTATAGTGCTCACTGTTGATGATGGTAGATTATATTCATGACAAATGGATGAATTTGATTCACCTTTTTCCAAACGTTTAATTATCTCCAATTTCAGACCCAATGTTATGTTTTTACGATTTTTACGTTTTGTTATCATTGTTTTTGGTTTCATTGGTGTCTTCGATGCTGATGTTGATGTGGTGGTTGATTGTGTTGCCGATAATGATGATGATGATGATGAATTTTGTTTTTGCAATTTAGACATTGATGATGATTCGCTAGTTGTCGTAGATGTTCGTTGTGGATGATTATTACGATTCAATAATGATGATGATGATCGGATTTTCGACATTTTTTTTTATTCAGTGAGATTTGATGATGACCAGAATTACAACAAAAACAATAAGAAAAGATGAAGAAAAATTTTGTCCAATTTAATTTCGAAAATCGAAAAAAGACAAAATTTTTTCTGTTTGATTTTTCGTTTATAAATGATATATGAGTATGTTTGTAAGTGATTGATTGATTTTCTTTGATTCGAAACAGAAAAAGAAATGAAAAAAAAATTAACGAACTATGAATCAAAATGAAAAAAAAAATCATACCAAATACAACGACGACGACGACGACGAAATTTTATTAATATAATCAATAATCAATCAATCAGACCAATAATAATAACAACAACAACAACAAACAACAAAAACATGTACGACTCATCGGCAATAATAATAATAATAAACGCACGCATCTACTCATCATCATCATCATCATATTACATCTGCTCGTAAAAAAATGCGAGAATTTTTTCACTTTTCGTGGGTTTTGTGTTTCGTGTTTCGGTGAGTGTTTTGTATGTTTTGTACGTGTGTGTGTGTGTGTGAATGCACACACAGAAACCAAAAGTTTATTTTTTTTTCTTCTTATTTTTCGCGAGCATTATACAGAAATAACGTAAATCTCGTATTTTGATTTTCATTTGATTTGTAAAAAAAAAAAAAAATTAAATCCAAGAATCGAAAAATTCTTGGTTTTGGACCAGAGTTCTTTTTATGGTTCGATTTTAAGGTTTTTCTTTTTTGCTAGTTGAACAGCTTGCGCATGAAAAAAAAACCTGATTATCGACATCACCACGATGACCAAATGTCGCGTGTCAGGTCGAGGATTTTTACCATTTTTTTGTTTTGTTATTTTCCACTTTCTTTGTGTTTCATCTTGGAAATTTTAAATTCAAAGATTCAAGTTATGACCTAAGATGGATGAACACGAGCCATACATTTCATTAGTGGAAAAAAAACGGCAGCTGTTATATTCTAGCTATAGGTGTATCGCGCGCTCGCGACCTTTTTTTTCAACAGAGGGTGGTGAATTCAAATGCTGGTGACCCAAGACATTTACACACACACACACACACACAGACGGCAGATGTTTGATAATAATCTTGAACGCGTGCTACATAAAAATTTTTGTTGAACCAGTATGCATGCAGAACAATAAAAAAAATTTCGCCTTAAGCCAAACACGCGTCTTGACAAGCCAATATATGTATGGCGGCAGTACGTCAATACATCTTGAAATTGTCATCATCATCAACAACAATATATAACTGACCCAGGGTCAATCGAAGGGTTTTCAATTTTTCATTTTTTCGCTTTTCTTTTGTTATCATTTTCTATTTTCGATCCATATGTTGTGTTTTATTATTATAGAAGTGTAAAAATTTCGACCTTATGGCCAATTTTTTTTTCTTTTGGCTCGTGGCCAATAATGGTTTTGGGGTGTTTTTTTCGCTGAAAAAAAATTAAATAAAAAAAATCAAACGCGTGCCAGGTGTCTCAAATCTAGAGAATTAAAATCGATTCATTAAAAAATAAAAAACACGACCAGCGTCGTGATAGATGATGATCATGGATATTTTTTTTTGGTCCATTTAAATTTACCGTTGTTCATGTTGCTATATTCGATTCATTTCATCATTCAGGTGATGCTTATTGAATATCGCCAAAATTCCAAAAAAAAAAAATTTACAGCATCCAAAAATGAGGCCAGAAAAAAAGATCCATAACCAGACCGAGACCCTGTTTTACTGCCCGATTTCATTGACCCTCCATCATCATCATTATCATTATGATTACCATACAAAGGTGGCCAACGTCCCATTGTATGTGTTGGTGTCTGCGCTTGTTTTTCTGCTGTTGTTGTTATATGTATGAATGTCTAAGTGTCAAAGTTCAAAAACGACAGCTGCATGGTTTGGTCAAATTGTTATTGGTGCATTTTTTTGACCATATGTCGTTTTTTTTTTGCTTCACCACTGTTGTATCTACTTTGTTTTTCGGAAAAATGGACAAGATCAGCAGCAACAGCAAAAAAAAATCTGCTATTTAGACCGATAAACTGGATGATTTTGGTTTCATTTCTACTTTGATCATTGATTGATTCACAAGTGCCTTTTCGACCAAAAACAAAAACAAAACCAAAACAAAAACAATGACCATCATTGGAACAAAATCACCACCAAAATCATCGATTATCAAACAATTTTGGCAAAATTATTCATTCAATAATCTGGCTTCACTTTGGTATTCAGTGTTGATAACCTGTTTACAGGTATTTATAATTTAAATTTAAAATTTTCCGTTTGAAATTGAATCCATTCCATGTTTAACCATTTGACAGATTTACATAATTGTACGTGCTATCAATCGTTTTAGTGGATACATTTCATTACCATGGCCAAACAACGATGATGGTGGACAAGCACCACGAGATTCAATAAATTTTTATCTATTTTTCATTGCATCAAGTATATTGATTATACCATTTTTATGATTGTATCATTGATGAAAATTGGCAACTATCCAAATGATGGCCGTAAATTGGGCCATTTTGATATACGAAAATGTCTCCATTATCTTGCAACCAATGATGATGATGATGATGAAACGAATCACAAATGGTATCGTACACTGTGGAAACATTCATTACCGATTGGTCCGATATTACATCTCATAATGGCCATGTGTTTACTATTTCCACGGTTGATAACCGAAGCACAATTGATTCGCCATGGTTTTCTATCCAAAACCAATATATGGAAAACTGATTTTGATTTCATTCTCAAACATTTTGATGATGGAAAAATTTATTTCAATTTTTTCGGTCTGATTCAAACAATCAACAAAACTGAACAGAATTCATTACTGTTATTCAGTGATACGGCCACAACATTAATTGGTCGTTATTACATGAAGAATTCGCATATTTTTTCCAACGATTATGGTACAATAATGTCACCAGAAATGATCAATATTATCATTGCATTATTGATGATAACGGCAAAATATTCATCAGTATTTTGGCGTATAAATAAACAATTTTCGGCCATATTAACATTTCAATTGTTATTGAATTCAATGCAAAGTTTAATTGCCATCAATACGTTTGAAATTGGTTTCAAAATATTCATCTGTGATCCAACACATATGTTGATTAGATTTCGTGAATCATCATCACTGTCATTGATGCAATTAACATTATTGACCATTCTATATTTGGCCACATTACAATTGTCAAGTGTATCGTTATATTGTTATGGTCTACTGAAATATCGTGAATATCGTTATGCAAGGACAAAATATTTTCAACAAAAATATGAAAATTATTTGATGGTCAATTTGTTACCATATTTATTTGCATTAATATTTTTCATCATGATGGCCATCACTGTTGGTCCATTATTCTATGAATATACGATAATTTATTCTGGCAGTCTAAACATTGGTGCCTTATTGATGCTCATTGCAACCATTATCTATTTTTTATGTTGGATTCTAATGTGGATATTGTTGGCAACAAAAACTAGATGGAATTTTTATTATGATGATTTAGAGAATGTTGATGGTGATGATCAAATGGCCAACAACAATAGTAGTAACAATTCATCATTGTTAATAACAAATGATGGAAAATTATTCAAAATCAAAGATAATCTTGCCACAATGGCCATTGTGAATTTTATAAAGGCTAATGGTTTTGAAAAGAATGGCCATTATATTAATATAAATGGTTGTGAATCATTGCAACAACAACATCAACGAATGACCACGACTACAAAAGATTCGAAATTGAAATCTGCATTGAAAATTAATCACCATCATCATCATCATCATGGTACTTTGAGTAAAAATTTTCGTTTTTCAACTAATCAACGAAACGTGACAGATTCTAGCCAAACATCGTACGAAACATTAGAGAAACGAATCAATTTTGATGATCGTGAAGATTCTGATTCTTCTGATAGTGGTGAATATACTACGTTTCATCGATTGAAACGAACTTATTCATTCAATCCAAATGTAAGTTTTGTTTTTTTTGGTTGTTTTGTGTGGTTTTTTTTCATTTCTTGATTTTAAATTTTTTTATCAATAGACAACCCGTGTGAAACAGATGAGAAATCATCATAACGAAACTACAGCAACAACAAATGTTGCCTATGGTATAATGGGCAATAATCCATCAAATGGCAATAACCGAAAAATTGATTCAATGAAAAAAAATAGCCATGACCAAATTAGTGATATATCAAGTGGATTTCATTCTGATGGCAGTAATAGTCTACATTGTTCATTATTGGTCGACGACGACGACGACGACAACAACAATGACGCAGTGTATAAACCGACAACAACGATAAAAAATTCATTTGAAAATTTAATGGAAAAAATTGAAAAAGCCGCAGCAGAACGGCCAACAATTCGTAGTATATCACCAATGCAGAAAACATCAAATTTATTATTGAATCAAATGTTTCATCATCATCATCATCATCATCATGATGGAAATGTCAAAACAAAAAACATACTCAGTACATTTAAACATCCACCATCGACAGTACCAACAACAGCAACGATTGAATCATCAAAATTGATTGAATTTACAGAGAATCCTGATTATAGTAAATATTATTTACCACAACTATAAATAATGATGATGATGAAAAAAAAAAAAAAAAAATCGAAATGGATCGGAAATTCTCTACATTCGAATTCATTTTTCATTCATTCATTTATTCTGTTTTTGTCATTTGTAAATATTGTTATTCTTCTTTTTTTTTTTTTTTTTTTTTTTTTTTTTTTGATTAATGATGATTAAACATTTGATTACAAGAAAAAAATGATAATGATGATGACATAATCTTGTATGGCTATATATTTATTCTGATGGGCCCAAAAAAAAAAAGAAAGAAAGTCAAACCAGGAATTTCCACCAATTTTTTGACCACCAACAAAACTGGTGGTGGTCTATATATACGGCTGGTTTGTTGTTATTTGTTGTTGTTGTTGGTGGGGTTACTAGGTCTCTCGATCTTGTTATCATCATTAAAGCAAATATATAGCGTTATATTCTAGCAAGAATTTTTTTTTTGATGCTCAAAATACAAAGCACACACACACTCACACACACAGTGATCAAGAATATTGAGGGCAACACAAGATTATATTATTATAATAGAAAATCAATACCACAAAAAAAAAAGAAGAATAACATTGTCGATTGTGTGTGTGTGTGTGTTGTCAACAATTTTTTTTTTCTTTCTTTAATCGTTGAAGTTCAAGTTTTTGTGAGAGAATCAAAAATCAAAAATTTGTTGTTAGTTGTATTCTAATATTTATTGCGCTGTCTCTGCAGAAAAAAATTTTGTTCAACAAACAAACAAACAAACATTCGAAATCAATTGTGTCCAAAGATGTGATTGAAATTAATGAAAGAACAGTATCTATATGAGTGTGTTGTCCATTTCCAAACACACACACACACACACACGCTGGTGGACACCTTGATATGAAAAAGTAAATTCCAAATTGAATAAAAAAAAAATGCAATTAACCCGCACATACAAAGATCATCGATTATCATTATTGAAATCATTTCAACATTATCGATGTTTATTCTAATTATTCAATTGTTATCATCATCATTATTATTATCATCAAAAATTTTGACAACAAGAAGAAAATTTTCAATTTTTTTCATTTCATTTTCTACATTTACATTATTTATGATTGATTTTTATTATTGTCAACCACAACAACAAACAAACGAGCATAATGAATATTTTTCCAATATTGAATCACCATCGACCACGATGATGATGATGAAGCCAAAATATTTGAATCGCCATTGTGATTTTGAAAATATTCCAGCACGTGGTTGCCATCTAAGAGAATCATATTGTAGTCTACATACCTGTATTTGTAAACCAGATTTTCCAATCAATATTGATGATCGTTTATGTTTGGCTAGATTAAAATCCATTGGTGATCAATGTGAATATAATCAAGAATGTCAAAATGGAAGTATTTGCGCTAATGATGGAACAAAAACAAAAATGAAAATTTGTCGCTGCAAAATTGGCTATGTTTATTCGGCAAAAAATCGACAATGTATAAAAGGATTAAAAGGTGCCAATTGTACGAATGATGACGACTGTTTTGGTGATAATTTATTCTGCAGTATGGTATCATGTGAATGTAAATATGGTTATCAATGGTCTAGTGATGAAGAAAATTGTTTAAAACGTTCGAAATTTGGTGAATTATGTGATACATCAATTAATTGTAAAGTATATGATGAATTTAGTGAATGTGATTTACATACAAAACGTTGTGTATGTGGTGAATTTCTTTCGAGAAAATATACACTAGATGAATTGACTAGACGTTGTATTAGTTGCCCAATGAATCGTTTGAATCATACATCCAATACATGTTTACCGGAAAAGACTACCGTTGAATATAGCCTATTGGATCGTACAGCTGATGAAAGGAAATCATTGCAATATGGTATCTATATTGCATTGAGTATGGCACCATTTTTTATATTTGCATTGATTGGTTTCATTTATCGTTATGTTAATCCATATGGAACATTGGAACCAGAAACAATGGATCATTGTGCATCAAGAATAATTGATGAAAATGGTCATGGATCCAACACCACCACCACCACCACCACCACAACATCAACAATCATACAGCTGATGATTTGATTTCGCCTTCATCACATTATTGTTTATCGATTGATTTTGATAATTCTGCTATTATGGATCAAATACCATTTTCATTTGCACCACCACCACTACCACCACCATTATCTACAGCAAATATTATTATCTGCGATAATTCACAACAACAACAACCACAGCAGCAAAATTCATCAACAGCACAAATTTCGTTACCACCGGAACCACCACCATCATATGATTTAGCATCACAAGATATGCCACCATCATATGATGAAGTTATACGACAAGAACAACAACAAATGGAACAAAGAATCACTGATGCATGATGATTAATTTTATTTCCAAGCAACATATCCCAAGAAAAAGAAGAAAAACAAATTGATCGATCTCCAATTGACGATAATTTTATGCGAAAAAAAAACAATTTATCAAACGAGCTATGCTATGTAGAAATTGAAATTCTGAACTTTGTTTTTATTTATTGCCAAAAAAAAAACAACAACATTAACATCAACATCGATGTAACAACCAAAAAGAAAATAAAAATGTTAATGGTGTGTGTGTGTGTGTGTGTTGGTGGCGTTTTACACAAAATAACAATAGGTGAAAAGAAAATTGTTCAAAAATTAATAATAAAACATATGATAATTTTTCTTTTTATCAAAAAAATGTCTAAGAATTTCAATTAAACAACATTATTATTATTATATTTACACAACATACAACAAAACATTCGATGAAAAAATGATTCTTGGATGCAAAAGGCCAATTTTTTTCAAGAATTGATTGTTTTCTGTTGTTGAGAATTAATCTGAATCGATGGATGGATGGATTTGGAATTATTTGACCGATAATTCTTCAGTGACAGGAATTTTGGGTAAATTGGATAAATTTAAATTTAAATTTGTTGCTGTACTACTACTACTACTACTACTTGAAGATGTTGCTGTTGTTGATTTCATTGTCGAGGATGATGTCGAAGATGTTGTCGTGGGCATTGTTAGATTTTCCATTCCTTTATCACGTAAAACGTATTTTAAAAATTCATAAACTGACCATGATATTGCTGTTGCAGGCATTGAATAAAGAACACGTGCCTGTAAACCTTGAAAATATCCTTTCACACCACAACATTTATAAATGGTTGATATGGCACCAAATAATCCTGTAATGATACGTTGTTTTGATGATTGTAAAACTTGTCGTTCTTGTGTATTGATTAATGTTTTACAAACATCTAATGGTGTTGTGATAGCAGCGGCAAAACCACCAGCCATTGCACCCGATATAACATGTACACGTGCATTATATTCACGATTTTTGTTAAAGAAATTTTGCATCACTTCATAAGTCATAAAATGTATACTTTGAAATGGAACATTCATCACTAGACTTGTATAATAACTACGATAGAATGCACGAAAACCTTCTTGTTTGAAAACATCGGCCATACATTGAAGACTTGATCTATAAGGACTATTATAGATTTGCATTCGTTGTTTAATCACTTCGGCTGGATTCATGACGGCATCATGTAACAATGTGGCCAAACAACCAGCCGCTCCTATTTCATAAACAAAATGAGAAAATATTGCAAAAAAAATTTCAAAAACATCCATACCATGAGAAAGATGTGTCTGATCATAACTGATTGTCGTACCACTTAGTATTAATTTCATTCTTTCATAACAAGAATAATATAAGGCATGTGCTGGTCCGGCACTGAAAAATACCACTGATACACCTTTAATTGGCCTTAAAAGACCTTCATAACGTATCATTTTATATAATGCTTCCGGCACTGAACGATATGATGCATTTGGATTTGGTCTCAGTGTTTGCATTCGAGTCTACATATAAAAAATAGTGATGAAAAAAAATTTTAAAAATTCAAATGAATATTCTCATACCTTTACAGAATCAAGTGGATACATTAGTACATGTTCCATCATGCCAGCCATTGCACCGGCCATCATATGTACACCAACACTTGATGATTCAGGCATCGATTCATAATCATCACCATCGAGTATTTCATTGTTGTTGTTGTTGTTATTAATATTTGTAATTGTAGCAGTATTAGTAGTAGTCATCGGTGGTGATGAAAATAATCCCAACATTATAAATAAATTTGAAATATGATCAAAAAATCGTAATAATTAAATCACAATCAATTGAAGAATTGAGAATGAAAAAAAAATAATTTGATTTTGATTCACTAGATTTTTTTTTTCGTTCGATTGGTGAATTCGAATTAATGGCCACTTATGTTGAATTCATAAATAATGAGAATGATGATGAATTGATTGATTGTGAATTATATATCAAAGTGAGTGAGAATGAGAGAGAGAGAGAGAAAAAACTAATGAAGAATTCAGTTGATCAATCCATTTGTCTGAATTCGTGTAGAATCGATGATGATGATTAAAGTTTAAAATTCATCGGAGAAATTGAGCAGAAAAAGAAGAAGAAAACCTAATTGATGTGATAAAATAATTAATAAAGATTGATGAAAAAGAAACAAAAAAAAAGTGATGATGATAAATCTTTATATCTCGAATGAATGAATGAATGAAAATGGATATTGATATTTAATAAAATGAACATGCGCGCCTACCTTATAAAATTTTTTTTTTTATTCTTTCACTTTATCTTTTCTCGGCTCCCAAAGACAAATTTTCGTTGATATATTTTTGTTGTTGTCGAAAGAAGCGAAAGAAAAAAAAAATGCAACATTCGTTCCTTGCCATGGCATTCAACATACACACACATGTTTCTCTGTATACAGCTTAATAGTAATGAAATTATTTCCACACAGTCATTCCAATATGGGTGTAAATAGATTCGAACGAAAAAAAAATTCGAATTTTGACATTTTTTTTCTTCATTTAATTTTTTTTTATATAAATTAATTAATTACAATTTGATTGATTTTGTCAAATGGTCGAAAAATTTACAAATCTTCAAAAAATGCTACCTTTGCTTTGGTTGTACCGGATAATGTTCGTTTTAATGTTGAATATTTACTTTCACCACGATTAACATTCTCTTCGTAAATTTTATCCAATGATGTAAGACGTTCTTCCACTTTCAATACTTGTATTTCGGTTTTTAAACCTTTTAATTGTTCTTGTAATTGTTTAGATTTTTTCAAATATTCAATACGTTCTTTTTCCACTTCGGATTCAATTTTTCCCATATCCAAATCAGTTAATTGATGAAAATCATGTGATTCAATGTCATCATTCTGTTCGTGTTGTTGTTCACCAGATTCAATTGACCATTCGTTATTATTATTCATGAATGATGAATGGTGATTGGCTAAATATTGATTATTATTATTATATTTCATAATGGTATCATTTGGATCTTCATAAATATGAGCCATATTATTATCACTATCAATATATGGACTTTTACCAGTCAATTGTGATGTATTGGCCGATGTTGGGGATGTTGTTTTTAATGATGTCACATCGATAATGATTGGTGGTGGACTTGTTGCATTATTGTGATGAGAATTATCACCGACAATTGAACACCAAGATTTTTTCGCACCATGATGATGATGATTATGATAATCTGTATTGGATAAATTGATACCAATACAATGATGACCATTACCATTATTCAATTCATTTAGACTAGTTGATCCAATCATTATACCTGGAATATCACAGCCATTGTTTGTCGTATGAATCAATGATAATGAATTATTATGAAGATTTGATTGTTGTTGTTGTTGTGGTGTTGGTAGTGGTGGTGATGTTGTTGTTGTATGTAAATGATGAGAATGATGATGACCAAGAAGAGGACCAGGTGTTGTTGGAGGTGGTGGTGGTGGTGTCATTGTTGTCGTTGTTTTTGTGGTGGAAGCAACAAGATTGTTTTGACTTAAATTATCATTTTGTTGTTGAAATTTATTCAACAAAATCAACAATTGTTTTGTCGATAATTTTGTACTATAAAGTTCTTCTTTCAATTGTTCAGTTTCTTTCACACGTCTATCGGTCTCTTCGGCCAATGTGGTGGCTAATAATTCAGCTTCATCAGCTTTTCTTTGTATCAGATGTTTTTCTTCTTCCGTTTTTATTGCCGTTATTTTAATACGTTGAATTTCTGCTTCAGCTTCCGCTGCTTTTTGTGATAATAACATTGCTTCCTCTTCGGCTACACGTGCTTTTTCTGCTAACAATTCAGCAGTTTCTTCACTTCTTCTCAATGCTTCCTGTACACCATGTGCTTCTTCTTGATATTGTAACAATCGTTGTTCTAATGTTGCTTTTTCTTTTTCCACTTCTTGTCGTAGTTCTTTTTCACGTATGAAACGTGATCTTTCCAATTGTCGACGTATTTTTTCTTCTTTTGCTTGTGCTTTCATTTGTTGTAATTCAATTGAATCAGGTTTTCGTCGCCGCATAAACAAATCATGATTGCCGATACATAAATCTGTTGTTTGATAATCAAAAAAAAAATCAGTTAATCGAATCAAATCAACCAATAAAAAAAAACATACCTAAAATCAATTTATTTAATCGCGATTTTGATGAATAAAAATGAGAACTCGAAGCATTCTTTTCAATTGGCCGGATGATGAATTTTCTATCATCATAACTAATGTTACGTATTTCACTCCATGAAAATGTGATTCTTGGCGATAATTTATTCTCCTTTTCGTAGATATTCAAACCAAGCGCCGTCACACCGAGCCATAGTTCACTTTCTTTTTTATTACTAATAAGAAAATAATTCACACCATACATTTCAAGATCTTGTGCAATTTTCAAATATTCCATTTCAGCTTCATCACGTGTCATACATTTATGATCTTCATACCATATACGAATTTTATCTTGCCACATTCTTGGTGTCATTTGATATTGTTCCAATACACCACGTGGTAATAATTCCTCGACATCCACCAATTTATCCATATTATTAAATGTTTCATTATAATCACCATATTTTGCCTGTACAGCATATGATGCTAATAGGACACTAACTTCAGCTGGACAATGAATATCCATATTCAGAATACTTTGTTTGACTTGTAGAAAAAATAAATGCTGTGTCACTTCTTGTATTAATTCTTCGGCAACATCTTCGGGAAAAAATTTTGCCAAAAATAAAAATGACATTACCGAATCGTTTATTGAACATTTTTTCATTTTACTATTCAATTGTTGTTGTTGCTGTTGTTGTGTTCGTTTCTGTATGGCAATATCTTGATCACAGATACGTTTGGTCATTTTAAGCCAACTAATAAAACCTTTTGAATCGATATATTGTAGCCCGAAATACCAGACTTCTCTTAGACCTATATATGTGAATTTCAAACGATTAATGGCTGGTTATTCGTAAAAAAAATTCAATCAAACATACCGATGGCACGTGTAACAAGATCAAAAAGATCACGACCGGTTGCATTTCTATCAATTTCAAATTCCAATTGTGCATCCATTGTATGCACCTGTATGGGTATTACTTTTTTTGTTTTGGAAAAATTTAAAAATTTGGCAAACATTTTTGTTGGGAATTTTTTTTTGGTTTTTTTTCGTCGTCGTCGTCAAAATTGAAAATGAGAGATTACCAATTACCAATGGTTCATCAAGATGATCAAAAATTTGAATCATTGAATCGACAATTGTCGATGATTCACAATCACCAAATAAATCACATCGATTAATTAATTAATTTTTTTCTTTTTTAATTTTATAAACATGCAACTAGTGGCAAGAATCCAAAACGAGCAAAAATAATAAAAAAAAAAAATAAAAATTTATTTCAATCTTTGTGGCACCATTATTGCCATCTATGAATATGATTCGGAAACAAAACATCAAAAAAAAAAAATTTCCCGTTAAATTCGCCAGAAGAAACAAGAAGAAAGGTCGAAATTATTTCCAGAAAACGAACGCATCACACAACAAAATATGCCTGTTGTTGTTGTTGTTGTTTTGCGAATGATTTATATCGACGCGTTGATAAAAAAAAAAACAAAAACCATTTGCCATTTGTGACACATACATGTTCTGATTCTTAGATATACGTCATTCGTCATTGTTTTTTTTATAACTGCAAAATCTAAATTATTCCAGAATCACGAATCCAAACAAACAAAAAAAAAAATGTCTACAAATCAAGAAAATTCATCACTCAACAATCAAAATAACTCGAAATATCCAATAGAAAAATTGTTCGATTTAAAAAGGTAAACAGCAAGCGAATTTTTTTTTTGTTCTTTTTGAATTGAAAATTTGATTTTTTTTTCCCACGTTTTACAGAATCAAATCATCACATCTGTGGCTAACATTATATTCACCATTGGGATTATGTTTATTCATAATCAGATTTTTCATATTCCTATATGTTTTATTTGTTTCATCCATTCTGCCTCATAGTTCAACAGTGAGAAGGTGAGTTTTTTTTTTTTTTTTTTTTGATTTTCGAATTTTAGAAAATACAATAACCATGTGGTTGTGTTTGATCGATTGTGTGAAATAATAAGCATTGTTTTTAGATCATTATTTTTCATACTCGGCATATCGATCACAGTGGATGAAGAATATTTTCGAAAATTAAAAGCCAAATTCTTGGTCGCAAATCATATTTCGGATTTGGATCCAGTTATTTTGAATCTTTTAATGCCATGTGCCGCATACGTTAATAGCAGTAGCAGTAGAAGTAGTAGTGCAAATAATCAACCATGTTATATTAGTTGGCTTTGTCGGATATTAAAACGTGATGATGATGGTGGCGGTGATGGTGATAATAATGTATATGAATTGTCAACAAAAAACATACCGATTGTTTGTTTTCCTGAACAATCCAAAACAAATGGCCGTTTTGGTTTATTTAAATTTACATCATGCTTTTATCATCATGATTCATTGGTACATATGGTTTTTCTTCAAACAAAACGGCCATTTTTCAATGTTAGCATATCACCATTGGGTGGCCATTGGTTAGCCGATTTATTCTGGATTCTTTTTCTTCCTGTTACCATATTTAAAGTCAAGTAAGAAAAGTTATTCTGTGGGAAAAAATCCATTTCAACTGTTTGTTTTTATTTTCTTCATAGACATCTTGGTACATTGGAAAAAGAAGAAACGGAAACATTCGAACAATTCTTACAACGTATCCAATCGGTGATGGCTATCGAAAACCGGTTTACAAGCAACCGATTATTGTTTACATGATAAACGTGAATTTATTAAACGTTTATTAACGGAAGAAAATTTTAAAAGATCTTTATTATCAACAAAAAACAGTGCTGGTAATAATAATCGTCAAAAACAACAACAACAACAATCAACAAACAAGCAAAATGGATTGAAAATTGATGAATATTCACAAAAAGTTAAAGAAATTTTACCACAAGTTCCATTGAATGTGATAAAAGAGGATATTGCCATAACAAATAATATTGATGATACTGTTGAACGTATACTGAATGGTGTGGTTAAATTTGAACCGGAACCACAACAACAACAACAACAATCATCATCATCGGTTAATGATCATTCTATCCAATCAACATTGAATACAAACATAAAAATATCGGCAATAGATAATAAAAATTTTGCTGCAAAAACATTTGGTAAAACATCGTCCGAACGTGTGTCATCATTTCAGGAACGTAAAGAACAAATGTATCGTATGGCACGTATACGTTATCTAAGGAAACGTGGCCTAGTTAATAATAGTAATTTGTTGTTGCCGCAACAACAGCAACAATGAAAAAAAAATGGTATAACAACAAAAAAATCGATAATCGGTGGTGATTGATTTTTTTTTCTTCTTCTTATGCATACATAATAATTGATATATTTACAATAAAAAAATATATATTCGATGTGATTTAATTGATTGATTGATTGATTATCGTGTGTGTGTGTGTGTGAGAGAAACGAAAACAAAAACAAAAAGCAAAAATAAAATTTGTTTTTGAGAATTTTTTTTTGTACGATAGATGGCGACAGCGTTGTCGATTTGTTTTGATTTTTCAAAATTTTTTTTTTTTTTTGATGAAAAAATAATTTTCATCCATACCAATAATTCATTATCATTGAATGAATAAAAAAATTCAATCGATAATAATCATCATCATCATCAATCATTAGTGGCTAATTTGGCAATTATTTTTTATAATAATGAAATGGATAGATCATTCATAGAGAAAATGATCAGTGAAAAATAAAAATAATGATGATGATGAAAACAGAAAAGAATTCTCCATTTCTCATTCATTCAATTCAATTCATTCATACAAATTGAAAAATGGAATGAAATGAAGAAGAAATATAGGAAGTCAGCTTCACATGTTGTTTTTTTTTTTCTTCATTCATTCATTCATTCATTGTTTATCTAAGCCAATTATTTGAAATATAAAAAAATAATTAAACCGTTTACACACACACACACACACACACACACACACATCGATCGATCGATCGTAATCATCAAATATCGATGAATTTGATATTTAAAAATTTTCATGAACCAGATGATGTTGGCTGTTGGTTTTTGGTTTTTGTTTTTTTTTTTGGATATCAGAAAAAATAAAAGGTGGAGCCATCCACCGGAGCATCTTGATCATCATCATTATTTTGTGCTAGTGAAATTAAAAAAATCGGTATATATATTGAACCAACATGAATTCCAAACATTCTCACTTTTTTTTTATTTTCTGCTGTTGTTGTTGCAATTTATTTTTCCGATCCTATAATATTATCATGTTTCGTTGTCGTCGTCGTTATATATGATGATATTATGTAATGCCGTCACTCACTATACAGCTATACATTGTGGTTCAAAAAAGTGAAAAAAAAACGAAAAAGAAGAAGTAGAAGGAAGAAGAAGAAGAAAATCTCTGATTACTTCCGAAACGACCATGGGTTTGTTGAGTTTGTTGCCCATCATCATCATCATCATCGTTGTCGTTGTTGAGAGTTGTCATCACCATACCATTACTACTACTCTATATCCACTATGAAATACAGAATAATGCCCATAAGAGAGAGAGTGAGTGAGTGAGTGAGACACTCACAAAGTTTTTGGAACATGAAAATCCACCAGAAAACGAAAAAAAAACTTTCATTTCCCCATCTTTTTTTTCTGTTGTTGTTTGTTTGCCCATCCCTCATTATTACCACCACCAAACACCAATGTTTCTTTCAAAAATTTTTTTTTTCAATTCAAACACACATAGAACAACAACAAAAAAAAAAAATGTAAAGAAAGTTTTTCTTTTTTGGATGTGCTAAAACTAAATTCATTCTCATCATCACTGATGCTGCTGCCTGCTTGTGTACAAATTTTTCTCCTAAATGATGATGATGATGATGAAAATCTTTGGTGAAAAACAAAAAAAAATTGATCCACCACCAACTACTGAATACACATTACTTGATGGATCAAGATTTGGAGCAAAAAAAAAATTCGGCCAAAGCTTTCTTTTTTTTTGGGTAAAATATGCCAAAATTGTCGAATTGTCGGTATCTTTTTTTTGCTTTTCAATGGCCAAATATCTACACAGTCCATCACAAGCGTAAGCAGTAGATAAATTTTTTAAGGAAAAGCACCATTGTCACACACACACACACACACAAAAAGACATGTGAGATTTAATAGAGAAAAAAAACTGTCACACACACACACACAAACTAAAACTCTCTGATGAGAATGATTGAGACCTAGATTTCAATGAAAAAAAAAAGAAAAAAAAATTCAAGTCTGGTTCGTTCGTTTTTCACGAAATACGAAACAATAGAGTTTACCCAAGAAAAAAAATTTTTTTCTTTTTCTTCAATCCAAACCTCTGAAACTTAATTTTTTTTCTTTTCTTTTGTACACATGAACATGGTGATGAGAACCAAAGATTTTCTTTTTTCTTTCTGTTCCAGATTGTTGAATTTTCAGGTCCCTCGTTCTTTTTCACTACGTGTGTGTGTGTGTGTGTAGTGAAGTAGTTTCGTTTGAACGAAAAAAAAATTTTCTTTTTTCCATAATTGGTGACATATGAGAGTGAAAAATTGATATCGGTGGAATGGAATGGAATGAAAAAATTCGACCCAGGTATGAGCGAAAGTTTTTGCCATTTCGGTTTTTTTTCAAAAAAAAACCCCCTGGTTTTTTCAAACCAAATGTAAATTGAGATTTATCATTGAATAACGTGGACGATATTTCTTCTTCGTTTTTTTTTCGTTTTTTGACTATCGTAAATCGAATGATCGATTGATTGATATAGTTTGTTGCTTACCTTGGTCGGTCGGTCGGTCCGGTCTACTGGTCTTGAGCAAAAAAAAAAGAAGATATGAAAATTTTGTTTCATTTCACTCTTTTTTTTTACTTTAAATTCAGTTCACAGAGCGGTATTTAATTTATCTTTTGAAGTTTTTCTTCATTGATTATTGAAAATTTTTTTTGACGACACCTGCATGTCAAGATAAATCGAATGTTCGCCAATCAATGATAATGATGATCGGTTGAAAAAATTTCCGATTAACGTTTTTTTTTTTATTCGTCATTCCTTATTGTCGGATCATTCATTCATCTGGGATCTGATTTGATCCCACTTGATCTAAAACCGGCAACAATTCAAACAAAAACCGAAACAAAAAAAAAAGAGAAAGAAATCCACATAATCACCATGCCGTTTTTTTTGTTTTGTTTTGTTTTGCAAACACAGAACTTTCGTCTATTTCGTAATTGATTTTTTTTGTTGTTGTTCTGGTCATCTAGATTAAGCTCTTGACATTTTTTGTTGTTGTTGTTGTCTTGTCTGTCTTTGGTGACATTTAAACACACACACACACACACACTGCTATTTCGGTGTGTGTGTCATAAAGATGAGCTGAACAAATTTTTTTCTGTCTGTTTATTTCTTTTTCTTACTTAAATTCTCAATGTCAACAATGTATATGGATTGATGTTTTGATCGACAACTGAACGGAAGTGATTTTTTTCTCTCTCTCTCTCTTCTCTCTATTCTGATTCTTGATTCGACTGGAATTGATCGATGAAATAACATATTCGGTTGCTTTTAATTAAAATGCTTTTTTTTCTTTCTCCACTTCCTTATCATCATCATCATGTGTATGCTGTATGTGGATGGAGAAGTACTGATATCGGTTGTTTTTCCCATTTCGATTGGAAATTGAATTTTTTTTGCTTTTCATTCTTTTTTTCCCGGTATCTCAAAAAACAGAATTAGTGTGTGTGTGTGTGTGTGTGTATTTCCAATTGATGAATAGAAAAAGGAAAATATTTTGAATGGCCACACGAGCCATCATGGCACACGTCATCGTCATCATTTTTTTGGTTAGAGAATAGAGAATAATGAATTTGAACAAAAAAAAAATTCACTAAATGAAGCTGTATCATTCATTCAATAGAATCTTGGATCCAATGTATTTGTGAATGACTTTGATTTTCGTTTTTTTTTTATTACTACTACTACTACTGTTGGTCAAGTGAATGAAATACATTACACACACACATGGAAAGATCACGTGTGTATATCTACTGGTTCAATAATAATGGAACATGTTCCAAAAAATTTTTTTTCAAGAGTCTGAAACTCTATTTGGAACTATAACAGTGAATGTGAGTGAATGAATGAATAAAAGAATCACGGTAAGCAACTTTGTTGTCTGATCAGCAGACAACCAGTACTTCAAAATTCATTTTGCTAATTTTACTTTTTTTTTTTTTTTCGTTTGTTAATAGGAACAAAAAAAACAAACTTTTTTTTTGTTCAATTCCTGAATTTTCTTTCTTCTTTGAATAGAATTTGTATGGGGTCTCTCGCTCTCTCTCTCTAGTTTTTCTGGTCTGGTTTGGTCGTTGTTTGATTTGATGATGTTAAATCATCATCATCAAATGGATGATGATGATGACAAAACAGGAATTGGGTGACAAAAATGGATTGCACGTGGCTCCAGCAAAAAAAAAATTTTTTTCTGGTTTTGGTTGGTCGGCAATGAGATAATGGAGACATCATCATCAGCATCATGAGTTGCTCTGTATTTGATCGGTTTTTCGTTATATAATGAAGCTGAGTTTTCATATTCTCATCATCATCATCACCACCACACAGAATTTAATTGACTAAATCATTCTCTTTCTCTCAAATTTTTCAAAGATTCTTTTATTTTTTTTCCTGAAAAGTTTTTCTAACAAAAATTTTTTTGCCTACAAGGCATGAATGGAACAAAAAAAAATTCACAATAATCACTGGTGGTTTTTTTCGGGTTTTGCAAATGGGTGTCATTGACAGAATAATTCTGTGCTGCTGGTGGTGGTGGTGGCATACATTTTCAATGACAAACAACAAAAACCAATGATTATAAAGCTAATTAATTTGCATTTTTTTGTTTGTTTGTTTCCATCTGGAGAAAACAAATCATGAATCAATTTGTTTATACCAGATTTTTGTTTTTTAAAAAAAATTCTGTTCATGTGTCAGTATCATCATTATCATCATCATCAGTGTTTTATGGACAACGCGTGCCAAAATATGGTATGAATTTTTGTTGTTGTTTTTTTTATCTTTTTCGATTCAATTTTCAATGTTCATTCTCCACCCACCCACACACACACAAACAATGTTGATGTCATGGTGTGTGTGTGTACATGAATCTAATGACTTTATGGCTCATTTGTATCACTATTTTTTTTTTCATTTTGCACTCACTGGGCGATAATCATAGTGTCGTAGTGGTGTGGTTTGTTGGTTGGTTGTTTAAATTTGTTTGATGATGCTATTTTACAACAGCAA